AGCATTTCCCTTCTGCATATTTCTGGTCAATTTTTTTTTTTATTTTTTTTTAAATTTCATAACAGAGGTTTCCATAGCAGAGTCATGTTGCAGTACCCTTTTGCAGCATATGCAATCCATTGTATCAAGACAGAGTATTAAAGATTGGCCGATCGCGGTTCCCGATGAACACCAGATATGCGAAAGATTAAACACAATTATATATCGATCTCTTAATCGCTTTCTAATTATCCGGTTAAACTAATTATATTAAATATCATTTGCAATCTTCTATGATCAAGAACCTCCGTTTCATGGTTCTTTATATGATTCGAAATGAAAAAAAAATCGAAGCAAGGTTCTTTTTAGGACATATTCACGACTCTCAAACTATGATACGATAATTCGATATTAAAATAAACACAAAAAGGTCGGCTCACTGTCGAATTATAATTTTATTATGACCAAGAATCACAATTTCGGTACATCTTTTACTTGCTATTTGCTATAGTTAATCAGAAGTAATGAATCGTCCAAATTCATCGATTCTCAACCGAATTCGATCGCTAGAAAACTATAGAGTTCGTTGTACAAACAACATATCAATCTATACTTACTAGTTATTAATTTTTATTACCCTTTTCTTCGTTTGTGGCTCAGCACAAAATCGTCGTCCTCGTCATCACTGTCGTTCATTATCCGCTTCTTTGCTTTTACTTCGCCATTCTTGGGAACTGGTGGCGGGGCCCGTTTCGAACTCTCGGGTTTGTTCGGCACATAGGGCGGTGGAGATTTTATCGGAGTGCCCATCCGAATTTGCTTCTGCTTCCTCTGCTTTTTCTCGTACGCCTTTTTCGCTCTATCGGGAGACAGCATCCCATGCTCCATTAACCTGTAATAAACATACAATTAAGTCCTCGATTACTTATAATTAATTATTTAATTATATTTCTCATAGGGTTGTTCTAAAAGACGAACGTCTTAAATTATCAGAAACTTTATGTAAACAAAATTTTCGATGGATCTTTATTGAGCAAGACTAGTCAGTCTTTAACCAAAAAATTGTAAACGAAAGATCAATTTATCTAACAATACAAAATTATTGCATCTCGATGGATTGCCGGCCGATATCTTACTCGTATATTGGCTAATATCTTAATCGATAATGAATTGTAAAGCACTTTCGTGATACTTGAAGAAAACTCACCAAAACTCAGCCATTTCACTTGAAGGTATCTGCTTCGACAACGATTCATAGAATATTCTCAAAGGTTCGCGCTGTAAACGGAGAAGAATACGTAACATTCAAGAGAATATTCTTTAAAAAAAAAAAAAAAAAACTACGGATACAAAATCAAACCTCCTCAGGAACATCAAATTTCTGGCCAGCTAACGAATAGACTTTCTTCTCTCTGGTTTTGGTTTTGGTCACCGTTTGTGTCGTCGTTTTCTTTACCTTCACTTGATCAATATATAATATTCATAACCAGTCAGAAAAAATAACCGAAACTTGCCACTTTTTAGCATCGTAGTTGAAGAAATAATTTCTCGATAAATAGATATAGCAAAGAACGGAACTGATAACCATCTTATTCGCAGGCACAACAAGTTACACGATTCTACAATAAATCAATCGATTGGAAACGATCGATTCGTTTCTTATATCCACTAACATTATCATCGATTCGAGACAATTTTGTTACACGACCGTAGCATCGAACCGCATATACACAAATTACAGATGTAATTCATTACTCATGATTCCATATATACATACGAACCGAATCCCACCGAACCCAACCCCTCCAAATACAAATTAGGATTAAATTTCCGGGTCTAAATACAATCGTGTTCCGCAACTACGTGTACGAAATCAATCAGACTCATAGATCATGACATACAATGATTATCAAAATTGATGGTGAAAATGGTAAATAAAACCAAATTGAATTGACAAAATGCAGTACTGAAAATAAGCATCACACAGAAACAAAAGTATGAATTATGCACAGCCCAGATCAACAATTCACCAAAAATCACAAAATCCAAAATGAAATTAAAAGGGTGAATAAAGATCGGATCTTTGCATCAAAGAGAGGGAAAAAAATGTAATCTTGGCGCACCGTTTTAGAGGAATTAGTGGTGGATCTGTTCTTGATATCAGAAGCAGAAGCAGAAGAAGAATTCTTGATAGATCCATCAGCAAATTTCTTCTTCAGGGCAGATGATTCGATCTTGGGTTTTGAATCTATTAAATTACTGGGTTTTGAAGATGATGATGATGATGCCTTCATCTTCATTGAATTGCTCGATTTTGTATCTGTCGCCATGGATTTTTTTCTGGGCTCTGTCTGCTGGTACAAACCTTAAAATTTACAGGGAAAAAATGGGGGAAAAAGGAAAAAACATGGAGTAATTCTGGTTAATGAGTTTTTAACTGTTTCTGTAAGGATAATTAACTACCTGGTTTTACTGTTATTACATGTTCTAGCATGCGGGTTTTTTTTTTTTTTTTTTTTTTTTTTTTTTTTTCATGAAGACGCAAAATTAAATTTTAGGGTGAATTAAACCACCCCTGAGGTATGGCTAATTTACGAAAAAACCCCTCTAGTTTGGATAATTACATTTACTCCTCGATTATGATTTTTTCTTATACTTCCATCCTTGTGGTGTCAAATTCAATATAATCATCTAGATTTCGTGGAATGTGCTCTTGTTTGTACTCAGTTTTGTGTAAAAATACAGTTTCTGATGTACCACAATCTGATATATATAAGCCAAACACATATTATGATCATATTGCTTCAAAATGTGTAGCTCGAATGGAATAAAAAGTGTACGAAAGTGATAATATGCCATAAAATCAAGAAGATTCCACTAAATTTGAAACCACAAGGGTGGACGCATAAGAAGATTTATAGTTGAGGGGTGGTTGTAATTAGCCAAACATGAAGAGGGTTTTGTAATTTGACCATACCTCAGAGGGTGGTTGTAATTTACCCTAAATTTTATGGTTAACAGACATTAATTAATTTAAATAGTTTCAAATTTCATATGTTCTTTTTAATTAGGCATTAATTACCATTTTCTAAATTTTACCCCTACCACTCTTAAATACTCGATAGAAAATTAGTGGAGAAATAATTAGTAAGAGGGCATTTTAGTCAAATTCTTTAAATTTTTTCTCCCTAAAATCAACGCATATTTATTACTTTTCTTTTTCTTTAATCTGCAATAAATTGAAAAAAAATGGAGTAATTCAGTAATTCTCTCCCAATATATTTACAGGAAAAGAATTTTATTGCCTCTATATTTTATTGTATATATATATATGTACAACAAACAAACCCTAAAAACCAAAGTCCAACTACCTCATTTGAAACAATTATCAAAAAATTTTTTTTTTACCTAATTTGAAACACTCTATTGTACCAAATAGAATGCAATATCATATGAAAAACATCATATTTCACAGGCTTAGAATGCCACAGAAAATGCTGCTGCACCATCTTAACCCTCCTCTGCATCTCAACGTACCTCCTCTTCGGTATCGCCGAGAGAATATTCTTCAAATTCGGAATATCCTTCTCCATCACAAAAACCGCAAACGACTCCCACTTCAAAGTCTCGAAAAACGGAGGCACGAAATTATCCGACACAATCACCGGCACACACTCGAAGAAAATCGCCTCCACCACTCGTGGACTATTCACCTCGAACCCTTTAGCACATATGCAGTACTTGCTGCTCTTCATGTACTGCGCGTAGCTCATTTCGCCTTTCGATTTTCTTATCCGCCCGAATATTTTCATGTCGGGATCTTTATTTTCCCAGTATTTTAATAAAATCGGTCGAAGATAACCATGCATGTTGCCGGCAAAGAACGCGAGTATTTTTCTCTGCGAAGGAGGTTTTCCACCGAGCTCTCGTAAAAGATTCTGCGGAGAACGTATGGAAGTTTCCGGGAGAGATACGTCTTTTCCGAATTTGAACCCTTCTCCTATATCAGCATTGCACATCGCTCGTATACAATTCGCCATTACCCCCTTCGTTTCTGCTGGTGCCTAAAAAAAAAAGAAAAAAAAACGAAACTTTATTTTTCGTGTCACCCTCGATATAAAATAAGAGAAGATTATTCAAATTATACCCAATCATGACACGCGACGAGGAAATGGTCAGCTCCGTTAGTTCGATTCCAGAAATTATATTTTGATCTGATTATTTCGACGTAGTTGCTTAAATGTTCGATTAAGTTTTTGCGGCTGTGGGAATTGGGTACGTATAATGTAATCTCTAAATTGCGTGAGCTGAATGGTAAGTAGAAAAGGTGAGCTTTTTTCGGGTTTTTAGTGACGAATCTTTTGCTCGATTTAAGTAGCTTCATAAACCAGCCTTCCGATGCGTATATTCCTTTGAGTGGCGGCTGATGGAATATGGGGCGTTCTCCTTCGGCGTATACATATACCTTGAGAGTCTGCTCCATTAATTCGTAGCTCCTGCATACGACAATTTGAAATTCTTTGATATATTAAATTAAATTATGTTGCAAAAAAATCGTATAGCAGTCAAATGAGTACCTTTTGAATTCGGAAAAGTTCCGATACAAGTTGGCATCAAAATGAGGGTCTTTTCCTATAAATGATGCATTCTCGATTAGGCGTGTCATGCTCAGTAATTCTTGATCTGCTGTCGAAGGCCATTTTGTCTTCTGTAAACAACAATTTACATATAGTAGTATTAAAAGAAATGGCAAAACAAGTTGGAGCAGCTTCTACCGTAAAAAAAAAATATAAAAAAGGGAAATCGGAGGTAATGATTGAAAACGTACCACTGGTTTATACGACACACGGCTCTGCTTCAGCATATCGTTCATTTTCGATATAGTTACCACTGCAGGTTCTGTTTCCTTTGTCACAGGAGCAGATTTTTTAGCCTTCGGATTTTCGTCGTTTACTTTCTCGTCTTTTCCCGTAGATGTAATCGGAGAAGAAGTTTCTAGTGATTCATGATGAGTTTCTCTACTCTTCTCTAATGGGAAGCTATCATTGAGTGGAATCCACGCAACAGTCGAGTTGTGATCCATTTCCGGAAAGTCCTTAAACGGAGACTCATCCTCAGGGTCGATATCGTCATTTAAAGAATCATCCGAATTCTTGCTTTTTTCGCGATCAAAATCATTTCTATCGGATTTCTTGGTAGTATTCGATGCTCCGTTAGCGACATCTAAATTGGTGGAGTTAGTGCTGCTAAAGTATGTCGGAATTCTTGAATTTGTCGGGCTACGGCTACTAGACGAATTTGTACTAGGATAGCTTTCTAGTGGTGGTGTCTGAGATTTTTCAGTGGGGAATAAAGATGAGAAGACATTGGTATACGGAAGCTCGAAAAACTGAATGAATAAAATTATTCCGAAAACGACCCCCATTAGCAACAGAATTTTCCTGGTCTCGACCAGGCACCTGTACCGCGATTCTTTCCCCATGCTAAACAAACCCTTTGAATCGAAGTATATTTACAATGCACCTAGAAAACTCTGCAACCAAAGTAATTTTAAATTCAATTTCACAAAAAAATAATTAAAAAGAAAATATATAATAAATTAGACCACGTAAATATCAAATTTGACGTCATTTCAACAAATCGAATACAGAAAGCAATTTGAAAAATGTATGTAGCCTTCGTTTCGAACGACCAGTTACTCAGGAAAATCAGTTTCCATATGTTTCAACAGAGCTAAAAATTCAGATAGGATTTTGACAGGCGTAAAGAAAATCAAAGTTCAACGATATCCAAAGAGACAAACGAGGGCATGAAAGACAATCAATCACTAGGGTTTATCAACTTTATGCTATTCATCACATCAACCACTAGCTGAATCGGGATTTTGAATCGGGATCTTAAGTTCCGGGGAGACTGAATACATTAGAACTTTTATGAGGGGGCCGATATTGTTAATAATACACGATTTTTTTTTTTAAATCTTTACATAAACATAGGAATTCGAGCATTGTTGGGCGGGGGGCACGGCCCCCTCTGGCCGTATGCTGGCTCCGCCACTGACATCAACAAACAATGTCACAGGGGTAGAAAATACAATTGACTCCAAGAAATAAACTAATGAGCTAAATCAAGAAAAACAAAGCAATTCAAGAAACATAGTAAAATACAAAAGCATCAGACAAACAATAAAATTCATAACACAAAACTAGAGATTACAGAGAAATCTCCTCACAGCTTAAGCTCGTATCAAGAAATTAAGACAGAGCAGGGGATCTGATAACTGATAATTAGTCAACTAAAAAAAGAATTTAAAAGTGCAAAGAAACAATCTTTACTAAAACCCATAAGTTGGAAGGAACAAACATAATAACTAAACAGAAAAATCAATCATAATTCTGTAAAATGGGTGTACCTGCACTAATCGAAAATCAACGACTCATCAAAATAATCTTCTTCTTCTTCTTCTTCTTCTTCTTCTTCTCATATGTAGGTAGGCAGTAAGGTAAGGTAAGGGGGGTTTTGATTAATCTTGTCGTTGAGCGAATTAGCTATAATTAGAATGACTTGTTCTTCTTGTATTCTTTATCGATGGATGCCCGATTGCGTGAGTGTGCGTGCTTCTTGTGCCGCTCTCAGGAAATGTATACTTTCTTTTTTAGCTTGGAAGATTTTTTTTAAATATGATTTTAAAATAATAAAATATTTTTAGTAAATATTTCTGAATTCAGAAAAGCCGGTTCACCAACTCTTTTATTTAAGAAAAAAAAAATCGAACTTTATATATAGACCGTTGGAATTTAATGATTTAAAAAAAAAAATTATTATTTGCTTGCTTCTTTTATTAATAAATAAATACATACAAAAAAACTTGGGTTTATTATGATTGTAAAACTCTGATTTCTACTATTTCGAGTGGTTTCGTAATTATTGATGAGTGGCAGTTCTATAATTACTATTAAGTGGCATTTTTATAATTACTTGTTGAGTGGCTTAAGAGTGGCAGTTCTGTAATTACTTGATGAGCGGCACTTCGGTAATTAATGTTGAATGGCAGTGTTGTAATTATTTGTTGAGTGATAGTTTTGTAACTATTCGTTTAGTAGTGGCAGTTCTATAATTACGATGTTTTATTGCATTCATATAATTACTTGGTGAATTGGCAATTCTGTAAAATTATATACGAGTGAAAGTCACACAAATCAGCCATCTGTCATCTGAAAAACCCTATTGTACCATACAGAATGGAGTATCATGTGAAACACATCATACTTCACAGGAGACCTATGCCAAAGGAAATGCTTCTGCACCCCTCTAACCCTTTCCTGCATCTCAACGTACCTCTTCTTCGGTATCGCCAAAAGAATATTCTTCAAATTCGGAATATCCTTCTCCATCACGAAAACGGCAAACGACTCCCAATTCAGTGTCTCGAAAAACGGAGGGACGAAATTGTCCGATATGATCACAGGCACACACTCGTAGAATATAGCCTCCACCACTCGAGGTGTGTACGCCTCGTAGCCTTTTGCACTTATGCAGTACTTGCTACTCTTCATGTACTCGATGTAAGTTAAATTACCTTTAAGCCCTTGAAGCTTACCGGAGATTTTCATGTCGGGATCTTTGTTCTCCCAGTGATTCAGCAGAATGGGGCGGAGATAGCCGTGCAGTTTTCCTGCGAAGAAGGCTAGAATTTTCCGTTGAGAAGGCGGTTTTCCGCCAATGTCTTTGAGTGGATTTGTAGGATGGCGTACGTATGTTTCGGGTATCGATACGTCTTTGCTGAAGTGGAATCCTTCGCTGACATCAGCATTGCACAGAGCTCTTATACAGTTCTTCATTATTCGGCTCGTCTCAGCTGGTGCCTGTTTCATTAGTATTGAAACGTATAAGCATAAACAAAACAAGAAACACACATACACACACACACACACATGTATATATAATACCCAATCATGGCAGGCAGCAAGAAAATGGTCAGCACCATCGGTTCGATTCCAAAAAGGGTGTTTTTTGGTGATTGTTTTGAGGTAGTTGCTCAAATATCGAACCAAGTTCTTGCGACTATGGGAATTTGGTACGTACAAAGTCTGTTGTAATAAATGGGAGCTAAAAGGCAAGTAAAAGAGATGGGCTTTTTGGGGATTTTTAGTGATGAAGTGCTTGTTTTCTTCGAGTTGCTTCATAAACCATCCCTCTGAGGCATATATTCCGCTAAGCTCTGGCTGATGGAATACGGGTTTTTCTCCTTCTGCGTAGACGTAAATCTTGAGTGTTTTCTCCATTAAATCGTAGCTTCTGCAAATGAAAATACCGAATTCTTGGTTAAGTCATATACAAATCAAAGTGTCACTACGGAAGCAATGGCTTGCTTTATTTATTTATTTACCTTAGAAATGAAGAGAAGTTTCGATACACACTAACATCAATATGAGGGCTCGTTTCCACAATTTGTGCACTTTCGATCTGCGTTCTTGCATTTAGTAATTCTTTGTCTACTTCTGAAGGCCACCGTGGTTTCTGCCAAGAATTAAAAAATAAAATAAAAAAATGATGATGACGAAGTAAATTGGGAAAAAGGGAGAAGGATCTCGGGATTTAAACATACCACAGAGCGAAAGGAAAGACGACTTTCAGTCAGCATATGATTCATTTCGGACATAGGCACGACTCTACTTGGAGGTCCTTTGAACCTTCTTCTCATCTTAGAAGAAGTTCCGTTAACGAACGAACTATTAACAGAAGCTGAAAGATCACTTTGTGCTATCTTCTTAGGTTTTTCATTGTTCAGAACCATATTTGCTACTTGTGGAATTGTTGTCTGAGAATTTCGGTCTTTCTTTTTCGTGTTAGTGGGAGCAGCATTTGTCAACTGAAGATCAACCGATGAAGAATTCTTTGAGGAAATATACTTCGGTATCGAAACATTATAGCCATGTTGTACTGGAGCCAGTTCTGGTGTTGAGCTCTTGTTTCTTACAACATGTTCATCAGACGAGCTCGTTATATTTACAGACGAATCACGAGCATGGTTCGTTTTAGCCGAGTTGGATCGAGATTTGGTGAAAGATAGGAAAGATGATAGAACATAACCATATGGAAGTTCAATGTACTGAACTAATAAAACTAATGAAAAGAGCAATGCCATTAACCACAGCAGTCTCCTTGTCTCCATTACTCATCAGCTGCTATCATGATATTTTCATAATTATTCCTGAAGAAGAAAAAAAAACACGAGATTTCGATACGATAATACGAACGAGCAAAAACCACGAATCAATTGCCTTATTCTTTTTTTTACTCTGTTTTTCAAAAAAAATCAAAGTTTAAAAGGGGAAAAGTGAAAAATACAAGAAGCATTTAGTTCAGTAGTTAATAGAGATATAAAATACATAAAAGCAGAACACAAAAGGTTGCCTCTTACCAGGATATCAATCAAGTCAACCCTAATTCAACAGAAAAGGTTATCCTTATCCCACAAATAAAAGAGAGACAAATTGAAGAAATACCAAAACAAGAATTCAAGAAAATGGAACTTAATAATGGTGAAAACCCACCCTGATTGCAGAACAGCAAAAAACTCAGCGGAATTCGAGTTGAAATAAAGGTGAAGAAAGGGTCACTTGTAAGCAAACCAGTCAGTAGTATGAACACCACAAAATAAATACACAGAGAGAGAGAGAGAGAGAGAGAGAGAGAGAGAGAGAGAGAATTCACCTAGGGTGAAGCGCTGTGTAGTAGCCCGATGCATTAATTAGGAAAGAATTAATCTCCTCTTCAAACTTTGAGCTGAAATACAGTATATGCATGTGGGTTCTGTGTGTGTAAAATGATGAGGAGAGGAGGGTTACTCATAACTCATAACCCTATCGATTAAAGAATTGGGTAGCAAAATACAAAGCTGGTTTTGATCTCCATGTATGTATAATAAATTACACACACACACACATATATATATATCGCTTTTGTCAGCTTGCTTTTTTGGTAGTGGGAGATGGAAAATTTTCCAACTAAAATATCAGCCAAAGAATCGATTTTTTTATCCTTTCTTTGCCACCAAACAAATTATCTCCCATATATATATTTTTTTTCTCAAAACAATAGGCAAGAATAATATAAAATTAATTTCCAGCATACTCTGCATCAGCATCACGCAGAGTTCCTAATTCTTTTTCTGCTCCTTCTTTAGGAATTAAATAATGGGGCCAGCTTTATTCTCTTACAGTTTTATGTACACCACCTTGTCTTCTTTAGAATAGTAATAATAAATCTCTGGCAGCATTGTTGGTTGTCCACAAGGATAAGTATCATGTGAACAAACCAATGTCAAATCAAATTTCACAGGAATTATTCCGAACAAGATCAATGCTGCTGTCTCAAGTTCTTGAATCTCTGCTTGATCACAATATTTTTTTATTCAAACTGAACAAACCAACTCTAAACATTCTGTGATTCGTCGTCATCTGATAGCACAAAAGATTCTGTTTCTGTGGAGATTTTATCTTCAACAAAAGATGGATTTTCAGATTTTCTGATGCTGTCCAACACCATAGCTACTTCTCTTACAGTGGGCCTTTTCCTGCCACTTAAATTCAGACATCTCTTTGCCAGATCAGCTACTGCAATATTCTCTTCATTGACCCCATGTTCTATTATCCGAGGATCAAGAATCGTCTTAAGGCCACGGTTCTCTTCCACGGTTGAGAGAAAATGGATGACTAGGCTTCTTTGTTCTTCGTTCTCATCACTTGTTAATATTGGTTTCAGGCCGGTTAATAGCTCGACAAGAACTACCCCAAAGCTGTAAACATCGCTTTTCTCTGTGAATTTGCTCGTTTGGAAGTACTCAGGGTCAAGATAGCCGAAGGTTCCTTTGACTTTTGTGGTCAAGTGAGTCTCGTCTATTCCAACCGATCTTGAAATTCCGAAATCCGACAATTTCGCTCTGTATTTTTCGTCTAGTAAAATGTTACTAGACTTCATATCTCTGTGGTATATGGGAACGGAAGTTGCATTGTGTAGGTAAGCAAGTGCGTTCGCTATCTCTGCAGCGATCCTCAACCGTAGATCCCATGTGAATGGAAAGCCCGTAGCGTCTTCGTGGATGATGTGATATAGGGTTCCATTCGGAATGAATTCGTAGACGAGTAAAGGTACTTCCATCTCCAAACAACATCCTAGTAACCTGACCACATTCCTATGATTTATCTGTGATAAAATGACAACCTCGTTTACGAACTCTGCGAGTTGACCTTCGTTTACTTGCTTTGACTTTTTCACAGCAACGATTCTTCCGTCCGAAAGCATGCCTTTGTAGACCGTACCTTGACCTCCTTGGCCAAGTATTCGACTTTCGTTGAATCGATCTGTGGCCTTCTCCAATTCGTTGGACGTGAAAATTCTTGTTTTGTGGAGGACACTCTCATGAGCTATTTGTTGCTGCAGCAGCATAAGACCCCCGTTTCGTTTGAAAAACATCTGTTTTAGCTGTTCTGCTCTTCTCTTCTTCACTATTTTGTACAACCAAAAGCTCAAAGCCAGTAATAACATCAATCCCAATCCTACAAGTAAACCTGGAAAAAAAAAAAAAAAAAAGAGAGAATGTTTTTGGATCTTATTCACATAAGATGACCAATGAAGAAAAATTTACGAAGAATAGATAGAGCATTTGAAACCTGCATATAGTGCAGTGTTTGTCGGAAGTGTCAGAAAAATGCAACCAGTTCCTAGTACCGTGCCATCACCAACGTAATTCGAAGGGCAAGAACACTTAAACGAACCGGGACTATTAACGCATATGGCTTTTGGATGGCATGGATAAGACTCACATTCATTTATATCTATCAAGCAAATTAGTCGGATCAAGAAACATAATAATCATTCAAGAACGCAGACTAACTAATGATTAGTTTCCTAAGTATCTGCTAATAAGTAAATAACCTTGGCAGCCTGGACTGAGATAAGGATTTCCCTCGTAACCTTGAGAACAGCTGCAGCGGTACCCTCCAATCGTTCTATCAGAATCAACACACAAACTCTTCCCCTCACATATCATTTCTTTACTATTTTGAATCTCGTCGCAAGAACTGGTCCCAATCGCCCAATCAATCACAATCGGAACAGTTTCTGTTGTCCTGTTAACAAAAGACGAATCCGAAACATCGGATACCTCGAACTTGTAGGTGTTGTCCTCTGCAAGAAAGGAGTAGCTGCAGGGGTTGAAAGACTGAACCTTAGCATGTTCGCTCAATGTTCCCATGGTTGAAGACATGGACTGGATACCACCCTTTGGAATGGAGGACTGGCAGCACCCGATTCCAGTACAAGAACCGTTGCTCAAATCCTCGATTTTCGAGCAAACGGCGATGCAAGAACTGACGGAATCATCCCACGTGTTTCCGGACATTATCGAAACATCGTCACATCCGACGACTGTGAGCTTGTTTTCATTCGAGAAGCTGAAAGGGGTTCCCGATAAATTCATGGAGGACTCAACATAACTGACCCCGTCTCCGTTTTTGTCGTAGCAGACCCAAGCCAGTTGATTCTTGATTCGTATTTTGGAGTCGTATATAGATAAGACCTCGAATTTGTCTGACCCGAGAAAGGCCTTTGGAGGGTTGAAAGATGAGTTGCAGTTTAAGTGGAAGAAGGAGTTGATGGCGCAAGTGGGGTCGGCGCCTATACCGAACGGGTACGGAACGGTTAAGTTACCGCATTTGCTCGGGCAGTTGGGCTTTGTTATTCGAGCTACTTCAGCTAAGGAGTTGTTCAGAAGAGAGAGCACAAGCAGAGCAACATTCAAGAGAGAGCTTATCCCCATATTATTGCTGTCCCAAAGAAACAAGAATCTTGGATTCCTAATTTGATCCTTATACTATTTCACTAGGTTGTAGTGAACGACAGCCTGCACTTTGCACACATCGAAAAACAGCAGTTTTTTTTTTTTGTTTTGTATAAATTATTTCATTATATATATAATATGGTTGTTATTTTATCACACCAAATAACAAATGAGATGCAATATAAAACTGAGGTAGATAATAATAAGTGATTATACAATCATAAAGAGTTTTGCCTTAAAATATTGTAATTAAGAAATTATGAAGCTAAGAAACTACATAAAAAATTCCACTAAACTAAGCTCAACCAGCCTTAGATAGGTTACTTGCAGATTGTGATTGCAATTTCTTTTTAAGAATATTCGACAACGGCGTGATTGCTGCCCGCCCTTGTTCGACGCACTGAAAGTAATCTTCCACTGTTAAGAGATTAAGCACAAAGAAAATGATAATTAGATATCAACCTGCTAGTACAAATAGCTTATAATGTTAAAAAAAATAATAATAAACCAGACGAGTTTAACAGACACAACGACTAAAAGGGTTTTACCTCTCATTACACCGTGTGTAAGAGATGTAATAATCCCATCCCCCTTCGATTCTCCACCTATACTTATCGATCCTTCAGGGAGCACAGAATGAATCGAGCTAGGGAAAACTAAACACACAAATGCCTTCATTTTCTGCCATAATAACCAACCACGTGTTACATCAGAGCCATTTGTGCTAAAATCAAGATTGCTTTGGATGCACCAAATGTGAATTTATTAAAAGACAAGGGCAGATTAAAGCCATAGTAAAGTCTTTCGTCAATGCTATGCTAAAAATGAAAGGAGAAAAGGGTCATTTCCATTTGTAAGCTACAGCAATAAAACAGTGCCATAAACAACGTAACATGGACATACCTGTTCTTCTAGTTTGCTGGGATCCAATAGAATATTTCCACTTTCGGTCAGACAACAGCATATGGCAACTACAGAAATTGAAGGTAATAACATCAGCATTTGTATCAATCTAGCAAGGCTGGCTTTTGCGGTAATAGATAGCATATTTTTTTACCTGCGAGATATTTCAAAGGGATTCCAGCATCTAAAAGAGCAGCACACGCTGCATGTATAGCACATGGGAGAAGCTTAACAAAAACTTGGTCAAAGAAGTTCAGAAATATCATAGGAAATACTACGCGCTAAAGTCATTATGTTCGAATATTTTCAGTAACGTGGACCTTTTTGCCTTGTGAATGATGCTTGATCGAAATTACCAATTCAATCCAATTTCTTAGACGAATCACTAAACATGACCAAGAAAAGGATACAGAACCATCATCGTGGACAACCTGAACTATAATTGACGTTGTGGTGTTCGGATGAACAGTTAAAAGGCAGATATTTTCCAATGTTCTCTTCAGTATCATCTCAAACTCCTTCTCGGGTTTCCCTACGAAATATCAATGTATCAAATTAGTCAATGAAATGAAATGGACAGTGTATCAACTACAAGTAGCTATAAATAAAGCATACATAGAACAGTTATCTTTACACCCATTGGCACATAATGGAGCATGCAAAATTAAGTTCCTTCACCAACAACAATTCAATTGGAAAATGAACTGAAAATATGTAAATGCTTCATTCTAGAGCATAACAATTTATTAGGAAGCATGCCAGATTATATTGTAGCACAAACTAACTTAAACTCGCCGCCAATTTATAAGGCCAATTTTATTATTAAAAAAAAAAAAAAGTAACTCACCAATCTGCCCTGTTTTAGGCTTCCAGGTGATTTCGATACAAGCTTTCTCCGGGTTCTCGTTCTTCTTCGTCCCAGCTTTCGGTCCATAAACAGCAGCAAGCACCCTGGTTTCCCCTGAAAAAATAAAATTTAAATTATAAAGTCCTATTTAGTACATGCTACAGGAAGCAAGTTTCACATTAAACGCAATCAAAGCATACCTATAAGAAATCAATTAAACTAGATGATCCTAAAACATATCCTTAACATTTTTCTCCAATCAACTAATGGAGTGATGTAACAAGACAGTTCTCACAAAATCAGTAAAATAATTAAAAATCAGGCTATCAACGAAAATGATTAGAGAGAGAAATGTACGCAAAAAAGGGGGGTTCGTACCATGCGAGCAACTAGCAGAGCCATGAGCGCGGCTGAGAACGTTGCGGGAACAATCAACAGGTCGCAATTGGTTAGCTCCACGGCCGCCTTTTCTCTCCGAATCCATTGTTTTTAAACTCTGAAATTGAAGGGAGGTCTAAGCTAGGGTTTAACGTTTGAAAACAACAGCAATTTTAACGGGGAAGACGACCTAAGCTAGAGTCGTAACCGCGCTTCTTGGCTATTTTATGTCTTTATTATTAGGGTAAATTACCGTCACGCCCTGAGCTAAGGTTGAATTACGAAAAAAAACCTCTCGTATTTGAGTAATTACAATCACCATCAACGTCCTCCATCGAAAAGTTAAACTTAGTGGAATATTCAATATTATTGAGAATATTTTTCAGTTTGTACCCGTTTTACCCCATTCAAGCTCCAAATTATTAACAAGATTTTCATAAGATGTGTCTCTTGGCTTGTAAATATCAGATAATAGTGCATCAGAAACCGCATTTTTTTACACAAAACGAGTACAAACTAGAGAAAATTCCACGGAATCTAGAAGATTCTGTTGAATTCGACACTATAAGGGTGGACGTGCAAGAAGATTCATAATTGAATGGTTGGTTGTAATTACCCAAATAGTAGGGGTTTTTTTGTAATTTGACATAAAATGGTAAAAGCACACATGATAATGACGTAAGCACAGACCGTTTGTACAGTTGTCTTAATTCTCAGATCAAAAATGTTAGTTACATCACCCAAATGCAGGCGGCCGTTAAAAACAAAACCACCTCCGGCAGCCGCCCATATTTTTTTTTTCAAATAATTAAACAACCACAACAAATATATATACCAATTAATTAATTCAATTGGAAAAATAATTCATGTAATTCCAAGTTAATTAAACATGCAAACAATAACCTCGATCTTCTACTTTGAATTTCTCCTACTATTAACAATCTCTCTTTGCCATTTACAATCTGCATTCGGCAATCATCATTTCAAGAACTCGTTTACGGAACTTTCCGGCACGACAAATCCCGACTGCCCGAGCAAATGCGGCAACTTAACCGTACCGTACCCGTTCGGTACGGGAGCGGAGGTGGACCCCACATGCTCTATCAACCCTGTCTTCCACTTAAACTGCAACTCGTCTTTCGACCCTCCGAAGGCCTTCCTCGGATCAGACGAGCTCGAGGTCTTAGGTATTTACAACTCCGAAATACTTGTCAAGAACCGACTTTCTTACACATGCTACTACAACGACAGCCAATCCGAAGGCAATTACGATCAAAACTCGGCCTCCCCGGCGAACCCCGGCTTCTTCTCCATGAATTTAACCGGGACGCCCTTCGCGTTCTCCAGCAAGAACAAGCTGACTGTCGTCGGATGCGATGACGTGGCGATTATGTCGACCGGATCCAACGACTGGGATTACTCCATCAGCTCATGCGTGGCGATCTGCTCGAAATCGGAAGATTTAATCAACGGTTCTTGCTCCGGGATCGGGTGTTGCCAGTCTTCGATTCCGAAGGGTTTGCAGTCCTTATACTCCTCCATGATCACTTTGACTTCCCACAATAAGGTCAAATCTTTCAACCCGTGCGGATACTCGTTTCTCGCGGGGCCCGGTAGCTACACGTTCGAAACTTCCGATGTTTCGGATTCGCCTTTCGGTAACAGGACGCTTGAAAGCGCTTCGCTTCTGATCGATTGGGCGATCGGAGATCGAACTTGCGAACAAATTCTGAGTACGAACGAAATGATATGCGAGGGTGAGAGCGTGTGTGTTGATTCAGGTACCGGTCTTGGAGGCTACCGCTGCAACTGCTCTGAGGGGTATTTTGGGAATCCTTATCTCAGTCCAGGCTGTCAAGGTTTTTCGGGTTTTTTTTTCGTATTTTGCATGAATATGTATATGCTATATTATGTACTGATATAATGTGTGTGTGTGTGTGTATATTTTTGCATGCAGATATCAATGAATGCGAGTTTAATCCATGCCATGGAAAAGCCATGTGCATTAATCTTCCAGGTTCTTTTAATTGCTCTTGCCGCCCCGATTACGTAGGCGACGGCACGAAAAACGGCACCGGTTGTATTTATCTGCCGCCCCCTTCGAAAACCGCCCTATATGCAGGTTTACCAGCAGGGCTGGGGTTATTTCTAACACTGGCAATGAGTTTCTGGCTGTACAAGACGGTGAAGAAGAGACGAGCGAAGCAGCAAAAACGGGATTTCTTCAAACGAAACGGGGGTCTTGTTTTGCATCAACAAATGTCGGCTCGTGATAATACTAGTGTTCTTGAAAGAGGTGGGATTTTCACATCAAAGGAATTGGAGAAGGCTACGGATAGATTCAACGAGAGTCGAATACTTGGCAGAGGAGGCCAAGGTACGGTCTACAAAGGGATGCTCTCGGACGGAAGAATCGTTGCAGTGAAAAAGTCAAAGCAAGTAAACGAAGGTCGACTCGCAGAGTTCGTAAACGAGGTTGTCATTTTATCACAGATAAATCATAGGAATGTTGTCAGGTTACTAGGATGTTGTTTAGAGACGGAAGTTCCGTTACTAGTCTACGAATTCGTACCAAACGGAACCCTATACCACCTCATCCACGAAGACACCACCGGTTTCCCGTTTTCGTGGGACCTACGGTTGAGAATCGCGGCGGAGATAGCAAACGCACTTGCTTACCTACACTATGCAACTTCCATTCCCGTATACCACAGAGATATGAAGTCCAGTAATATTTTACTAGACGAAAAATACAGAGCGAAATTGTCGGATTTCGGAATTTCAAGATCGGTTGGAATAGACGTGACTCATTTGACCACAAAGGTCAAAGGGACTTTCGGGTATTTAGACCCCGAGTACTTTCAAACGAGCAAATTCACAGAAAAGAGCGACGTTTATAGCTTTGGGGTTGTTCTTGTCGAGCTACTAACTGGTTTAAAACCGATATTAACAAGTGACGAGACGGAAGAAGAAAGGAGCTTAGTTACGCGTTTTCTCTTGACAATGAAAGAGAATCGGCTTAAGGAGATTCTTGATTCCAAGATAATAGAACAAGGTGTGAGTGAAGAGCATACTGCGGTTGCTGATGTGGCGAAGAGATGTTTGAATTTAAGCGGGAAGAAAAGGCCGAACATACGAGAAGTGGCGGTCGAGTTGGAGAGAATTAGAGCGTCGGGAAATCCGTCTTTCGTCGAGTCTAACGTTGAAGACATGAGCTGCACAGAAACAGAGTCATTTGTGATTTCAGGCACAGAATTTTGGTTGTGGAGTTAACACCAAATGCACACTTTCATTTATGTATATAATAAAGATCAAATTTTTATCAAATTTGATATTTAAAGATCATTTTTTTATCAAATTTGATATTTAAAGATCAAATTTTTATCAATGTATATATATATCAATCAAGATTCAAATCATTTGAATTAGCACCAATCAAATAAAAAATGACCTAAAACCCTCTGTTTGATGCCATATCATATTCCCACCCTTGATTAGTAAGCAAACAGACAAAACCCAAAATAAAATATACTTAATTAGTTGGAAATTAACTTAGTCAACTTGGAACTGAGAAAATTGCTAATTAAACTAAGCCCACATATTTATTATCTTGTTCATGGCATCTATTTTTAGTAAGTCATCATTGAACAAAAAAGATGCTTTCCTACAGGACACAAGATACTCATCATAATAAAACATCTACCATTTAAGAGAGAGAGAGAGAGAGAGAGAGAGAGAGAGAGAGAGAGAGAGAGAGAGAGATGTCAAGCCTTAGCTATGCAATTCAAGTGAGTTGCACCACAGGAAAGCCTTCTTTTTCGCCGAAAATCGACAATAGTTCCGGTGCGGCTTCACTCTCGTCTTCTCTAAGTTTTAAGGTGAAATAAATAAAATGTTCGTTTTTAATGCCTTTCTTGAAATACATAATATTATCTCTACTGACATAGTATTTTGACAGACATTCTTGAAAGAGGTGCAGAAGAATCCCATTTTACACCATGTTCCTAACAAAATCAAGGAAGCCTCGGTGAGATTGTTGGATGCCTTTGTCGATTCGGCGTTCGAGTTTTCCGATCAGCCTTTGCTCCCGTCTCAGGTAATTTACATCCATGCAAAAATGAATACGATTTTCTTTTTAATTTTTTATTGTTGATGAATTATATGCATTTCATGCACGCAGAGTAATTTTGCTCCGGTGGAAGAGATCGGAAAGGCTGTTCAGGTGACCGGCTCCGTTACCGGGAGAATACCGGATGATTTTCCGGCGGGGGTTTACATCAGAAACGGTACTTTTGTCTCCGTTTTCTAATCCATCACCGAAACCCGAGAAGATATTTTGGCGTTTACTATTTGTTTCTTAGTTAGTGTCCAGAACAATATAAAATACTAGATAGATTAATTCTGACTTAGTAGATAACGATGGAACGAACGAACGAAAAAAAAAGAAACGATGTTTTCGAGTGAAAAAGGAGCTCGAGAAAGATGAATTCCTGAATAGAAACAATAGGAAAGGACAAATAGTACTTCATACCAAAATTAACATGCAATAAGACGTGTGCAGGACCGAACCCGTTATTCGGTGGTTTTAAATCGACAAAGTCAATATTCGGAAAATCGAGCCATTCTTGGATAGAAGGAGAAGGCATGCTACATGCTTTATACTTCTTTAAAGACAGCAAAGGCAAATGGAAGATTTCTTACAACAACAGACACGTCGAAACGGACACGTACAAACTTGAACGGGAAAGGGCGAAACCGTCATTTCTCCCTGCTATAGAAGGCGATTCTCTCGCTGTTTTGTTAGCTTATCTACTTAACTCGGTAGGCGAATTAAACGATATTTTTTTTATTAATAATGTAGTAAATATAGTACCGATATCGTTGCTTTCGTTTGTTGCAGTTAAGGTTTGGTGAAGTGAATAAATTCCTAAGCAACACAAACATTTTCGAGCATTCTGGGAAGCTGTACTCGATTGCCGAGAACCATATACCTCAAGAAATCGACATTCTTACATTAGAAACTCGACGAAATTGGGATATCGAAGGATCTTGGATTAGGCCGTTTACTAGCCATCCCAAGGTACTAATCAAGATTAACTTTTTCACTACTCGTTTTTTTTTTTTTTTTTTTTTGCTTTGGTTAATTATAAATTTTTAATTTTTTTGCGATTTATATACGAACAGAAAGCTCCAGATACAGGGGAGCTTGTGATTATGGGAATTCATCCACAAAAACCTTACTTTGAGCTAGGAGTAATCTCGGGTAATTAATAAAAATACTGTCGAAATTTTTACGACATTAATTTTAACCAGTTCGAACATGCTAACGTACGACGAATCTATATTATCATTTCTGTGATCAGCTGATGGAAAAAAATTACTTCATAAAGTGGATCTCAAATTGAGCAGATGTTGCCTTTGTCATGAAATAGGTGTTACGAAAAGGTAATAATAATCTCTGTTTATACTCACGAATCGAATTTTTTGCCTCGATTTTTGATGTATATATGGTCATTATTTTTGTTAGGTACAATGTGATTATGGACTTTCCTCTGACCTTGGACATAAATCGGCTCGTAAATGGAGGACCGTGAGTATTTTCTTTGACTCGATAAATGTAGTGTCGGTACAACATACATACAAGATATAATAGCACTTTTTAACCGTCTCGTAATTTATTATTCGAAATATTTAGGCTGATAAAATACAACAAAGAAGAATACGCCAGAATCGGAATAATGCCTCGTTACGGAGATGCGGATTCTGTCAAGTGGTTTTACGTCGAACCAAGCTGCACATTTCACATTATCAATTGTTACGAGCTTGGCGATGAGGTAACAATTCCTACATCTATATAATAATAAAAAATAAAAAATAAATAAAAAATAAAAAACCGAAATTTCGTTTTCTTGATTATGAAGCCTAATGTAAGATCAAATGTATGCACAGGTAGTCGTATTGGCGTGTCGAGCTCGTAATTCAATTATACCAGGGCCTGACTTCGGTTCGAACAAATTCGAGTGGTTCTCCAAAGGGTTCGATGAAAAATCAGAAAACGTTTCGTTTTTCTCGCGTGCTTATGAGTGGAGACTGAATATGCACACCGGACAAGTGGCAGAGAAGAATCTCACCGGAGATGACTACTCCATGGATTTTCCGATGATCAACGAAAACTACATTGGCGGCAAAAATAAGTTTGCGTACACACAAGTTATCGACTCAAACGCAAGCTCCAAATCAGGCATGGCAAAATACGGAGGGCTAGCAAAGCTTTATTTCGAAGAGACGACAAAAGTTGACTATCACGAGTTTCCGGAGAATACCTACTGCTCGGGGGCTGCTTATGTGGCGAAATCTGGCGAAGATGCTGACGAGGACGACGGTTGGATTATTACGTACGTGCATAACGAAGACACTAACACATCTCAAGTAAGTTTTCCGATTTCAATCTTTCTTTTTCGTAGAATAAATACAGTTTTGTAAATTAAAGAAATTGTGCTGACATATATATACATATTGTTGTAGGTATATATAGTTGATGCAAAGAATTTCACAAGTGAACCAGTTGCAATAGTTACTCTTCCAAGCAGAGTTCCTTATGGATTTCATGGAGCTTTTGTGACACTATAATTATATATAATTTAATATAAGAAATGCAATTTAATTAATTAAAAATCTATTGCAAATCAATTATACTAATGAGAAAAGGAAAAAAAAAAACATTGCAAACCAAAGATAGCTAATGATAAATATTCCACTAAGATTTTGCCTTTTCCATGTTTTCGAAATATTGTCGCAAGTTCTTCGCATTACTGCGAAGCCCGATGTAATCGAACAATTCAACAGCATACCGAGCGGTTTCCGAACAGTGTTGCGTAAGACGCTCGTTCAGCTCGCGAGGTTCAAGAAACTCGGATAGTTCCTGGAACAGGATCTTGAGGAAAACACGAGAAGAAGAAGTCGTACCCTCTACGGTCAACGGTACGAACCTAAAAAAACGCCAAGTCAACGCCTCCATTGCGAGTAAATGAGCCAAAAGCATCGCAAGATTCCGCATTTTGTTAATGTCCAAGCTGTCGACCGTCTGATATTGCTTCACAAAGCACTTTTGGAACTCCGCCTGATAATCTTCGTTCACCGCACAAAGACGATGCCCTAAAAGCGCGTAGTAGTGCCGGTAGTTTCTCTCACTACCGCAACACTCTAAAAACACAGTACACAGCTCCATCTCCTCACCTGGCTTGATTATTCCCAACAGCTTATTCCCCGCTTCTTCGTAATCGACACTGTCCGTAATTGCCAGCTGTATACTTCTTCGAAAATGGATCAAATTTTTCTCCGTCTCGTCCTTCACAATTCCCATCTGATCGACCACGACGGAAACCTGATGAGTAATCAATTGTTCTTCTTTATCCGGAGCAACAAAATTCGCTATTTGCAGCGCGCGGAGTCTTTCGATCATGTCTTCGTCTACCTCTGCGTCGACCTCTGCTTCGATCTCATCGGCCACGGAAACCCGATGAGTAATCCATTGTTCTTCGTTATCCACTACATTCAACTCCGGAACAACAGCCGGTTGCCCCTCGAAACTCTTCATTCGCAGCGCAAAGAGTTCTTCGATCATGAACCGGACACGGTTATCCATCTCATCCTTAGCAAGAACCGTACGCAACCGCGCGAACACACGGTCCAATTCCGTAGGAGAAGCTTCTAGAAGAAAGGAGCCACATTCTCTAACCAAGCAAACAGCCACCTCAACACAATCAAGACTTGGATTTCCAAAAAGCAAGTTGTCCAGCAGCAGCTCGAAAGCGATAGCCTCGTTGACCACACGCTGGTTCACCAAGTGCGCTACGAACCTGACCGAAGCGGATAGTAGCCGCCTGTCTTTGCTAAAGTGCGCCCTCCAAAACTGCAGTGCTAACATGCGCAGCAAAAGAAGCCCGGTTTCCGGGAACTTGGAGTTCACGGCAGCAACTAACGCCGCGAATAGAGGCGTGAAAATCGGAGAAGCAACTTGAGATTTGATACACGACCGGCAGAATAAACCCTTGCTGCCACGTGTCAGATCTTCGGCCAATAAAGCAGGGATTATGAAATTCTTGATGTTGGTAGGGTTTGCTTTGTTCATCAACCCATTGATTCTACGCTTCTGATATTCAACACCGCCGCCGCCGCCGCTGGTTTGATTCTCCGACGACCACTTAAACGGAGGAACGTACACTGCACTGCTCACCGTAGTACTGCGTTTGTGTTCATGCATGCTTTTCAACCTTTTCTTCTTCTTCTTCTTCTAACGAATCGATTTTCTTTTTTATTATTAATATATTTTTTGTGTGAGTTGCAGATGAATTTATAAGAGAGGCAGCGAAATTCTTGTTTTATTAGGATTAGGAAACTAATTAATTTTTACAAGGAAAGGAAAACGTAAGACAGTTTATTATGAACAAGGAAACAAACCCTAATTCTTTTTAGGGTTTACAAGAAAATCGGATTTACTGAAAATTTTAGAAAATAACGGATGCCACTATTAAATGACACGTGGAATCCATTTATTTTTCACTTTTTTTTCTACCCTTTTTTTTATTATAAATAATAAAAAAAAACGTACTAATAAGCAAAGGAAAGAAGAAAAAATACCCAATTAAGAAAAAAAAAAAAACCCAATTTACATAAATAACTACACTCTAAACATACCTACAATAATTTGTGTGTTATATTATATGTAGATCAATAATGTAAAATTATATGATATATTTTATCAGGTGCAAATTCCATAAAACCGTTAGTCGACGCAATAATTTTCCCGGTTTTGTTTGCTTCTCCTTAGCACCGGCATAAATCCATGAAGAATCAAACTCCTAATCAAGGAAGAGATCATAATTAATTGAGTCAACTAGGTGCAATTACTTAATTTACAAAATAAAGTCACATAATTGCGACATTATATATTATATTATTGTAAACTCACGTTCATACAAAAATGTGTGTCAATTTTCTAGTTAATTAGATGAAAAGTCTTTATCTATATATATTTATTTTATTGGCTGTCCTTTTTAATTTCCTTGAAAACAACAAATATTTTATCTTAATCAATAGCTGGAGTTGTCCTCATTAGTCAACATGCAATATTATATTCTTTCTTCATTCAATCATCAAAATTTGACCAAAATTATAAATTTGGCTTATTCGGTCAGAGGGATAATACTAAATAAATCTTATCCTTTTTTTAATTTTTTAATTTTTTTTAATATTTTAATTTGATAGTTACATTTTTTGGCTCCATGTTTCAAGAGCAAACAGTTGAAGATGCTCCCTCCAATAATAAACTAGTAGCATACAAAGAAAACATCCAAACAAAAAACCAAATATTAATTAATAAGGATTAAATTTGACTTAATAATCATCAAGAAATGGATAAAAAGCCCACAATTTTTTTTACTTTTCCATAACTTATATTTCAAAACAAATCCCAAATAAAAATCTCATAAATTCCCAATTATGAATCAATTAAATCAATTGATCAATATTTCTATATTAATCTTATTTTCCAAAGTATGTGTAGTAAAAGCTCAAGAATCTAGTACAGCCAATAATAATCAGCATGCAATGAATCCACTTCATCCAAGCATGGCAATTGTCCTACTTGTCCTCTCACTGATGTTCTGCCTCACATTCCTCATCGTAGCCTACGCTAAGTTCTGCCACAGCCCCACCGCCACCGAACCACCGGGCGGCGGCGGTGGGGCCCACGACCTGACCGGACCGAGATCCCGTTTCTCCGGCCTCGACAGAACCCTAATCGAAACCCTACCGTTTTTTCGATTCTCTTCCTTAAAGGGCTCGAAAGACGGCCTCGAATGCTCCGTTTGCTTGTCCAGATTCGACGAATCGGAAATCCTCCGTTTGCTGCCAAAGTGCCGCCACGCTTTCCACATGAGTTGCATCGACAAGTGGCTCGAAAGCCACTCGAGCTGCCCTCTATGTAGGCACAAGTTCGACATAAAAGACCTCAAAAGTTTGTCGTACACGAACAGCTTCCGAATCTCCAGTACCGACGATTACGATCAAGATCAGCCTCCGAATCTCGAGTTCTTCATTCAACGAGAGCAAAATCAAGAAAGGCCCTCTTCGAGATTCAACAATATGGCAAACACTTTGCAAAGGCTGTACAATAACACGGGGAAGAAATCCGAAGAGCCCTTGATTATTAACAATAATCAAGATTATTCGATTATGCACAACGTTAAACACAGGATTATCGTATCGGATGTGATGCACAAGAGCCGGTGGAGCGACGTGAACTCTTCGGATCTAATATCGTTGAACTCGGAGATGCTCATGATTAGTGCTACTTACGGCACCGGATTCTCGTCTCCTAGCGGGAGGTTGACTTATAGTAACGAGGTTTCGGCGAAAGAGCAGATATTGAAGATCAAAGAGGATATGGAGAGGAAAAAGTTTGTTGAGTCAAAGGTAGTCGTTGGAAACGGTCAAACTAGTTCGGGTGAAAGTTCTAGCATGATGGTAACTTCGACGAAATCGTTAGATTCAGGTGAGAAGAGATCAATGTCCGAAATTACGAGTTTTTCGAGATTTAAAGAATTGAGGTTCGGTAAAAATGTCGACGAAGACGAAAACGTTGCAAGGGTTTGGTTGCCTATAGCTAGAAGAACCATTCAGAAATTTGCTGATCAAGAAATTACTTCGGATAATCCTAGGTTAAAATATTCTGTTAATAATGTCTGATTAATTCTTCATCTTTTTTTTTTTTTACAAATTAAACTAGAGGTGTCAAATTAATTAAATTACCAATTTTATTAACTTCTGCAGTATATGTAGAACTAACTTCAGCAAATGCCAATACCAACCAACACTGAAGAATATAAATAAAAAAATAAAAAAATTAATATATATAAATGCATGGCCACGTGTACATATGGAACCAACTAGAAATTGTAAATAACACATTAATTAATTAGTTAAATATTTGATTGATTAATACAATTAAAATATTATATAGTATATTAATTATTTGCCTAACTAATAATTCAGGCATCAATTAAACTTTGCTTTAATGAGAAATAGCAATCTATGGAAAATAATTGAGAAAACAAGAAGTAAATTAGCATATGTTAGGACCATATTGGATGCTGGTCCAAAACTATATAGAATTATAGATTGTAGCCATTTTAATTCAGCAAATAGTAGTTCTACTAAAGTGTACCCTATCCTTTGCCAATTTTGCTCAACATATATATATATATATATATATATATATATATATATATATATATATATATATATATATATATATATAATTCAAGATAAATACTTATAACCCAATCGCTATCTCATTTAATAATTTTATACATATATATGTGGGAATAATTGTTTCCCTGCCTAATTTATATATACATAGAAAATATGTAAAATAGCTATCTTATAATTAATTCGCAGGAAATATCTTTTCTCATGTGGGTAGTTATGGGGTTTGTTTGATGGGCCCACATCCAAAGGTTCTTATCGGCAAGTCTATAGAAGCACACGAACCAAGTTCAAGTAGGTTAAGACTTAAGTAGTTGGTTCGCAATTCATAGCTCCCGATCGATTAGTACTCTTGAATTCTCTGATTTCTTTCACCATCTTGAGCTGACAAGAGTATCGAAGGGTTTTCGTCGAACTAAAACCTTGGGCCGTAACGACTTTTTGTGACGCAGGTTTTGCCCACGCAATGAATTAAGAATGCGAGACGTGATGTGGAATCGAACCTTATAAAAGAAACGTACGTTCGTATAAATTTCGTCATCTATCTACGAACCTAGCAATAAACCAGTTGCATATAAACTCTCTCTCTCTCTCTCTCTCTCTCTCTCTCTCTCTCTCTCTCTCTCTCTCTCTCTCTATATATATATATATATATATATCAAATTTCCACCATAGTTTCTTCTCTCAAGAATTCTGAAAAAGAAGTAAAAAAATGGAACAACAGCAGTACAAAATGAGGAGCAAGAGTAGATCAAGCAATAATAATCATCTCTGCAACTTGTTCGAAGAAGAAGAAACTAGTACAGTTCATAATATTCCACCGCCGCCGCGCATGATCTCCTTCAAATCCCAGCCACCACAAATAATCAGCTACGACCACCGCCACGACAATCTCCTCTACAGCCCTTCTAGATCCTCCACCCCTCTACCGCCGCCCAGCCCCGATTCCCCCTGGACCCTCTCCCCCCACCACACCCCTTCTCCCTCCCTCCTCCACCACTGCATCGCCTCCCTCCACCGCCACGACGGCATCATCTTCTCCATCGCCGCCGCCAAGGGGCTCGTCTTCACCGGCTCCGAGAGCTCCCGCGTCCGCGCCTGGCGCCAGCCTGACTGCACCGAGCGTGGCTGCTTCAAGTCCACCTCCGGCGAAGTCCGCGCCATCCTCGCCAGAGGAAACATGCTCTTCACTTCCCACAAGGACCGAAAAGTCCGCGTCTGGAACATCACCGCCGCGCCGGAAAACTTCCAGGCGAAGAAACTCACTAATCTGCCAAGAAACAGGTCCATTTTCAAGTTCCCGAGCGGCGGCAACAACAGGCACAAAGACTGCATTTCCTGCATGGCGTACAACCACGCGGAGGGGCTTCTCTACACGGGCTCCTACGATAAAACGGTCAAGGTCTGGAGAATCTCCGACAGCCGCTGCGTTGACTCAATCGCCGCCCACGACGACCACATAAACGCTGTCGTGGTCAACCAGGACGACGGCTGCGTCTTCACGTGCTCCTCCGACGGCTCCGTCAAGATATGGCGGCGCGTGTACGGACAGAGCTCCCACACCCTGACCATGACGCTGAAGTTCCAGCCGTCGCCGGTGAACGCCCTGGCCATAAGCCCATCCCCGCCGAACTCGTGCTTCCTCTACTCCGGCTCCTCCGACGGGTTCATCAACTTCTGGGAGAAGGAAAAAATGTCCGGCAGGTACAACCACGGCGGCTTCTTACAGGGCCACAGATTCTCCGTCCTCTGTCTCGTCGCCATAGAGAAGCTGCTGTTCAGTGGATCGGAGGACACGACGATTAGGGTTTGGAGAAGAGAAGAAGGGAGCTGCTTCCATGAATGCATGGCGGTTCTCGACGCCCACAGAGGCCCGGTGAAATGCCTGGCGGCGACGCTGGAAATCGAGAAAGTAGTTGTCATGGGGTTCTTGGTCTACAGCTCCGGCCTGGATCAAACGTTTAAGGTTTGGAGGATTAAGGTTTTGCCGCCGCCGGAGGAGGAGGAGAAGAGTAATCACCATCACCACCACCACCACCGGCAACGAGTTGAACCTATAGATACAACTCATCATGATTTGAATATTACAGAGTATGAAATGAGCCCTGTGTTATCTCCTTCTTGGGTGGAGAAGAAGCTCCAAGGTGGTGATAATACTAATCCTTTTCACTGATTAATTAATAATTAGTAATTAAGCCCTAATTATGTATTAATTAGTGTCGCAGTTAAAAGCCGGTTTTTTTTCATGCATACAAATTATAAATTACAACCACCTCCTTGAGGTGAACTCAATTTACAAAAAAACCCCTTATGTTTTAAATATTATTCTCAGACCCTGCATTTCTTAAATTTCTTACATCCAACCCCCTACAAAAAGGGTGTTAATGTAAGTAATTTACAAATTTCAAGGAGTAGATGTAATTATATAAAAATAAGGGCTTTTTTTCGTAAATAGACCTAATTTCAGGGGGACGGTTGTAACTTGCCAAAATTTGTCAGAATGAAACATGTATGCATCATGCTGATCAACATATATTTCATATTTTAATAATTAGTGTTTTTCTGCATGGTATTTAATTATGAGAATTAATTTGTCTCAGTAGAAAAATATTTAAATAACAAACTGATGTAGTAATTAGCAGAAATTAAGAACAAGAGAGGAGCAGCTTAATTTGAATTTCTAATTAACTAATTAATAACAATTAACAAGGATTACATTATGATCATCTAAATAATTATACATAATGTGTAAAACCAGTTATATAAATAATTTATTGTTCTTTTAATTTAATTTTCTATGGTAGTATTTAATTTCGAGATGATGGAGCAGAGATTGTAATGAAGAAACATGAAGAATCTGTCACAACATTAAACACGTGGTAGACAGATGGTAATAAGATACATATAAATTCCCATAATTGCACTTTGCGTTTTGAGCTACCAAAGCTACTTCTTGAACGTGACATTGAAGGGCAATTAAGGGATTCTAACTAACAATAACATGGCAATAATAAAAAAGGTGTCACCTCAAATCTGTAGCTAGTGAAAACAGTTGTCTGGTCGTTGTTGAAATTAATGTGTATATATGCGCAGTGGCATAATTAATTTATGTTCAGTTATTCCTCCTTTAAGTTGATTACGCTAAAATAATTTTCAGGTCCCTCTAGTATTGATAATTACTGACAAACCTCTAATAATTATCGGTGCTAAGATTTTATATCTTGGGGATCGATGTACACTATATTTATTTCTTGTGGGATTGTCAATGCTATCACCCTTATGTTGTTTCCATTACTATCCGAAACTAATAATCTGTTAAAATCACAACTTAATAACTTATCAAATGCATTATTCTGTTGGAGTTTCTAATAATGTTTCAGGGGTAACTGTAATTACCGATACTGCAAGAATTTTAAAATTATTTTACCATACATCAGGGGTGTGTGTGTAATTTACGCTAGATAAAAGTAATCTTCACGAAAAAGAAAATAGAATCGACGACTTTCGCAATTGATCGTGATCGATCATTCGACCGTTATTACATAGATGTTACATGGCAATTAAAGTACACGTACAAATCACATACATCACCAATTTTTTTTATTATTAAACCCTCGACCTCTCACCAAATTCCACTACGAAGAAATACTCCAACACCCCACTTACACTAAAAACGAAAACATTGAATAATTAGAAAGATTCCTCTCCAGAGAGAGGAACATGGGTTCTAACAATAAAGAAATTCTCATATATAAACCCAGCAAGCCCGCCACCAATTAACGGCCCGACCCAATAAACCCAATGGTCGGTCCAATTTCCACTCACAAGAGCCGGCCCGAATGATCTAGCCGGGTTCATTGAAGCTCCTGAAAATGGGCCGCCCGCCATGATATTTGCCCCGACAACGAGCCCGGTTAGAAGTGGGCCCAGCCCTTCAAGATTCCCCTTCTTGGGGTCCACAATTGTGGCGTACACAGTGAACAGTAACGAAAATGTCAATATTATTTCCATTACTACCCCTTGTATGGACCCCACTCCACTTGCTAGTGAATGTATTGGTGTTGTCTGCAATTTAAAAAAAATTATTGTTATTTTTTCAGAGCATATTGAAATAAATAAATCCCTCTCTTTTTTTTTTTGTTCAATTAATAGGTTACTTACACAATTATTAATTTTAGGGTAAAATTACGAAAACACCCCTGAACTTAGACTGAACAACGAAAAATACTCCTGAACTTAAGCTAAATAACGAAAAAAACGCCATCCGTTCGTAATAACCAAAATCCCCTTCTGATTAACTGTTGATCGAGTTTTTAACAGAAAATGCGTACAATCTAATATACCTTCTATTAAATAGGTGAGAAAAAAGAATATTTGAAATTGTGTAAACTGTGTTGTCTGGAATAAAAAAAAAATCGGTGAAGTATGGGGTTGGTGTAAGACGAAAACAAACATCATGGAATTTTTAGTGATTACTAATAAATGGGGTGCTTTTTCGTTATTTATCCTAAGTTCAGGGGCGTTTTCGTAATTTATCGTATTTAAAAGAGTGAACAAATGAAATATAGTAAATAATGCGAACAAACACGGACTTACCAAACCACCAGTGACAAAGCTGAGCAAAGCACATGCTGCAACAGAAGCCAACAGCTGGTCAATCCAGTACAGGATTGACCGGATAACAGTGATGTGGCCGCCGGCGAGTAGTCCGAGGGTGACGGCGGGGTTGAGGTGGGCCCCGGAAATTCGGAGGCCGGCGGAGATCATCACACCCACCACCAGAGCGTGCGCCATCGCCACGAAGAACAGACCAACCAGTGCATCTCCATTCAGCTTGTCTGTTAATTAATTAACTAATTAATAATGTCATATATATATATATGAAAATTGAAATATATGTATTATACGTAATATTAAATTAAATAATAAGTAGTGGCGTATGTTAGCATGCAACTGACCGGCGGCCATGGCGGAGCCGACGCCGGCGAAGACGAAAAGGAAGGTGGTGATGAACTCAACAATTAGGGCTTTGAGGCAGTCCGGCTGGTACGCCTCCCTGTAGTGGCCGACGGCGATCGCCATTGCTAATTAAATAATAATATTTTATTATTGGAGTGAATTAAAAAATTATTAATTATATATATATTGAAGAAATGGTTAAGTGTAGTAGTAGTGGGACAATTGTATCACCATACATTTGTATTTATAGAGCAAAAATACACATAATGCATGAACATGCATTATTTCAGAAATAAGATTCCTTTCATTATTTTTTATTTTTTAATTTAAAAAAAGAAAAAGCAAGCCTGGCTATAATTATAATAATAAAAGAATATAATATAATAGTAATAATAAAAGTTGGCATGATCATCATCTAGGATATGGCATGTGATGTATATGAATTATTGAGAAGGTGAAATGACTCATATGACCAGTTGACTTCCCATCTAATCTTTAGTTTGCCACTCCAAGTTTGTATATGTGAATATTAATTAATTAATTAATTAAATCCCAAAACCCTCATTTTTAAATAATTAGCTTTTATTACTTTAAATTTGGAGCTTCGACTATTACTGAAATTTTAATTATTCGGTTGATAATAATAATTAATCATTAATAATATAATTAACTAACTCTGCTTGATGATATTCAATTAATACGACGTCGTTTTACTTTATATATAAAAAAGCTGATTAATTAGTTGATTGGAATGCGCAATGAGTGTGTTTATTTGGTGTATGTCTTCTTCATATGTATTTTGGCTTCTCAAAATGAAAAAAAAGTTGTAAAGGAAAACATATTAATTATTTTTATTGTGACATATCTGTCAGCTGAAAATTACATTAATGGTTCCATTGACATTCTTTTTATTCCAATTGGATAAATTATTTTTATTAATCATCAATTATTAAGCATGCATATATGTTGATGCACATCATATTCAAGTTAAGTGTTACCCTAGAAAAACTTTCCCTTCTTTTCTGATCTATCTATATTTGTTCCTATTATATATTTATGATTTAATTAGCTATAATCGACGATCTTATATTCTTGTATAATAGTTTGTAAATTATATGAGAGACGTAAATTAATACACTAAATTAATAATGTGCGATAAATTCGACCTAGCGACCATCAGTATTGACACAAACTTACTTACTCCAACTGCTTGGTCATCCATTGCGAAATTTGTTGACTTTTTCGACGATCTTATGATAATCAAAATAAATATATATATATAATAAAATAGAATAATCATAATTTTCTAAAGGTCCATTTTTTTTTTGTTTAATTTAATTGGCAGGAAAACTTGCACCGCCAGTTAAAATTACAGTTCACACATACTCAATTATTGCCAACTTTATTCAATCAATCTGCTTAGTTTATACTGTTTCTCCACCACCATTTGAGATAAAATATAATAATAATGGAGATAAAATTCAAATTTTAATTAAAATATAGCATGATGGATGAACTTCCTATTTCTCTGCGTTGACCTTTAACTCATTGGTTTTTGCCATGTCACGTATGTTGACGTTGTCCTGTAATATTCATGTACTAGTACACTCATCTCCCATCGATTTTATTTCAAATTAAAAAAAAAAATATGATAATATTTTTTATATATTTTTAATAATATATTTCCACGTTCATAGGCTTTATTTCCAATTTGATGTGAACATGATATGATATGAATATATGATATGACATGACATATGCATCCTATTTTGTCTTCCTTTTATTTATTTATTTATTTTTATTTCATATATTTCATATTCTATAATTTATATATTATAATCTTTTAAAAAAATTCAAAATGTTTAATTGTCGGCCCGCAATATTTAATTGGGCTTTAAATTTCAAATATCAGCCCATTTCTTAACGGGCTCAAATAAAGCCCGAATCTTTAGCCCGAAAGGCTCTGTTTCTCCTGTCGGAAACTAGGTTGACAGAACCACCATTTTTATACCTTCACTCAGAATAATTAAAAAAAAAAAAAAAAAAAAAAAACCCAATATCAAATGACATGTAAATGCAGCATATGTTGGATCCCTTCAACCCACAATTCCTTGTCCCCTTTGTTCCGGCACTCGAATTCGATTACTCTGTCGGAAGTTTGTACAGCAAAGTACGCCATCTTCTCTTTACCGTCTGTCTCACGCGCCGGCCAATCTGGTATATCATTATACACACCACTCACCACACCTGCACACACACACCAGTTTCATTTCCAAGAATTACATAATCATAAAAAAAAATTCATGTTTATTAAAACGTCGTCGTATAGTTAGTTTCTGCTTACACTTCTTTTTCTTAGTGAATGTTCCTCCAATATGCTTGCTTTTCATCTTAGCCACCACCTGTTTCATTTCACATTTTTAGGCTTCGTTTGGTTAAAATAAGATTAAATAATTCAATGAAACACAATTATATTATTGGATATTCGATGACCTAATAAAAAAACATGCCTACAAAGTAAGATAAGGTATTCTAACATAATATTTACGGGTCGACCCGACAATTTAATGAGATACCAAACATCAAATAAAGTTTAGTTAATCATGGCTAATCTGCTGAACCAAACGAGGCCTTAGTGAAATTGAGCTAAATTCGATATTACTGAGGTTGTCTTTTTTTCTTAATTACCTGCCAGTTTGAATTTATGTTGAATGAGACTTGCTTCCAATGTAGATCTCCTGTAATAATAACCCACAAATTTATGTAACTTATCTTCTTTGAAGGGGTTTAAATGTAGCTTAACCTCAAGAAAATTTAGTAATTTACCTTTCCTTGTGCGTTTGAGAAGTTCACCGCCTTTCGAAACGAAATTCAGAGTTAGTGAGATGTTCGATTCTTTGCTATTCCGAAGATTATCCTCCGTAAGAGCAATAGTTGCACCTCCATGTTCTTTATATAGCCTTGCTCTTAGTGTCGCGGCCCCTCTTAAAGCTGCACCGTTCGATATCAGTATCGCAAAATGAAGAACACAGAGTAATGTTATCACGGATGGATTTCTAAAGTTTCGATTTTTATCTATGTTGTTTGCAAATTCAAGACTTGTGTAAAACTTAAAAAGTTTCGATTTTTTTATCTATGATGTTTGCAATTCAAGAGTTGTGTAAAAAAGTTTCGATTTTTATCTATGATGTTTGCAATTCAAGACTTGTGTAAGAAAGTTTCGATTTTTATCTACGTTGTTTTCAATTCAAGACTCGTGTATAACTAACTACCAACTGATGATACCTGTAGCAGCTCCGGCAGTGAGTGCCATAACATCCCCGTTGGTTCTTGCATTAATAGCCGAACTCACAACCGCCAATATATGATCGTGATCCGCTCCCATATCCTCCGCAATTTCCAGGCAGTGTGATGCAACTAGAGCCGCTGCAGAAGCAATCGCAGAGGATGTTTTCGAGTGTCTCTTATGCTTACTGACCGATTTCTCCGGCGAGGATGATGATGATGATAAAGAGGTGGCGGCAAGGGCGGCCACGGCTGCAGCCACTCCGGCGACCGACACCGCTGCGTGGAGTTGAGCATTGTGAGCTCTAATCTCCTGTTTTTTCCTCTCCTTTTGATCTTTCATCCATCTCCCCATTGTTTTCTTCTTCATGATGCTTCTGTATAGCTGCTGTAATAATTGAAAACGAAAGAGAAATGAATTGTGGCACTAATGTTTTTATAGTTTTTTTTTTTTTTAAATTCTGATTCGGCCGGAGAAAATCGAAACGTACCCCGTTTCGAGGTAAGTGTTGATTGGATAGGAATTCTGGGTTTAAAGCTTGATGCAGCACAAATATTTCCTGTAAGTTTATACACAGGTAATTAAGTGGAGATAACTTTATTAATTAATTAGACTAAGTATCGACTTTTGTCGAATTGCACACGTGTGACAGATTTTATTACCTTGGCATCGTCACTACTTCTAGGTGACATCGGAGGGCTCTCTGAGGCTAACAAAGGCTCATTCTGCTGCAATACATAAGACGAGTTATACATAAACTATTTTTTCGTTAATCTTCTTTAAAATGTGAAGTACATACAGAGAGCAAAGAGGTTCCGTGGTCGGTTTGAGAGGCGGGACCACCATCCGTGCCGCCTAATGGCGGCTTATGGGAAGTTTGGTTTGCATCATTAGTGTGGCAAAGAGCCTTTGAGAGCTCCATGGCTGAGAGACTCCACGAACGAGCCAAGAACTCCATCGACTCGGTCGGAGTTTCTGGCGGTGGACATGTCACGGGCAAAAACTCTGCAGCATTTTCTTCCTCGATGTTTTCCAGCTTATTGCTCCTGCATTTCGAGTTCGCAGACACTGCAAAAAATCCCACAGAAAAAAAAAAAACAAAGGAAATATAAACACGAGTAAGTTTCACTTTTCTCGACTATTTCCTCGTTTCTTAGTTGAAAAGCAGAGTGGTTAATCTTACTTTCTTTCTTGCTATGCCTATAACCTATCTGAAACTGGATAATGGTGATGATGCAAAAAGGAACACACACTGCTGGTATTTATTGGTGTTTCGATGATTTCTTGAAATTAATTATAACAAAAAAAAATCGAAAGGTTCCCAAAATAAAGTTTGAACAAACTTTTGTCTCCAACTTACGAGTGTCTCTTTTGAATCCTTTTTTTTCTGTGCATAAAAGATTAAAGAATGCTTTTTTTTTTTTTTTTTTCCGGTTCTCGAGCGGCGGGTTCATTATTACAAGGGATCTTTTGTATTTCTCCCATTAACACTGTTTTAAAAGCATGAAAAAAATAAATAAAACAGAGGGCCCTCCATCCATTATGCTTTATTTCAGTTCATTTGATGAAAGGAGTAATTTTTTCAGGAATATGTTTCTGGTTTAACTCTGATTCTACTTCTCTCAAGTTACTACTTTACAGTTTTCTGCATTGACTTGTCAAAAAAAGTAAAGGGCTTTTTCCTCAGTTCATCATCCATCACTTGCTACTACTTACTACTTTCAAGATTTGTATAGATTTTGATTCTTGATTCTTGATTCCTCTTTTACCACTCTCATTCTTGGGAATGTACTTTTCTCTTTATTTGATAAATGCAGCCATGGATATGATAAATTAGTGAATAATGGAATATTAATCAGCACTAATGATGATTATGATGATAATTGTAGTTTACTAAATTCTAGGCAATCTAAGTGTAAGTGGGGAGTGCATCTTCTAATCTTTGTTTTGCTTTTAATCAAGTGTGTTCAATAGTGGTGCACTAATAACAAGGTCCCACGCAACATTCATCGCTAGCCCATAACCCGTTTTTGTTTGATACGGTTTTCGATGTAATTCCTCGTTTGAACACACTCTCTTGTTTCCCACATTTTGAAGTGGATCTCACTCTCTCACAGAAGAATCGAGATCTAGAACTCGGAAGAGAAGTCAAAAGATCGAAAATGGCTCTTAATTCACCGAGTGGGCTTTGTGCTATTTGAAGATCGGGCTAACAAGTTGAATTCTTGATTAATTCGGTTTCGACCCAAAATCCAACGGCCACCGTATTTTCCAAACTTTAAATAACTTCGATTCGTAACTTCGGCACTTTTTCTATTCAAGAAAAGTAAAATAAATTATAATATGTAGTGATGCTTAAAATTACATTTGGAGCTATATAATATATATACATAGTACTTTCAAGAAGAACTTTTGGAGTTAAGGCTAGCCAATATTTCAACGAAGCCCACCACCACCGCGACGGAGTTGTTTGCCGCCAGCGGAGCAAAGATTTCAGCCTCGTTAGACTGGGCGGAGCCGCCACCGGCGAGGTCGGAAAGTGACCGGAAAGTGATGAAAGGCACCTTTTGCTGGTGGCAAATCAATGCCACGGCAGCACTCTCCATATCCACAGGGCTGACGTGGAATTTATCATGCAAGAAACTTCTGTATGCAGAATTGTCCAAGAATATGCTGCCACTTGTCCCTCTTGACACCCTTCTTACAATTGGAGTATCAGACAAACATGTTGTTGAATTAATGCACTTCTCCAATTCCATGCCCTAATTTCATCTCAATGAAATAATATTAATATTTTTATTATATTAAAATCAAGATGGAAAATCAATGAAGTAAACAATTTCTTGATTATTACCTCTAATTTCTTGGATAATTCGAAGTAATTAGAATCGACGGGGACCCAAAATGCGTGTTGTCTCTGCTCGGGGGTGCCGTCGATTTCGAATATTTCTTCCGGTTGATACCAAACACGGTTTAAGAGATTGTCACTAACTACATTATTTGTAGTGTAGTTAGCAAATCTCAAGTGTCCAATTTCTCTTGTGTAGTCTCCATTGCCTTCAAGGGCTAGTTCATTTTCTGGCCCATCTCCATACCTCTGCAAATTAATTTTAAATTGCATTAAATTAAAATAAATTATTAATTAAAATTAAAACAAATTAATTTTTTTTTGGTTGCAATAAAAAAATTAAAAAATTAATGTACCTGCCAATTCCAAAGAGCTGTATGAGACCAATATTCAGGAATGGTGACATCTCCAATATTCAGAGATGGATTTGCATTTCCAGCAATTCCATAATGCAACACTCCTTTTATATTGAACAAGCTTAACAGAAGCTGCGTCGTTACGCCTGCATTTAACTATTTACCGAAAAACCTTAATTATATATACATGTATATATATACACGCGTGACGCGTGCATAAGTGTATGTGTGTTGACATGTTATGTGAGACGATTCATAATTATACCATGGCTAGCCCGGTCATAACCAATATCACTTTCTCTTCATAAATGGTTCCAAATCTGAACCTTCTTCCTGTCAAAACAATATTATATTATGTTTGGCTGCGGGTTCTTTCATTACAAAAAAAAAAAAAAGTAAAAATAAAATAAAATTATATATAATATATATATAAAAGAAAAAATACCTGCAAAATCAATGGTGAGATTAGTAGGTTGGAAGCTAGGATGGTGAAGAAGAGGGTTCATTTCAAAGAGATTTGGAATCACTAATCCAAGATAAGGGCCCTCTTTATTAGCTTTATATATCATTCTTTGTGTCTTTCCATTTATTACATCACCATTTGCATTATTTGGTATCAATGACGTCATTATTAAGCTCAATATAACTACAAAATACAAAACCCTCCTTATTTCCATCATCTTAATTAGTTTTGCATGCAATATGAGAGAGAGAGAGAGAGAGAGAGAGAGAGAGAGAGAGAGAGAGAGAAATATTTATGTTAGATATATATAGTAGAATAGAAATAGTTAAAGTATTTACTATTGATTTGAATAATCCAAGTTGAAATGTACGTTGAATGTTGATACGGTCCATACGAATACTAGTCTAATTTTTCGTACGCAACGTGTTTTTTTTTTTTTTTAATTGTATAATAATACGTAGGTTGTATATTTTTTCCTAGGGATGGCAATTAATTAACCTATATGTACTTCAAATCTCATATTTTGTCAAAGTGATTGAATGAGATTACTAATCTTATCAAGAAAACCAAACCCACAAATTCACGCATCAATGTTTAGAACCACCCTAACACGTGCTATCCTTATCACCATTGCCAAACTCTTACACACAAGGACGACCTAATTAGTGGCAGGGCGGACCCATAGTTTTTTCTTCAAAAGGCTAGAATATGGACTAAAGTGTATAAAATTGAAAGTTTTGGGGACGAAAGTACATTAACTAATACATAAACAACTAATAAAAAAAAATATGTTAAAATTATTTTTTTTTGGGGGGGGGGGGGGGGGGGCACCCCAAGCATGGGTACACCCCTGATTGGTGGAGTAAAGATCACCGCGTCTAACGACCTTAGTTCGGTTTCTTTTGCAACATTATTTAGGTCAAGCTCGTCACATATGGTATATCTTATTCAGTGCAACTTACACCTCTTATATAATTCGTGTGACTATTGCACGGGAACGAATTTACCACGTGCATATGTGTGAATGCGGAAAAATATTATAAAATTGAAAATAAATATAACAAGTTGTCTACCTATTTTCTATTGAATTGTTAGGCAGTAGATAAAGAAAAAATTGAATGCTTTGCCAAACTTATTGATTGCACCACTCGTTATCTGCCATGTCAAGTGTTAACCCATGACCACAAGAAAGAATATACTATATAATCTTTGGTAATACTAATACATATGAATTTTCTTGGAAAGCCCGTGTGCCACCTGTCCAAAATAACCGATCTTCCGGGGCGGGTCGAGAATGGAAGATTCTAGAAGCATCTTGTATCGGATAATAATAATATGAAACTACAAACCGGGGGGTTTGAAGAAAGGTGCAAAACCGAAGAGTCCTTCAACATCAATAGGAAGGCCGACAACACGATTGATAATCTCGGGTGTGCTCGTTTTGCCTTTCCATGTGCTGAACCATGGTCCTCCCCCGACTTCTACTGCCGCCATTTTACTCGTCACATCCAATATAACCTGACAACCAAATAAAATTAATATATTTTTTTTTCTTATTTAAAACAAAAAAGGATTATCGAGGAGTGAAAAACAAGTACCTTCCCTTGAGTTCCATTGTTTTGTTTTACCCATATTCGGAGTCTTAAGTCGGCAAAACAAGTGTCCTTACATGCTGGAGCAAGGCCTGCTTCTGAGGTGGGAGCGCGTAATGTTGTACCGGGATCTTTTGTTTTTGCTTCCAATTCAACCTAATCGTATCAAAGTTTTGAATTAGAAAATAATCCCGAGTTTTTGAAATAAAAAAAAAATGAATCTTGTAATGCGTGTGATTATACCGTGTGTGTTTCATTTTCGGCAGTAATGAACCAATGGCCCCATTGAGCAACTTCCCAGTTAACCACTCCATTCCATGGTGCGAACTCGTAGAAAACGCCACCGTAGTGAACTCCAATCTGAGTAATAAGAAGGTGTAACATAGTTTTTAGGAGTCGCTTCCTTGTAATTACTATTACTTATCGTACTCGAGGTTTAAAAAACGGGAATATGATCAAGATTGTAGATAAGTACCATTGCAGCATTTTCAAAAGTCTCAGTCAGACCAGGGATCTGTCTTAATCCACCACCAGAAGTCAGAGCAACTTCTCCATCAGCTCCTTCAAACACGTTGCATTGCACCTGTAAAAACAAACCCGAGCATTAAGCATTGATGAGGATATATCACACAATAAATAAATAAATAAAAATTAATGTACAGATAACTATGTACCCAAAACCACTTTCTAGGGAAGGCACCACCCCAGTTCTTCTCACAATATGATGGAGCATCTTTAAACTCGTAGCGTTTATCATCCCACTCAATCCAACCTACACGAGAAAAAAAATAAAAAAAATAAAATAAGCTTGCACATATATATGTTGAAAAAGAAAAAGGAAAAAGTGCAAAATGGAAAAAAGAGAATACCAGTTGAAAGTCCGCCCGCCATACATACTTGCCAATGAGGTTCAAAGACAGGGAAAGCGGCAAGCCATCCGGCAGTTGACTTTTGCTTTGACCCGACATCTCCCCATCCGTAAACAGGGCGCGTGCTGTATGCCCACCGTGCAGTCTTTACAGTCTCCGCATAATTTGTCCTGTCAGGATAAATCGAGTCAAAACGAGCGACGTATGTAAATGGTTAAATGAACTCCCAATTGCATCAACAGTCACGTAGAACCTAACAAATAACTTAGAAAAGTCAAAGTAATACATCAAGAAATCAAAAGATCGTCGAAGAAGATTTACCTTCCGTCATCACGAATAGAGCCTTGGTGCCAAAGCGGGGTAACTTGGAAACCTTCCGTAACTCTTTGATTAAACTCCTGAACAAACAATTTGATACAGTCATGAAGGAACAACTGAGTTTCAATTCTATCTTAAGAGCTAAAAAAGATCCTTAAATCCGTAAAACAAATGAAGGGTTTCCTCCCTAAGATGTTTATTATGAAAGAACACCCTTCTTTCTTCCCATGCACGTCGTTTTAGAGTTCTACGAAGCATCGAAATATCTTGTTTTACGTAAATACGACCGGATAAAAGCTAACCTGTGGAGGGATCTCTTTCTTTGGAGGCTTCGTATTCGTTTTCCCCACGAAAGTATTACCAAGCATCAGTTCATCCCTATCTACCACATATTAGATGATCTAAAGATTCAGTGCTATCGCAATAATTCGACAGACAATTCCACTTAAAACAATTTCAATACTCGTCCAAATTTGACGAGCAAAGATCAAAAAATTTCAAATAGGTTAAGTAACATACTTGCCCAAAAGTTGCGTGATCCTTCGTTGTACTGACAAATATACTTATCGCCTGCGCCTAGAATTTGAGCTCCAACGCCCGTAAATCGAGGGCCGTACTGTGCGGTTTCCAGTGCGGTTAATTTCTTGGGGAATGATGGGCTCTCAATAGAATACATAAAGCAGAAACTCTGCCTACATTCTGGAATTGAAACTTTGAAATACCATCCCTCGAAAAATTTACGACTGGTTCCGTCGAAATGGTACCTAATCAAAGAATCCACAATCATGCGCAGGAAAAATCAAAACCTAATTCAAAAACTATTATCAAAATTGCAGTTCCCATAATTTGATCCTTCCAAAAATTGTTATTATAATCAATTAATCATAAACAGTAATCATACACGTCGATAATGAAAAGCATCAAATATACGTAATTGTGGAAATTAGAAAACAATAAACACTGAATTTGCGCGACGCAACAAAATAATGAAAAAAAAATTAGGAATTTAGAATTTACCCGCTGTGAGGGGTTCGAAGGGGGCGATTACGAGGGGTGGGTTCATAGACGGGATCCACATTAAGAACATGGTTTCCAGCATCATTAGCAATAGAATCTAACGGGTCGTATTTCAAAACGGATTTTACGGCAAACGGGCGGTGAGATTTTTTCCTGGGCCGCAGCAGCTCCGGCGGCGAAAATGGAGGTCTTGCGGCGGGTTTGAGAGGGAATGAACATGGATTTAAACATGGGTTGGTGGCAATTGTGCAGAGATTCTCCATTGATGAAGTCCTGAAGCAGGACTGTGTTATGAGCTGCGTGTGTGTGTGTGTGTGTGTGTGATGTGTGGGCGGAGGGAGAGAGAGAGAGAGAGGTGGTGCAAGGTAGCTTACGTGTCAAAATGAAAACGTGTATATCAGCACTATTTTTGTCCCTACATTTGATTTTATAATTCTTGCCAAATAAATGATTGTAAATATGTTAAAATTATAGGATATTTATAAATTATTATATGATATTTATACATTATTAAATTTACATTATTAAACGAATAAAACGTGGCATTTAATAATTGATAGCAATTTCAATTATTTATGGGTAAATTACATCCAAAACCCCTAATGTTTTGGTAATTACAACCACACCCCTTAACTATGAATTTTCTCACGGGTCCACCCTTACGATATCAAGTTTATTAGAATCTTCTAGATTATGGGGAATATTCTCCAGTTTGTACCGTCTTTTTTTCCACATTTTGAAACAAGATGATTATAAAATGTGTGTCGTCTTGTCTTGTAAATATAATATTGTGGTGCAATAAAAAATTGCATTTTTGTACAAAACGAGTACAAATTAGAGGACATTCAACGGTATGTAGAAGATTCGATCGAATTTGACACCATAAGGATGAACGTATAAAAATATTCATAGTCGAGGCCTTGAGGGGTGATTGGAATTACTCAAACACGAAAGGATTTTTTCGTAATTTGACATTACCTCAGGGGCTCTGCCGTAATTTACCCATTATTTATTATAAAAAAAAATGTCTCATTGTCAAAGGTTAAAGTCAATAAACTAGTTAAAATTCTTGTGCTTTAGTCAACTACTGTCATTTGTATAGAACTACATATTATTAATAAATATGTGATGATATTAAATAAAATGGAATAATTAAATATTAAAAACATGTGTACTATATACAAATTCCATAATATAATAGTGAATTATTCCTCTTTATATTTTGCCTCTCATGAGTTGCTGCTGCTGCAATTTCAATTTCAATTTGACAGCAAAACCTTCCCCAGCAGCAAATAGCTTCAAAGCTAATGCCATCAAACTTAACAGAAGTACCACAAATACCAACTCCATGCTCGATTTCGCAGTAGCGAAATAGAACGAAATAAACGACAACGTTTCGTAGAAATCGACAAACACAATCAGTAGCAGCAAGAAAAAGGTTGCGAGAAGAAGAGATATCAAGATAACCAGCGTAACAACAAGAAGCACGCAAGATATGAACGAACCATGAATTAGTGCAAGAACCATCAGATCGATATTCGGCACCATATCGAACAACTAGCTAGAGAGAGAAACAACGAGAGCAATAGAGAGAGAGTGCATTATATTCTTTCTTTTGAGGAAGAAAATAGGAAAAGAATGAAGTAAGTTGCACTCATTCTCTCCATATATGATATTCGACGTGTTTTTTTTCCTACACCTTTTCATCATTGCGTATTTTTCCCGAGCTCTCTCAATATCCACAAATAAATGAAAAAAAATTAAACAAAAACATTTTTTTTAAAGTACATTGCATGCAACTACTTATTATTACGATGCCAAACCATGATTCTTGAAGAACTCGTCGGAAAACATTCCATTTGACTTTCGTCCTCCGCAATTTGCTCGATAAATGTGCTCGCCTGAAACATAATAGATATATCAGCACTCAGAAAAAAAATAAAAAAAATAAAAAAATAAAGAAACTCACTTGCACAACTTCTTTCACCGTCTCAATCTGCCTAATAGGCTCGATTGTAGGCCGGTGCCATCTCTTCGGATCCCATATAATAGTACTGTTAAATGCAAAACCCGACATCTCAGCATGGAATCTTCTAGATTTTTTCGCCACGTCAGCCACATGCCACCCTATCACTTTAGAGCTATTACAAATCGGACCGTCAAAAAAAACATCACCTTCGTTTTCCACCAACTTTGCCACTACCCATATCCCAATTCGACTGCATTTAAAAAAATAAACGTCTTTTCAAATAAATCACCACAATTCAACGTACAATTTGAAGTGAATTAGTATTCAAGAAAGTTACCTGATTTTCCTCATTTGTTCAAAGACACCAGTCGAATATATATTATCATCATCGGCAAAATAAACAATTCCATCAAGACGGTGCGCCTCAATGTGTGAAAGAGCCACATTCCTCAAACTCGCACTATTATCGGTTATCTCAGTAGAGTTTGTTCTACTGCATACTAAATGTCTGTACATAAGACCAGTATTCCTCAATAGGTCAGCGGTTTCTACCGACTGGAAATTCATCTCCACAACTATCCACAGTACAGGATGTGGGACCCGTTTCAACGTATGTGCCAAACGGTTCAAATAGTAGGCCTGAATTGGCCTAGCGTGTGATGGAGTCACAATTATTAGAAGCTTATCGGAAATCACTTCAGAAGCCCAGTTCGACGAATTATCTAAAGTTCCGTCATTGAATTCAACACTCAGTTTCTGTGATGTAGAATTTTCATTCGGAGAAAATCTGCCGACTATTGACATTTCCTTTCTTGAACTATAAAGCTCGTTGAATACTTGGTTTTTAGAGACGACATTTGCGGATAAATCCAATGGGAAAAACGGGGTGAGTCCAATAAAAATACCGACAATGAAGCAAGTTAAGAAATGCAGAAATGCTTTTCTCAAAATTTTTCCCTTTAACTTTGATCTGTCGAAGGGCCTAGAAGATCGTTGCGAGAATATACTGAGAATAAAATTCTGGGTTTTGTACAATGCATAGTCCAAGGAATCGAATGAAGACGAAAATGGACCGGAATTTGGTGGGTAGTTTTGCGCATTTGACGAAGATTTGGACAAGGGAGATGCCACCTGGCAAGCTTCGCCGCCATTCATTAAAGCTCCGGGTCGAGGAACGGGCGACAATGTTCTTCTAATTGATGCCATGATCAATGCCTCACAACTAGTATATGATATAATCTTGGCGAAGTGACAGTTATTTCAAGAATCATTCATAATACTTTCAATTTCGAAAAAAATCCGAATCTTTAATCCTACTTTAAAAACACTCAATATATCGAAAGTTGCTCACTTTTCGCCTCAGAAGTTCCCTGAGAATGAGCATTCAAAACCCCAAATCAAAAATTAATTTTTCTAAGCATATCATTAAAAAGATTAAATTTTTACAACTGCAAATCTCAACAATTCATCGAAAAAATGCAAACTTTATCAATACAAGAAGACGAATATAACCCGCAAAAGGAACTCCCACAGAGAACACGAGCAAAGATTCCATTTTATGCAATAAAGAACAAGATTTGAAGCTCAAATAACTGAAATAGCTCTTGAAAATGAAATCAATTACCTCGTCTTCATCCCCCAAGAAATGGGTCTTCAATATTTTCTTTCGAACCAATCTCCAAAGGGGAAAGAAATTCAGACACAAGCATCAGAGTCGGAACTCGGCAGCTTAACTGTAAAACAGAGGAAGAATGTCTGTCTATAAACACACACACACACACACACACACACACACACACAGAAAAATAAAATTTGAATCTTGGAACTACAAAAAACAATAGGTGAGAGTTGGGGGAGCAAACGGAAAGAGAAAAGGTGTGTTAGTGTGTGTGTGTGTGTTTTTCTGCAGAATATATGACAACAAATCACATGAGGATGTAGGGATGGACTATATATAACTCCATGAACAGAGGGTCCCAGATTGCTTATAAAATTACTAGCCAGTCACTGATCTCTCTCTCTCTCACACACACACACACACACTCTCTCTCTCTCTCACACACACACTTTTTCAACAAAATGTGTTCAAATTTATTGGGGTTCTATGGTTACAATTCAATGATCAAGATTGTTATTTCAGAAGATATTTGGTTACCACAAAAAGTGTTGTATTAAACATGCCAAAGAATGTTTGTGCCTTACATATTCAAACTTATATGGGAAGTTTTTGACCCAATTAATTAATGGATCAATTAAACGTCAAATTATGGAGAATAATCGAACACCTGATATTCTCAATAAATAAATCAACATATTAAGCGAAACCCTTTCGTGGGAATCTATCAATTAATCAATGAATATAGATATTTGTTAATTTTATTTAATTTGCTTTGAAAACTGTCAATTGGGTCCTCCTTGACAGATCAACTGTGTCAGAAAATGGCAATGTGGGACCTGGTATTGTAATAAAGGGTCAATTTAGTAATTTACTATACACCCATTTACTGCAATTTCATTTTAAAGAAGAACAAGCCACGCTCCGTATTTTGCTAACAGTCCATCGGGTATTCTTTCATATTTGCTTTTATTCACATGAGTTTCAGTCTTCTGCTTAAGTCTTGAATTAATTTATTCATGCATATATATATATATATATATATATATATATATATATATATATATATATATATATATATATATATGTGTGTGTGTGTGTGTTTGTGTGAACATTACATTAAGTATGAGGTCTCAGACTCATGCGTCAGCCCTAATATAATTAATGTCAATTAATTCATTATTTTCTTATTCACATAAAGTTGCTACTGCTAGTCTCACGTCTTATCAACCTGAATAAAGTGCGACTTTCAAGGAAAATAACTTTTCACTACAAAAGGAGTGCAATAAATGTACAGTTTGTTTCTGCACAAGTATTGCATACATGTACATTTTCTGTGCAATATATCTGTGCATTTTTCAAGATTACAAACACAGATATTTATATATTGCTATATACATACATATATTTATATATTTAAGACATAACTAATTTGAAGCTATTAATTTCAAGATTATTCCATTCTTGCATCGACTCGAGGGATGTGCAAGTTGGAGTCGTAATCGGAGTTTGTACATAAATATTGAGAAATCCGGAGACGAAACCAGCAGCTTAATACATTATAAATAAATTCGGATACAACAATTTATATTTAAAAAAAAAAAAATTGTCTCTAGATTGTGAGAATCTAAATTAAGAGCTCGAAGAGCATAAACCCGAACAATTATTCATTTTCTCGAAAACTCTTTTCCCGAAACATCCTTTCTCATTCTTCCTCTGTTCGCCAAATTCAACGAACGCATTTTTTCTTTCGAAGCATTTGATCTCTTTCTAAACTTCAAATCCTTCGCAGTTAGAGTGAATTCATTTCCCGCATCGGGAATGCTGAAGTCAGCAGGGTTGCGGTTAAGAGTGCAAGGACCTAACCGTAAATTACTCCTCTCCGGCTGAATCACAAGCCCGTCTAATCTTTGACCTTACAAAAAAAAAAAACATTCTTTTTCAAATATATGCAATAGATCGAAAAAGATCAGCCTTTTCAAGAATCGAGGATGAAACTTACCTAGTACATAAGAAGAATCTTTCTTTGAGCTTTCGCCGGCACAATAAGCACCACCATAACGAAATCCAGAAGACAAGTCTTTCAAGTTATGGTTCTCCTTCCCGTTTATCTGTCGGTTTTGGTTGGAAGAAGAAAACGGGCTATCAAGAAATCTTTTCGGGCCCACTTCAAAAGAAGATCCCGATACAATTCTCTGATCCATCAAAGACAGCAGCTGCATTGCTGGAATCGTATCGTTCGAGTAATGTTCCAAAGACCTTCCGGAAGCTGCTGACGACGTGGACCCCACTCTCCCCTCTTCGAACGCTGCTTTTTTTCCCTTGACAACCTTCGTATGATGATCGCTTATTACGGTATTCTTTCCTTTGTAGCATTGGTCTGAATACGGACCAACAACGCCCATCCTATTTGTGCTAAGATGAAACGGCACATTCTCTCTTGTAGGGGGCCAAAATAGTTCCGCCCCCCCTGTGCTAGGTCTCTGCCCGATCAAGATGGAACCTGATGCTGGATAATGTTTCTTAATCTGTTGTTGTCTCGACGTAGATGTACTGAAGAATCCGAATTGTCTCTCCTCTGGTTTGCCGATTTCGATTTGGGAGTACTTGTTGTTAAACTGCGATAAATTAATCAAGGGATTATTAATGTTTTGTCTCACTCCCACATTTCCATTTCCTAGCGTTGAACCGTTTCTGCCCGCCAGAGGGAAATTAATCATTCCAGGGCGTTGATCCATGTAAAGACCGGAATACCCTCGCCTTGTGTTTCCGAGTGCCCTTTCGTGTTGGTTTCTGGCCAATAGCTCAACTATTTCCATTGGAATATCATCTGAAGTTCCGATTTCCATGGAATTATCTTTCTTTTGTGGCTCGTAAACTCCGAAATGCCCTTTGCCTTCTCTAGTTGACTCTTTACTGTACGATGCAAACGCATCCTGTAAAAAATAACAGAAAATAGCAATAATTAGTTAACAGAAACAAAATATAAAAAAAATAAAATTAAAAAAATCGAGAGAATTTTGCGAACCGAAGAAGTTTTATTATGCAGAGGAAAATTCCTCTTGTCAGAATAATTAGTCCTCTGAGGAAACTCCTCATTGAGATCAGGAATGCCCCTAAACTGCACGAAAGATGCTCGATTCTTGGAATTGATGATGTCAGCCTCCATAAAGCTGTTGAGGGAAAGGTCCAACCCCACTTTCCCTTTGGTGCTGCAATCTCCTAAAATGCTCGATTCTTTAGTAATGCTCGTCCCCATTAATAAAGGTACGAGATTAGCTTCAGCTTCGTTCGTCTTTAATCCTCCCATTGTCGAAACAGAGACAGCTGTTCTATCTTCAGTGTTTAAGGTGTGAGGCCTCGTCGCCTTTTTACTAATATCAAGACCTTTATTTCTTTTCTTCTTGATTTTCTCAACCCTTGCACCAAGTTTAAAATCCAATCTTGCAGGTGCGTCTTTTTCCGATTCGGATTCGGAATTTCGAACCCTCCTGCATTTTCTGTCTGCGTGCAGTACAAGGGTTCTGTTTTTTTTAGCAGAGGCTCCTCTTTCGTCTTCATCTTCTTCGAGAACCATCTTTCTTTTACTTTGAGGACTTCTAGAAACTTCCGCAGAATCTGAAACTGCTTTCTTCTGATCAACAGATATTGTTCTAACATTATCACTAGTTGAATTATTCTCTTTCTCCACCATTATATCAGCCAGAAAACGCAATTTCGGCTTTCTCCTATGCGGAAATGCACTAAAGGAACCGTCTTTTCCAGACGATGCATTTTCTTGCTCGTCAACTATGCACAAAGAACGCACTGTAACAATACAATATATCAGAAGCATCAGTTGCTAGAATATTATAATCTCAGCAGTTTCAAATAAATAGTTATTTATCAAATTACCTGCAACGTTATCACGTGGATTTACTCCTTTGTCTTTGCTGCCTGCACAGATATTTCGGATGTTACGAATTAAACACGGGGCAAATCTAGAGCAGCAAATTATACTGACAGAGAAATTACCAAGATTTTTATCCGTAAAAAAAAACTTACATGAATTAGAATACTTGATAGTTTTACTTGGACAGTTGTCTTCATCATCCACAAAGAAATTTGGCAAATACACAAAAGAATCATCAACAATGATTATTGATTACAGAATATATATATATATATATATATATATATATATATATATATATATATATATATATATATATATATATATATACCACCAGTCAGCATTTACCTATATTCTCCTTGACGCCTAAGAACAAGTCGTTTTTTTCTGCAACGATATTCGGACAAGAACTTGTACCGACGTCACTTCTGTCGTCTGTGAGTAGCAATACCGTTTCGTCTCTACTCCTCTTCGTATTAATTTCTGGAACGCAGTTTGAACACTGCCACCACTGAAATCTAGGAACAACTAACGGAGGCAGATTATCCGCCAGCTCATCATCATTGCCTTGTGATGCAAAGGGCAAACATGTCATCCTATTCTTTTTCCTCATCCCAGCAACAAAACCACTGCACGGCCACGTAATTATAAATCGGACATTCACAAACATTTTCTTTGAAACTCAACGAGGTTAAGTACTGTAGATTACACAAAAAAACCATTCTTGTTGATGTTATAGATATCCAAGATTACTGTCATGCATGCAAACTGTGTCACCTTCAGTTTCATCCTCGGTTTAAAACGCTAGATCAAGATATTATATCAATGAAAACAACTACTAAATCATATTTTCCTGTCATGCAATTTATACTTTCCGTATCACGTATAGCACTTGTGATGGAACACATTTTCCCACACACAAAACATACGCACGAAGCAGAAAGAGATATATCCAATTTTAAAATAGTCGATTGATCATAAGCTTATATAATGCCAGTCAAAAGAAACTTACTTGCCGAAATAAAACAAAAAGTTTGCTTTTTTTTCTTTGTTTTGAGAATCGATAAAAGAAGTTTAACTCTATCAAAGAAACACTAACCGTATCGAAAAATGCTCATGTATTGGTGACTCGATATCTTCCACAGCACTAGTGATGTCTATAGCTATTGAATTAATTCGAACAAGCGAACCTAAAGATTTTGATGCAGATACCGGAGAATCACTTTTCCGATGACTTTCTTCCTTCGACACCGTTCTATTGTCCATTTTCGATAACAAAACCCTACAACTGGTGGGCGAAAAAAAAGTTAATTCACATACTTAGTGCATAAAATCATGATTTGAAATGTCTGCATTTTCTACCCGAGAGGCGATCAAAGCTCAAAGCTAACTTTATTTAGTGTACCTGGCAAAAATTAATATGATTAGAAAGAAACGAAGAAACGAGTAACATACGATTAGGAAAACTGACATTAAAATGTGTCATGTAGAACATATGATAAACCCTAGCTAACAGTAACAATAAAGACGAAACTTCGACCAATCAAAGATTTACAGGTTCCCACATACGATAAACTTCAAGAATAGCAAAACCCACCAAACAAAAAGCAAAATGAGTCACTAAAAGCACAGCAAAAAAATAAATTAAATTTTTAGGGTTTTCTATATGAGGAAGATGCAATCCAGAATTTCAAAATTAAATTTTAGGGTATTGACAACTTAGAAATTAACTCGAAACCCATCTCTCGTTCAATCACAAGTGGAGAAATAAAGATGTTAATTTTGATTCCCAATTAAAATTAGGGTTTATTGAATTCAAGAAAAGGTTTCGGTTATTTTAAACGTCACCAGCTAAGCTAAAAACAGTAAATAAATAATAAGCAAAAAAAAACACCATAAAATGATAAGAACGTGAAAAGAAATTACATGCCAGCAAATAAATACAACAATTAAAATAAATTCAAGAAACCCACTTCCGATGAAAAAAAAGAAAAAAGAAATTGAGCTGAAAGTCAGCTACAAACCTAGTACAGATTCACCCTAACATTAAAAATAAAATAAAAAAGTAAATCTTGCAACATCAAATAAAGACAACAGTAAACAGTAAAAATAAAACAAACAAGTAAGAGAAAAAAAAAACAAACCTTTACTTGAATCGAGAAATCGGATCAGAAGCTCACCGAGTCGACCCAGCTGAATTTTTTTTTCCCACAGCTCAGTGAAGAACAGTATTCATTTGATTACAAGATGAACCAGCAAATAAAACCCATCTCTATGTATATCTTGAGATGATCTGAGAGAAAATAGAACAAATTCGAGACCAAAACGAATGAGAACCCTAGATTTTCTAGGTCTGGAAATTTAGTTTCCTGGAGGAAGGAGAAATGTTTTAGAGAGAGAAACACGAAAAAAAATCAAGAAGAGAGAGAGAGTGAGAGACAGTGTGTGTGTGTGTGTGTGTGATTTCTGTGTATTTTTTTTATATAATAATGATGTTTATTGTCGACCCATATGGGTACTTTGTAGTATTTTTTATGTGTGTGTATGTATACATGGCATGTGTATGTAATGGAAGAGAGAGAGAGAGAGCAGGGCCCAATGAGATCTCGCCAGCGAGGCGCTTTGGTTGCGATGCTTATCACCACCCACAATGCGTTTCCGCGAAACCCTAGTCAGACGGCAGTACGGACGTGCATCGCACGCGCTGCACTTTGGAGGGTAGTTGAACGGTCGCTGTCTTGTCAAAAGATGGTCCACGCGCACCAATGTGGGATCTGATTGGTGCGTGGCGCACACCGGTGAAGAATCGAGAGTGGGGGAAATTTTTGGAGAAATGAAGAGAGAAGGAAAAGGAAAGAGAGCCCTAAATCGTGTGGTAATAAAGGAGGAAGGTAAAGGTAGGGACAACCCTAAAACCATAAGATATTACATTAGGGGTAACATAATTTAACTTGCCAAAATTAAAAAAATAAAAATAAATTAAATGTGGTTAGGTTTGGGATAAAATGTAGTTAGGGTTTTTTGGCTGTTTTATTGCATTTAGCAAAACAAAGTAATTACCCCATTAATTGCAATTTGCATGGCAAGTTATTAAACATGGCATGTAAAGCATTCCATAGTCTTACCTTGAAATGTACTCGGGTAATTAGATGTTACACTCATTATTTATATTTGCTGGATTTCAACCGTATATCAATATAATGACACATTGAGCGTGTATGTGTGTTTAGTGGGTGTTATTTAATCAGATCTACGGTGAAATCCACTCTGTGTAACGTCCAACTCCCCTAATTACCCTTGTGTATTAGAGTCCACTACATGCTATCCCTTGTTAAAAGTGTAACGGACATTTTGTTCACTTTCGATTTACACATAATCACACATCTGACGAAATTAACAAATACTACTCTATTCGTGATAAACCAAGGTGCAGCTGGTACATGGTAATATTACTATCTCCGTGCTAAAACAAGGTGCGCAGCTGGTACATGTAATATTATTATCTCTGTGCTAAAACAAGGTGCACAGCTGATACGTAATAAATACTGCTCTCTACGTGTTAAAATATTGGTCCTCTTGGATTGTAACGCCATAAATATTAAGAAAATCGATAATAAATATACACGAGTTATAGAGAAAAATGACTGAAATACCCTTATCCTTTATTTGTTTATCAATTGATTCTATTTCAACTAGTTAAGAGTGGCAAAAAGCACAAAATAAATAAATAAAAGTTACAATATATTTATTTGCTATTATATATGACATATATATAGAAATATATAGGTACTCTTTACTAGGGTAAAAATGTACGTTATGATTGAAGCCGATAGATGGTGTGTGTGTGTGTGTGTATGTGTTTTGATGGGTTTTTTTTTTTTTTTTTTTTTGTAATGATTCCAAATTATTTCCTTTCTCCAATTATTTGCAGCAAGACTGTACTAATTAAAAATGGGAATTCAATATAATAATTACTTTATAGTTTTTATATAAAATTAAAAATAGCATCTCACACTTCACATGCTCCCAACATATTGAGGCATATAAAATAATACATACCTAATAATCATATAAATTAATTAATTATTTTATTTATCCAAGAAACGACGACTAATCAATCTTCAGTGACTAGAGAATGAAGCTTAATTAACACCAAAAAAAAAGGGTTTTTAAACTTGTGTGGGAAATATTATTAGTTTAATTTGGTGGGCATTTTCGTTATTTTTGAAGTTCTTGCAAAGTTAATAATACTATGTTTTACATCAATAAACTGTACAATACTGCATGTGTTTACACTGAAGATATTTCAGTTAATTATATATCTGAAGTTAATTAGCAACTCTGTAATATAATACTTCCAAATACAAAGTAAATTGCAATAGTAAATATTTTTTTAAATAATATAATAATATATATGGGTCCCTCTAAATTGTCACATTATATTTATAAGGCCATCAATGAATAGTAACTTCACTTTGGGTTAAACAGCTTTAGAGGGTACTATATGTTTTTTTTTCTTCTGTCTGTGCTTTTTTTTTTTTTTTCTTTTTTTGATATATATATATATATATATATATATATATATATATATATATATATATATATATATATATGAACTAAATTTACAAATAATCATATACATATAGAACGTAATTAACTGAGTTCTTAAACATGTATATGAAATCCACTTAAGTAATACCTTTTGTCACTGCATGCTACGTACGTGATTTCATATTTTTGTTAGCCCATTCTACACTATTTTGACGGGCTGGTGGGCCCATTTCATAAGCCCATATTACGTTATTTTTTCGGGCTAGTGGGCCCAATTCTTTAGCCCATTTTACACTTTTTTCGGGCTAATGGGCTCAGTTTTTAGCCCATTTTATAATATTTTGCCGGGCTGATGGGCCCATTTTAGACTATTTTCCGGGCCCATGGGCCCATTTTAATTACATTTTCGAATTTCAAAATTTAAAACCTTCTCATTAAAGACAAAAAAAGAACGGGGCTCAAGTGGGCCCCACAACTTTGTTCATCTCAGGTACACAAATTCATCGTTCGATCCGTCCATAATATCACACGTACGCTGACCAATCATAAGCTTCCACGTGTTGGGTGCAAGTGTGTGTTTGCCGCATCTCAATATCTCCTCTTTAGCGCCAAATTCGTGTCACTTTTGTAAATTCCCCCCTTTGGACTCTCGTTGGCCTTCTTTGACCTAATTTTTTAAAACTCTTCTCTCCGGTGCCCCTTTCTCCAGTTTCATACAATTTCTTCAGTGCTGCTTCTGCGTTTATATATAAGAACATAAAAATTAAAATAGTCTTAAAATATAAAGAAATGACTAAATAAGTACCATCAAATTCGAGCATTTAATCCAGAGATTATATTTTATTAATTTTGAAAAAAGAAATTAATGTTCATAACTGACAGATGTACGGAATTGGATAAGAATTCACAGGAGAAAAGCCAACTCAATCGCATCCGTTCGTTGAAACCCTACTCTTAATCTAGACCGTGTATTTCAAAAAATATAATTTTTCAAAAAGATTTGAAAAAAAAGAAAAGGATCATACTCTAATTCAAAATTACTCCCACCACACTACTTTCTCTCTCTAGAAATCCCCAACCCCATTCTCAGACTTTTTAACCCTATTAATTTCTTCTTTCCCGGAAAAAAAGATTCGATTTTTACGGCGCGTGTTTACAAAATCAACTCCGCCTCGTTTCTGATTTTTCCCCTTTTCTTTTCTGTTCAACAATGCCGAAGATTTGATTTTTTTTTTTACGCACCCAGTTTATAATTTGGGGAGTGAAAATCGACTCCGTTGCATGAAATTGAAAAACCCGCAGCGTTTTCGGAAGGAATTATCTACGAATTCGAGTGATGGAGCAGGGCGAAACGGCGGCGGGTGCTTTGGCGGCGTCTCCGGTGGTGAGGCAGCTGGATTTCACCATCAATTTTAAATCGACGGCGGCGAATGCTAATGCCAATGCGAATTTGATATTGCCAGAGCATCCGCAGGCTCAGTTACAGTCCAAGTTGCTGGCTTTAATTGAACAGAAACAAGTGCATGCCAACGGAAGGGCTCAATCGCCGCCGAGAACGGTGTCGCAAAGGAAACTGCCACCTGGAAAAATTGTTATGCCGCCGAAAAAAAATTCCCGGCGAGAGCTTTCTCAAATTGTGGGGCAAACGAAATCGCCTGCGATAGCGCCCAAACCTGCATTGAAGCCCTTGCTGTAAAATCCCTCTGTCTATGTTTTTAGAAAATTTATGTGGTGTTTCTTATTTTTATTTTTTTCATTTTCGCGGGTATAGATTGAATTAGAAATGCGAAAAATCGAGTGTTCGTTTTCGGTAATTTGTTGATCGAAGCTTGGGTCATCCGAAAGGATTAAAGAAAGGGGAATATCCATGTGATTGATCTATAAAAATCCTAATTTTATCTTGCTTTCATAATTTTTTTGAGCTATTGCTTCGACTGCTTGTTAGTTGTAAACGGCAATAATTATCAGCAAAATGTGTTTTTTAGGAAGATGGAGTCTCCAAAATCCCGAGAAAGGTCTAATCTTGAACAGAACGATGGCACGCCGAAGAAGCAGAAGCAATGTAATTGTAAGAACTCGAGATGCTTGAAGCTGTAAGTACATCCTTTCGTTTGATTAGCATCTGCGAGCTTAGTTGGCTGAAATTGAAAATGCATAAAAAAGACCCGTCAACTAGGTTTTTCGTTTTGTTGTTTAGAGTATGTAATGTAAGCAAGCAAAACATGTTCATTTGTAATGACCAACAGGTACTGTGAATGTTTTGCGTCTGGTTCTTACTGCGATGGATGTAACTGCACCAATTGTTACAATAATCTTGAAAACGAGCCGTATAAGAAGGAATCAGTTAGAGCTCTTTTGGAGAAAAATCCCGATGCCTTCAAACCAAAGATAAGTGGCAGTCCACATGGTGCTGCAGATGGTGGGGTATGTAAAACAACTTTGTCATGCGTTTTTAGACACGTTTTAGATTGAATTCTAGTTCTCGGTTTTTGTTTCCCTGAGCTTTGTTGGATCACTAGTCTTTGATTCGTCTATCAAGATCATGTTCTGTTATATTGTTATTTCTTCTTTTATTCTATTGTGTTTCAGTCGTACGGAAATAAGGAACAACTCTGCTAATCTGCGCATTTAGATGAGATGAACACAGTATGGAGTCAAATTAAGCAGAACTTATAAGATTTACTTGTCATTAATAGTGTAAACCTGCACACCTTCACCGGACGTGCTTTTAACTGCTCGATTTTGTTGTGCTTTCGTTCAAGAAACAAGGAACTATGTGATTCACAAATTCTTTACAAGAAACAAGAAAGTCTAAATCCACATCAGCATGTATTCAACTGACTCGTGATTTTTGCTATCATCGGCATACTTTAACCGATTCGTGTGATTCAGGTAGAATACCATAAAGGGTGCAATTGTAAAAAATCGGGCTGTCTCAAGAGGTACTGTGACTGCTTCCAAGCCAATATTCTATGCTCCGACAGATGTAAATGCTGTGACTGCAAAAACTACGAAGGAAGTAAAGAGAGGAACGCTCATTTTCACCATCATTCGTCAAAATCAATGGCGCTCATCCAATTGGCAGCCAATGCAGCCATTAATGAAGCCATTGGAATTCCAAGCAAGACAACTAGAAATAACCGGCAAATTATTTTCGGGACAGCATCTAATAAACAACAATTGGCTAGCTGGCTTCCAAAATATCCTCAGGTGCATGCTTGTTTCAAGTTCTTCTCGATTTTTTTTTTTTTTTAAATCTTGAATTATGAAGCAGTGGTTTTCAGTTTCTTTTATGACGAAATCTTGTTTCCCGTTATAATCAGGAAACTTGTTCGACATCTAAGTCACCACTATCTGCTAAACAGAAAGCTTCAGTCTCAGGACTTTCTAAATCCTCTTACAAGTAAGACTTCGTATTTTTTTTTCCGGTTATTTATTTACTTACGAATTCGAGTAAATTCCAGTATTTTATTTTATTATGACCCTCTTCGTACGATTGAAGGTCTCCATTAGCTGGCATCCTCCAACCACAACATGTGAAGGACTTGTGCAAAGTCTTGGTCGAAGTTTCGGCAGAAGCAGCAGCACATAGTATTTCACGTCTGTTCAATTGCGTTAAAATTATATTGACAACAATTAAGATTATTCCGGCTTATAAATTATTTGTGTCTTGCCTTTTTTTCAGAAGAAAGAAAACCGACGAATAATTCCACAAACGCGAACGAGGCTGAAAAAAATCCAGCTTCTTCATCCCATGAATCAGACACCTCTGATAATCGACCATTATCACCAGGAACACTTGCGTTAATGTGCGACGAACAAGACGCAACATTTATGGCAGCTAATGCCCCTCAATCTACAACAACCGAACCTAATACAAGGACAAATAATACGAAACCAGACCTGACATACGTCGATCAAGAAAGGCTCGTATTGACCAGATTTTGCAGTTTTCTCAATAAACTTATCACTTGTGGCTCCATAGAAGGTAACTACCTATTTCATGAACTAAATGCTATATATTATGTGACGAATCAAAAGTTCTTGAAAAAAAATTCGTTCCCGATTCATTGTAGAAAAGAAGATAGAACCCTAGAGCTCGTGGAGTAAAGTGCGTGTGCAGATGATCGAACGAGTACAGGTTGAGAGGTGAATGGTGTTAGTGCAGTTATAATTAATATATATTTTTTTTTTGTTTTGTTTTTGCTGACAACTGTGTGTCCAAAAGTTAGGACTTGTTGTTGCAGTTAGATAATATGTGAGGTGGATGGTGATGATTTCTTGTTTACACCATTCTTATAGAACTCATGTGTAAGAAATCAAGATTCTTTTTCTATACTTCCATTTTTTTTTTTTTTCCTTTTTTTGCATAAGTTGATAAAATCATGCTTCATCTTTATAACTGTGCTACACACACACACACACACACACATGCGTGTGTGTGTCCAATGTTTTTCATTGAGGGGTAAAATCGTCTTACTGGCACAATTTAGGTCCTCTTGACTAGCAATTATTATATTAGTATTAAAAGGCCGAAAGAAAGTTGATGTTGGGCAGATTCAAAATTTTATACTACTGAGCTATTAATGTGCAATAATGGTCTATTTGTTAGTAATTAAATTATTGGGTAAATTACAAACACCTCCTGAGGTATGGTCAAATTACAAAAACACCCCTCTTATTGGATAATTATAACGACCCCCTCAACTCCTCAAATTTAGTGGAATCTTCGAGATTATATGGAATATTATCACTTTTGTATCCGTTTTATCCCATTCGAACTCTACATTATGAAGCAAGATGATCATAATATGTGTTTTTTAGCTTGTATATATCAGTTTGTGGTGCATCGGAAACTGTATTTTTACACAAAACGAGTACAAACCAGAGCACATTCCACGGATATTAGATGATTATGTTGAATTTGGCACCATAAGGGTGGAGGTGTAAGAAAAAATCATAGTTGAGGGGTAGATGTAATTATTCAAACAAGAGATGATTTTTTGTAATTTGACCATACCTGGGAGTGTATGTAATTTACCCTAAATTATTAGATTAGTCGCTAGTACGTGTTAAATATTTTATTATTATATGAGTATGATTATTATTCCATGGATAATAAATCTTAATAAAATTTTGGTTCATTTTATTGAGGAGACTTTTGCTTTGACTTGTAAGTTTGATTATATTATGCCTAGTGGTACATAAAATTATGGGTAAATTAGATACAACCCTCGTATTCAGTTAATTACAACCACATCTATTAATTATGAATTTTCTTACACGTTCATTATTGTGGTGTCAAATTTAGTGGAATTTCATATATTATGTGAAATATTTTATAGTTTGTATCCGTTTTACACCATTCGAGCTCCACATTTTTGCAATATGCATCTCTTGGCTTGTAAATATCATACTGTGGTGCATTAGAAACATCATTTTTGAACAAAACGAGTATAAACTAGAAAACGATTCTACTGAATCTAGAAGATGCTGTTGAATTTGACACCATAAAAATGTGGACATGTAAGAATATTCATAATTAAGGGGTGGTTGTAATTACCCAAATATTAAAGTTTTTTTCTTCATAATTTGACCTTATCTCAGGGGTGTCCGTAATTTACACTAAAATTCTAGTTTCTTCAATGTAAATATATATATATATATATATATATATATATATATATATATATATATATATTAAAAAAAAAAAAAAAAAAAAAAAAAACCTAGAAACACGTTTTACACAAGACTCTAGAAAGCCGCCCTACAACAAAAAAACCCGATTTTTCTACACTGAAAAAGTAATTATAATCCCATTATAAATAATAAATTAAAAATGAAATGAATTTAAGAGAAATGGGGCAAAAGAAAAGCAAAGGACTCGCGCGAACCACCATAATAAAAATAATAATGGCGGCAACCATGATGACTTTATCGCACGTGCCGAGCACCATTGCGCACGTGCGAGCCCATGCACTCCCAATTGCTAATTCCAAATTCAACTTATTAGTAAATACAAAGAGCACCACCACCAACTCCGCCATAACCACTCCACAATTCACCTCAGTTGATCGGAGAATGGATTCTTCCGAAGATGCCGCCAAACTTCGCTCCGACTTTCTGCACCTCCTCCGCACTCGCCGGACTGCTGAAGGTATAATCCACGCGCTCTCTCTCTCTCTCTCTCTCTCTCTCTCGCCCCGCTTTACTGGTGTTTCTGTTCTTTCGTGAATCGTCTTTTTTTGGCTGTGGAATTGTGATGTTTTGTTGTCGAATTCGTTCGTCCTTGTTGCTGAATTTCGTTTAGGAGTTTGAATTCCCCATTTGAGTACTCTGATTAGACTTTAGATGGATGGGTACTACAACTGAAGGGGATGGTACAACACCTGATATAATCTGTGATCTGATAATGTATTCGTTGATTTGACCAAACACACCGCATTGTGTTAATCTTTTATGGAAGCAAATGCTCAGCATAAACTTTTAGCATAATTGTTGTGTTTTTGACTTTTTGTTCAAAATCCTGTTGAAACTTCGCCCAAAAAAAATATCATCTGCTGTTTATCGGTTTCGGTTCGAGAGGCAATGAGGCTAATTTGGAAGTTAAAAAAAAAAAACAAAAAAAACCTATTTTGCAGATCGACTTTTCTGTTTCTTTTGATTGGTTATGTTAGAGGAATTTAACTTACGGAGATTTCCTAAACATTACATACCACTAAATATGTTTGATATCTGCAGTTCCACTTTCCGTCGAACCTGCGCAGCCTGTACAAGATCCATTGTATCAAGAAACTCCGAAGCCAACCTTCAGTGAGGTTGAAATCTGCTTCAGGAATTCTGATTTTTATTAGATTTCTCGTTATATGATCCATCATTCTTATGTGTCAGCTTATGGTCAAATATATAGGCAATGGAGTCTTGTCCAAAGAAAGAGATTCCTAATTTTAAAGAACTGCTTCAAGAGGAGAACTTTTACCTTACAACTGAGGTATTATAACTGTTGCCTTCTCCTTTTTATTCTTTTGGAACAGGAATTTTGCACATCGTGCGTGTATGTTTTAGTCTTAATTGTTGCAGAGGATATTTTCTTTGATTCTGAATTTATTCAGATCTTGTCGTAAAACACAGACGTCTTCTATTTCTAAAAGTTCTCAGTACTCGACAATAGTTGACATTTCTGGTAATTATCTTTATGCACTTAAAATGAGCTTGCCAAGATTTTCTCCAACCAGGCAGGGGAGCAAGGACGCTTACCTGTTCTGATATTGAAACTGAAGGAGAACAGTCAAAAGAGAAGGCCAGCGATAGTTTTCCTACATAGTACTCACAAATGCAAAGAGTGGTTGCGCCCTTTACTTGAGGTAATCGAATGGTTATTTTTTCAATGCTAAGTCTTGACCAGTGTTCTTTCAGGGTCAGAGATTGATCCGTGTATTTTTTTTTAATGGTTCCAGGCATATGCTTCGAGGGATTACATTGCTATAGCCATTGATTCCCGTTATCATGGAGAGCGTGCGAAAAACCTGACAACTTACCGAGAGGTGTGCCTGCTGGACTTTGATCATTACTTGTTGCCACATTGATTAAAAAATTAATATCGGATTTCTGCTTTATATTTGTTGTAATGCAGTCTCTGGTGTCATCATGGAAAAAAGGCGATACGATGCCTTTCATATTTGATACGGTATTGATGCCATTTCTTAAATCTTCGAAAAAAATTCAAAGTGTAATGATATGCTACAATCTTATCTTTCCCGATATTTGTGCTTTACAAACTTCAGGTATGGGACTTGGTAAAATTGGCGGATCATCTTACACAAAGGGAGGACCTAGATCCCTCTAGGATAGGAATTACGGGTGAATCACTTGGAGGTCAGATATTCACTCAAAGTCAAAGATGATACTATATATCAAAATATTTCTTCAACTTGCAACTCTCAGTATGATGATACTTTCTATACTTCAGGAATGCATGCTTGGTTTGGTGCCGCTGCCGATGCTCGCTATTCAGTGGTTGCCCCTGTAATTGGTATTCAAGTAAGTGTTTCAACACAAGTTGATTTGAGTAAAAGAATATTTGCGGTCTGAGTGTTTGTGTCTATACTTTTAGGGGTTCCGGTGGGCAATTGATCACGACAAGTGGCAAGCTCGAGTCGACAGCATTAAGGCTGTATTTGAAGGTAAGAGACATATTATGACTAGAAAAACTCATCATCAAAGAAAAATGTCTGTGACTGACAAATATTAGGATGATTGTTTCGTTCTTGGTTTTCAGAAGCGAGAACTGATTTGGGAATAAATGCAATCGACAAAGAAGTGGTGGAGAAGGTCAGTCGTACTGTTGCCCTAATCTCTGTTTGGTGTATTTCATTTATCTTGATAAAATTGATATTATCTGGACTTCTTTCTGGCTATGTATATAGTTTGTATTTTGAGTTGCAGAAGGGTTTGTATTATTGTTAACAGGTGTGGGATAGGATTGCTCCTGGTTTGGCCTCTGATTTTGATGCACCTTACACTGTTCCTGCTATTGCACCGCGTCCTCTGCTGATTTTGAATGGTAATATGTGCCGCCATTGATTACAACACCTGAGTATCAAGATTTATGCCCATTACAGTTGGTTTCTACGTAGACAGTTAAGAGACTGACACTAAGGTATTATTTGCAAATTTCAGGTAAAGAAGATCCGCGTTGCCCTCTGGGTGGATTGGAACTTCCCGAATCAAAAGCAAGAAAGATTTACGAAAAGGCCAATGCCGTTGACGACTTTAAGGTGTGGATCCGGATATTCTCTCTTTCACACACACACACACACACACAGTCCGATTCCACGAACAAAACAACCTCGTCTCGTGAAAAATTAATGAAAAACGATAGCGCCTCACTTGTTCAAACAAATTTCTTGTGTTTTCAGCTGATAGCTCAACCAGGTATCGGACATCAAATGACATCTTTGATGGTCAAAGAAGCCAGCGACTGGTTCGATCAATACCTTAAACCATGAGAAGGGTTATAACTCTCATTTATGAAAAAACATGTACTTCTGCGTACTACGAAATAATGCTCTACTACTTCAATTCCACGGTATTTTGTTAACGTGATCTAGATCACGTCGTTTAAGTTAAAAATAACATTTAAATTCATTTGTTTCAATCATCCCAATTCAGTATTTTACCAAATCTTATTATGCAACTACGAATGTGTCTGATTTTGCAATCAATCCTTTTATTCCTTTTAATTTATGAAATACTCTGCAAACATGCTAAATGAGTCCCACGTTTACATTGCCCCTTCTACCAAAATCAGACTCAGAATTACACAAAGCCCCAAAACAGTCAATCCTGAATCTACGTTATCAACTATTTAACCAAGGGAAAATAAAAGGTCCAAACTGATCATTATCATCAAACAACAGAAAAAAGAATGAAGTTTTATTACAAATATATGTTTCAACAGTTGATACCAGTCGCTGAAAAAATAATTCACATAATCCATATTTAATATAATTGTACAGCAATGCGTTACTACATCCATGAGCAAATAGCAGCCGAAGGGTTTTTAGCCCTTCTTGGGCATGGCAGCAAGTCTGGTATACATCCTGGCCATGGACTGGTACCCTCTGATATCGCCTGCCCGGAGAAGGTTGCCTACCCAATAAAACACGAAAGCATCAATTTCACTTCAAGCCTTCAAGACTATAAGTATTTCGTTTCTCAATATTTTCAAGAAAGTAGAAGCTTTTTTTTTTCGGTTAGTAAACAACAATCTAGAGATGAACAATTGGGCCTTCCCAATCCCTATTCTGCAACGTGTTTAGTGTACTAAATGGTTGCTGTTGTTTTCCGGCAACTTGAATCTTTACGTTTCAATTATCTTGAAATGCATTTTTGAACTTTTAACTGTTTATGATAATCTGCAAATCTCATTCAAACCCAAAAGATGGACATACAATTGAACCAAGCAGAAAACCGAGTTACCAGGTTGAGAAAGGAACCACAAGCTACATTACCTGAATCACAGTTGAGTGGGCTATCAGGCTCTGGATGAGCCATCAATGCAATTATGGCCCTACAAACTGATTGCAGGGTCCAAGCCGGACTCCATGCATTTTTCAAGATATCAAGGCAAATCTCACCTGTCTGTATAAAAATAAGAACCACGTCATCAATGAGTAATACCATAAAAGAAACTCTTTGTACAGATGTCATAATACATCGATACAAGTTTTTCCTTAATTGAAGTATGGAAAAGAAGAAGACAAAACAGAAATGGACTATTCACGGCATATAGCCATCAAAATTAAGCATTGACTCTCCTAAAATAAACCATAAAAACACGTCACTAGACCTTAAGCATGTCTTATTGCAGCTAATGGTTTGACGCAATCATATATCATTTACGTAGCTCGGTTTCCAAATTCATGTACATGCATAATTCCCTTATCTTTTGGCTAAGTACGACGCTAACAGCATGTAAACTAGTAAGTGTTAAAAAATACATAAAACAAATTTATATTTTCTATCTCGATAGGCGGAAGTCACAGTTCATTACTCTGGAGTTTGGACTTAACAGACATGAAGATTCAAAGTTCAGAAACAAGCTCATCCTCGAGTAAATTTCACTCAAGTTCTCATCATGCACTCCACTTAGCAATTCTCAGGACTCGTTCCATATAGTTCCATCAATTGTTTTGTGCACAAAGAACACCAATCATTATATTAACATTGTTCAGCAAAACAACATTCTTACTTTAGAAACTCTCACATATTCCATATCTTGCTCTTTCACAATGTTTATTGCAAGGAAAATACAAGACACAAAAATGACAATTTGCGTGAATAACATAACAATAAAACTTGAAGCCTGAAGGACAATTACCTTGAAATGTACATTTGGATGGAATATTTTCGTTAAGAACCTAACTTGAGGGGGCTGTAATGGATACTGCTCAGGCACAGAAAAAGCAAGCTGGAAAATTCCACCGTCAAACGGAGTTTCTGACGGTCCCTACACAGCATAGCATGGGATCAGGAAACTAGTTCAGATTAAGCGATTTCCCCTAAAAAAAAATGTCTCATGAGATGAAGCACAAGAATAACGAGACCAACCTTTATAAGAGCCGTCCACTTAAATATGTTTGAATCATCACATACGAGTTGGATATCAGGATCAGCTACTTTCTCTCTCTGCACTTCTTTGAATTCCTTAAACAGCCTAGCTCTTGATGCCTATCACCGAAGCACATGATCAATTTAAAAAAAAATTCTTCCAATATTAACTCAGTTCAGATATATGAATAACCTAGAAGCCTATCCCCAAGCTACCACGTTGCAGCACATTTAATATGAAACAAATTTTAACTTCGTAGAATACGCTTTTCTTCTCTTTTAAGTTAAATGAATTCATTTCATAAATTACTTGCCGTCGTGCCATACATGATACATCACATTTCACAATTCTCTGAGCGTATAAATGTATATCCGGTATTGCGGGTACATTATTTTTTTAAATACATAGATGCTCATGCATTTTCTTTTTAAGGAAATCAGTTTTTAATTTAGTTGAAGTCGACTTCGATTTGATTAGTATCACAACTAAATACACATCAGCTGGATATTTCATTCAACACCCTCCAATTCCAGTATAGTGCATAAACTTCTCTTTTCGTTGTCGTCCCTTCTAATGGCAGCATTAGATTGGCATACATCACCAAACATTGTGGTATAGTTATTAACTCTGGTTTGACAACAAATAAGATTACAAGTGAACCCAATAAACAAAATCAACCAGAATGCTTAATTTCTTACTACAATAAACAGTATTAGCATCACATCTCTCAGAAATCATATCCCTATGATTTCATCACTCCTAGCAGCAAAAAGTAGAGAGTATTTCCCAGCCAGGTAAAGAAATCGAACAATCAAAATTGAAACACGAAAATAACAATACTAACCTGCATTTTCTGCAATGACTGTTGATTAAATTCACGCCAATGTTCAAAAACTGCATCAATCGACGACGAGTTTAGCTTTAATTAACCCATCAAAACCCCCCCAAACAAACCCTCGAAAAAAAATAAGATGAGAGCGTAGCAATTTTCCGGTTTAATTTTTCAAAGAGAAAAAGAGACGGAAAATTCCTGAATTCAAATTTAATTACTGAAAGAATTTAGGGAAAATCATAAATATATTTACATAAACGAGAACGGATGAACGATCAGCACACCTGAAATCAGTCGCGAACTTGAGAATTGAGATATGAGATGAAACGGAGAGAGAAGTTTGGTATCGTGATTGAAGTGATCCGCTGTACTGGCGGTGCACAATATTGTAGTGGTACACCTCCTCTAATTTTCTGATTAATCGGAAACGTCTGACTATTGGTAAAAAAATGTATTTCCGTGAAATTTTAAAATCAGAGAAAGTCAACTCTTGAAAATTCATGACTGGGTGTATATACTTTTCAATTGAATAATTAATGTCGCCATATTGGAAAATCTTAATTAATTTATTGATTTTTCTGTTGTTAAAAAAAATGTACTTTTTTTAAATATGGTTGCTATTAGTTACGGTAATTAGTAAATGTATTTTAATAAGATATATACAATTACATATTTAAATTTCATTTTACATGAAGTTCAAGGGAAATAGTATATTTAATGAAATAATAAAATAATAAAGAAACATAAAAGAAAATGATTCTTTCCTTTCACTTTATATGAGTTCTCCTTTTCTACATGAAATGTACATAATTAATTCTAAAGACAATAAACCCAAAACAAAATGCAAAAACAGAAGCAAGGCAAGAAAAAAAAAATGCAATCAACACAATAAGATGAATGTGAAGAATTATATTACCCAAAAAAAAAAAAAAGCTAAGAAGTGGAGCAAGCGCAAGTTAGCAAACAAAATAAAACAAAGGCGAAACGAAGCCGAAATACATCACATGCTCCCAGCTCTACCTGGTGTGGTTTTCCCCGGTTTGAATTTAGAAATGTCGACAAGGTCTCCGAATAGCTTGTCCTCTGCCTTAGAAGGCCTTGCAGACTGCGGCACGTAAGATGGAGTGGGAACCGAATAGGGTGAATAGTTTCTGGCGGCATTATCGTCTCTCATAGATAATCCAGACATGCTTTGCTGTAGATACTGTGCATTTGCATTTGCATTTGCGTTTGCGTTTGCGTTTGGCTGTTGACCTTGGCCATAACCATAGTTGTAGCCATAACCAGCCATTTGCTGAGGATACATATTTTGCATTGGTTGAGGGTACATATTTTGCATTGGCTGAGGGTACATAGCCACATGACCAGGTTGCATTGGCTGAGGATACATAGCCACGTGGCCAGCTTGCATTGGGTGAGGCTGCATGCCCACCACCATTTGGTTATTCTGGTAATTTCCCATAGTTGGCGATCCTGGAAGGTACGTGCCATCTGGCGCCTGTTGAGGGGCTTGCAAATGCATTTGTTGATGCTGGCTGAAGGCAGCTTGACTGTTATCTAGTTGTGCTTCCCATGGTGGAGGTGGAAGTGCGCCGCTGCTTTGACCACCTATAAAACGAAAAACATTTATTTAAAAAAAAAAAAACACCTAATACTATTTTTTCCTATTTTTATGTGTGTATAAATCTGAGAAATGTACCATAAACAGGTGAGGGTGGCTGCTGTTGCGGGGGAATCTGACCATTCCAGGCACGAGGGGAGCCTTGCATGTAATGCTGTTCATGCTGAGGTGGCATAGGGCCAGAAACATTTCCATTTGGGTAAAACAAAGGCTGTGGAGAATTGAAATTGGGTTGTTGTTGAAATCGAGGAGATGAAGGATGATAGGGTGCTTGTCCAACGGAATTCACATATTGAGTGTTAATATTACTCCCAGAAAACATGTCAACAAGGGCAAGTGCATTGTGCTGAGATGCAACAGGGCTTGCAGGCTGAGGCTGCCCCTCCACCGGAACAAGTGCCATTGAGTTTGCTGTGGGTGAGTTGAAGTCATCTCCACTCAAAAGATCTATCTTAGGATCAGCCTTTGTTGGAGTTGTCAACTGACCGTTAGTTGTCGGCTGTGCTCCTAAGCTAGTACCGGATGTAGATCTGCAAAAGGAATTTGCATCTAAGACTACAGCAAGTCGTTTTTAAAAGGAGGAATCGAGATATTTGAATAACGAAAAACCCAAACTATCAAACTTTACCCTTTATCTGGTTGTTTGCTATCACCAGTGTCGATAAGAAAATCATCAACGGGGACCAAAGCTTTGGAAGGTTCAGGATTTGGCTTCTCTATTCGAACAGAGGTAACACCAGAGGAAATTGATTCATGCCTAGCCAATACACGTTGTAGGTCATCATTCAGTGCTAGGCCTTGGCATAGAAGTGACTCATCCCTGCATTAGGAAACGTCAAGAGAATGCACGAAGTTTAAATGGCACTTCGCTTGAATCGAACTCATTATGATAAAGGGGTATATACTGAAAGATGGCATCACATTTTAGAGAGCTGTGCATCAGTTTATATAGATAGAAACTAAATATAATATCCACATCAGTAGTATAGTAGGTACTTGGAAGAAGAAAAAAAATCAGTGCACTCTTGTTATAGTTAGCATGCAAGTAGACAAGCCGCACTTTTAGGAAAATAAATTTCTACATTCACAGTGCATTACTTTTATGAGAAACAAATTTTAACTTTAACCATGGCAAATCTAACTTAAATTGCCGAGCACTCTGTATAATTAGCATGCAAATAGATGCGGCAAAGCTGAACCACATTTTGCGGAAAATGCTACTCTACATTCATGCATCACTTTTACAAGAACCGAAACAACTAGATGCAACAAAACTGAAACCCAAGCATGAAAAGGTGCAAACATGTAGAATATCCAAATCACAACCACACAAATACAAACGATAAGAAGTGGAAACAAGGCCTTACGAGGTCGAGTTAACAAGGTGCACCACTCTTTGCTTGTAGGTACGGCACTGTTCCACCAGATCCACAATAACCTCCTGCTTTAGTCCCTGCTACACAAAACAAAAAAAGGCATCATCTGAAAACTTAACATGCTATCGAAGATTAATTAATGGATAGCATAATAACTTTACAAGATAGTTTCATTTGTATAAAGAGCAGGGGGTACTTATCATCTTGCCAAATGAATCAAAATGAAATATTCCAATCCCAAAAATTGTTCATAGTCATTTCCTGTAGTGGGAAACTAAAAGGACCCATTCGAACTACTTTAGTGCTCACTACTATTAACAACGACAGGCGATAATTGGAAAGTTTACCATTCTATATGTGATCATACCTCTTTGTTACCAGGATCTAAAGCATTCAGCATTTCTGCAAGAACATCCATGATACCACGTGCATTTTGAAGTTCTGTCAAGCTGAAAAAAGCGCAGCCAGAAAAGAAGGATCAGTAACTACAATTAAAAACACAGACCTCGGAGTACCGGAATAGCTATATTTATCAAGTCAATACCCCTTGCAGATCCTAATTTAATAATCGCAAACTACACACAACAAGAGCCACTATCTTCGTAACATGTCACAAAAGAGAGGAGGATCTCATAATACACATATAGCTTCACGTTTCAACACAAACACCTCTGAAACATCAGAACAATTCAAGGGAGTGAACTTAAGAAATATCTCACTGACCTTGCACATGAACAATAATGGGGCCAATGAGACAGTTAACTTCATTAAACAAGAAACTACGCGAAATATGTGTACACCAGGCCTTGACCTATTAGTTCTATAACTTTTACATGTCTAGGACAAGATGCTCAAATCCCCGATTCATCAAATTCAGTCAAGCCCTTCTGACATAGATTTCTAAAATGATTTCTCCAACCAGCAGCAGCTCAATAAATAAATTCATCCAGATATAGATTTTAGGCAATATAGACATAGTCAAGAAGCAGTGGGTATTGAAAAGAATAGGACTCCTACTTCCACTAAAATGACACTATATACCATTTTAGCTAGATAAGGAAGACAGCCTTTTCACATTGCAAACCAAAAATATATTATCATGTGTTGGTTGGTCAATGCGAAACAGAAGAAAATTTAAATGTGGCATTGAAAATAATGTACCTCAATGTCGGAAATTCAGCTTCTGCAGAAGATTCAGCAGCATCAGGTCTAGCTTCAGGATTACGAATATTTGGGGGATAAGATGTCAACGGTTGTGTTTGTGGAGGTGTAAAAACAGGAGCCGTCGTCTCAGTTCTCTGTGGGAAAACTGCCCCAAGACGCTGACAAAAGGGCCATAAATTGCAAAAGTATAAGTATTACTATTGGAGAACAGCATCAAAAAATGAAAACCAATGTAATAAGACCGAAAAGATCCTAGCATGACATACCAATAAATCCTGGTATGCTACAAAGTACTGGGGGTATCTTGCCCTTGATCCTCCAAAAGCTTCTTGCCAAGTATCTATTAGAATCAATATCTTCTCCTTTACATGAAAGTCTGGCTGCAGTAACAAATTTTATGTCAATGAAAATAGAAGCAAATGACCAAGTCAAAGACAATAGACGAATCTATGCATTGGATTACCTTCTTTCGCACAATCTTCACCATCTCATGAGGTAAATCTTTCTCTGCAACATGCATATGGACAATATCACCGCAATTCTTGACAACGGTCTCCAAAAGCTAGCAAAATGACATGAATACATTTGAGATTGACTGAGTAATAAAATAAAAAATGTCTTCAGTACAATTATGTGGCTTTCACAAGAAAGGGAATAATACAAGCATCTAAAGGAGGATATTTCGTTCCGAAACGTCTTCATTGCCAGGGTACGAAAGACACAAATGAACCATAATTTCCGTCAGTCATTTCATAGTGGTGTTTGGTAAAAGGTCAGGGGTTCGAATCCCTTAGGGTGCGTCTGTTGTAAGGGCATGTTATAAGGCAAATTTTTTTTTGAAAAGAAAATTAAAACACTAAACCACCAGTTAGCAAATAATTCGTATTATCTTTTTCTGGTTTAGTAATGTTGCAATTTATCCCTTAAATTCCACTGGATTAATGCAATTTGCTCTGCCATGCATACCCTTGTTATCCAAACAAATTCCCTAACCTTATAAAATTCTTTATGAAAAGGAATAGTTCTACTCGGTTAGCTTGGTGCATGGTTTGGATGAGTGAAGCAAACAACTCCTTGATTCAATTCCACTGCAACAACACCCCAATCAAAATGCCTAGTTTTATACTTTCAGTGCTGAATAGCTCATTTTAGTATTTTCTCAAGGCAATTATTCACCAGCAAGTGTCATAAATCAAAAGTGATGAGAAAGAAGTTCACTGAAGCTAGTGTAATATACCAATAATAATTATTCAATCATCACGGCACTAGTTTTCTGACATCCAATAACATTGAGCATTAGCGACCACATATAGTAGTAACCCAAGTGTTTTATTAGAAGAAAATAAGTCATGTATGCACAATATGAAACAAGAGGTTAAAAGATCAGGAAAGTAAAATTAAGCTCACCGTTAAGGCAAGAAGCTGCACTTTTGGATTTCTACTACCAAGACGCTTCTTTATACCTCTTACAACGTCTTTCGCTTGTCTGACAAATGCATAATGAAATACAAGCTTAAAAAATGGCATTATTGCTTGTACAAAGCAGCTATCAAATGCATATTAAAGTAGGGCGAGCAAGAGTAAAATGCATCAGGTGCTAGTATTGAGACAAATATTCCTAAATCTTCCCAGGAATCACTCTCTTCCCCTACCAATACGACTCCTGTTGTTGCCATGTGATTTCTCCTTCCCTTAATTTCATACAATAACATGTACATTCAGTATCAAACAATATTGTTAGCTGTCAAGGTTCATCAAGCAAATGATTGAAATTACAGTCAACATAAGAAAGTAATAAATCAACTTTTTTTTCACAAATCGAATTAGTTACAACCTCAAGTAGTAACTACTGACCAACTAAATGCTAGTAATACCACAAAATCCCAATTCTTATAATCGAAATATGATAAAAGAAGCAACTCTGCAATACATAATTCCGAATGATTGCATATAATTGCCAAACAGATGAAATTGAAAAATAACACGGCCACTTCCAATTTGAAGATACAGTAAACTACACTCTCTGTTCATTCTATTCGTCAACAAACTATATCCTTACTAAACAAAAAAAAGTAATGATTAATGAAATGGAGTGAGATTAGAGATTTACGCAGGATCGTGATTGCAGATATCGCAGATCTCAATATTCATAGCCCAATCAGGACCGATTAGCATATCGCTCGTCGCCCTCTCCACCATAGAATTCACCATCTTCTTCCTCCCTCAATCCACAAAACCCTCGCCGGGGACAAATTGCACAGCAACTACAGAAATCGACGCCTCTCAGCCGGCGAAAGATTTATCAAAAAATTCCAGAAACACCCCTCTGGAATTCAATTTCTCTAAAAATAAACTTTACAAATTGAAACAAAAAATGAAAAAAAAAATGAAACAAAATCAACGATCTCGGTGGATCCGATCGGTGGTTCCTATCACAATTCTGTTGAGGTTTTTTACCATATCGAAGAAAATGAAAAAATTAAAAAAAAATAAAAAATAAAAATAAAAAAGTTTTGGGCCTGAACTGTGGAAACGGGGTGAGCCAATAGTAATTAGACGCGTGGACTCATATTCTGTCGTTTGTTCTCTGTTTTAAGTGGTGATTGACGCCGCCGACTTTCGGGATCCGACGGTGGAGATTGTGTGCTGGAAATGAAAAATTTATTAGTGGGTTTGGTGGTCCACGTCAGCTTATTTAATGAGGGGTGGTGGTTTTCCAATTATTGGAATCTTGTGGACTAATAATATATAATTAGTTTCTATTTTCCCTCATTCTTCGCCCTTTTTTGGCTCAAAATTTAAAATTTGGTCCTTCGAAATTAAATGTATTATTTGTGTGGTCGTAACTTATTTTTTATTGGATGCATGAGTCATGCAAAGTCGGCATAAAATAAAAAAAACAATTACTATTTTTAAATACATTGATAGTTAAAACACCAACATAGTCTCATGGCTTCATCATTTCCTTTTTATAAAGCTTGAATAATTAAATTAAAGTGCTTCTTAATATTTAAATATCATCGGAATATATTCTTTCTCTCTTTTTTTGGTAAATTATTGCGGCACTCCTGAGATAATATTAAATTATAAAAAAAACTTCATTTATTTGAGTAATTATAATCTATCCCCTCAATGATGAATTTTCTTACACCTACATCATTATAGTGTCAAATTCAACATAATCTTCTAGATTCCGTAAAATTCTCTCTGTGCAAAAATACAGTTTTCTGATGCACCACAATCTGATATTTACAAGCTAGTAAACACATCTTTATGATCATATTATTTTAAAATATGGAGTTCGAATGAGATGAAGCGGATAATCTAGAAAATTCCACTAAATTTGACACTGCAGGGGTGGATGTGTAAGGAGATTAATACTTGAATAGGTGATTATAATTAGCCAAACATAAGAGCAATTTTTATAATTTGACTTACTTCAGGGAGGTGGCCGTAATTTACCCTTTCCCACAGTCGAGCTTTTAGCCAAAAGGATACATAATCATGCTTAATACCTATCTTATTAACCAGCAAATGTATGAAAATTCACTCAACAAAATGTCATTACAATACACATTTTCAGTTTTAAAGTTACATTTGTTCACTAATGATACATAAAAACCAGGAAACGTCGAAAAGTCGAAAATCGATCAATACGGAACACGAACTCGTACCGCAGCCGGTCCAGATTTCATGTCCTCCAAAATCATGTCCAAAAGCGCCCGACTCACCGGGCCTTCATTTCCTGCATCATTTCATCGAATTCGTCAATAAAATCAAGATCAACACATTTATTTAAATTGCATCCTAATTAAAAAAAAAAAAAAAAAAAAAAAAAAAACTCTCACCATCGCCAATAACTTGATCGTCCCACTGCACAACCGAACGAACAAGAACTCCGCTGCCGATAAGCATCATTTCATCGGCTCGTTTCCCTTCCTCCACACTCACATTCTTGATTTGTACCCCTCGAATTCCACCCCTTTTAACAAGATCCTCCGCGAGCATCAACACCCTACTTACGGTGCAACCCCGGAGAATCTTATCAAACTTAGGAATCAAAAGCACCCTCTCCTTATCAACGAAAGCCACATTCATATTAGGCCCTTCGGCTATATACCCTTCCTCATCGATCCAAATCGCCGCGTAAGCATCATTCTCCTCCGCCTCCATTTTCGACAGTACGTTAGGGAGATAATTCACACTCTTCACAACAGCAAACTGAGGCGGCTTTATCGGTACCGATGATGTAATTACCTTAACGCCCTTGTGATCAGACGGTGGTGATTGGTCCTCAATTACGATGGCGTAGAGAGACGATGTAACACATCCAGCAGGAGATAGTTGGAAATCGCCGGGACCCGCTGAAAGCCAATACCTTAAAGACCCTTTCTTGCAATTTGAAGCACTCACTGTTTGTATGAGTATTCTTCTAATGGTTTCCCTATCGAACGGTAGGGGTATTTTCGCCATTTTTGCTGATCCTAGGAAACGGTCTAGGTGTTGGTCCAGTTCGTATAAATATCTGCAAATCGAATACCATAATTAGAAATTAATTAAAATCGAGAATTATATATACTATTTAATGGACCCGTCGAGAATGGCTGCAGTATCGAAAACGCCGTGGCCTCGGTGGACAATGTGGTCATCGATGGGGATGAACATTGCGGTTGGATCAGTTGTTATTCCACCGTATATGCTCGAGTACATTGCTAAGTACGTTTGCTTGCTCTCGTAATTTGCTCGAAACTTTCTTGATCTTTCGATTGCCTTCGAAAAACCGAAAAAACCGAAATTTGTCAATTTCGATTATCGAGTAAAAGAAAAAGAAAATCATATTCCAACTTCAATTTGTCACATATACTTATTGTTAGAATTTCCAAATTCACTAAGAAGCTAGCTACACAATTAAATTGATCATATGATCTATTAAGTCATTAATTAATTAATTAATGATTAATTAAATTCGATGATTAAAAAAAAAAAAAGATGGTGAAAGAAAACAAACCTCGGAGCAAGAAAGAAGAGGGACATCGGATATTTGAGTGGACTCCATTTCTGAAACAACAGAAAATTAAATTAACATTTAAGAACAGAACCCACATGTAAAAAGTGATTAATTATATCATAATTAATCTTAATTAATTACCAGCTGAAGAAATCTGGGTTTGGGTTGAATTATTGGATGCATTTGATTGAAAATAGGATGTCTGCGGAAGATGTGGATAGAAGGAACCGTTTCTTGAAAAGGAGAGATTTTTTTTCGATGAAGTGAGCTTTGATTGGATGAACGAGGTTTGTGAAATGGGATTAGGGAGAGATGTTAGTAGTGTTAGAGCCGCCATGGGAGCGTTGACCGTGAGGTGAGTGTGTGTGTGTGAAACTGAAACTATAGAGAGAGAGAGAGAGAGAGAGAGAGAGAGAGAGAGAGAGATCCTAGAATCTCTGCAAATAAAAAAAGGTTGACGAACTAATAATATTATAATACGACGTAGTAGTGAAGAATGCAGCAGATACCGTGAGAAAAGACAAACGCCGGCCGGTAACAGGGGGAAATGTATGAATATTAAAAATATAGGGGTACATTTATAATTTATAAAAAATATTATAATATTGTTTTAGACTGTATTTATATCTACAAATTATATGTAATTTACAAGTTCTAATCCGAATTATCATTCAACAAATTACATATACCGCAAATAATTTATTTTATGATGAAACTAACATCTACAAAAAAATATAAAAAACACCAGTAGAAGTAACAAAGATTTTTTTTAAATGCAGCCAAATCCGAGTCTTTATTTAAAATGGGTGTTTGATTTTTTATTTATTTTTTGTGGAAACAAATTTCTATTTTTTCATTATTATCATAAACGTTCCGAAACTTTCAAAAATATTTACGGAAACGGGCCCATATTTCCGATCAGTGTCATGATATTTCGGTTTGCGAAACGTGGAAACGAATGAGTATAGAAGTTTCCGTGCATTATAGGTTAGAAGGCTTTGTAAAGGTATATCACCTCAATTGGGCCTTTAATTGTTTAGAAAGCTTTGTTAGCCTTTTAATGAGTTCTACTTCGTTTTGGGCCTTATGGGACATACCATCAAAATCATACAGACAATATATAATTTTGAATATATATATTTATCAATTATTTTAATTTAGAATTGAAATAAGTATTTGAAAAGAAATTTAAACTATACTGATATTGAAATACTAGTATAAACAATATTATTCAATACAAAATTATATAATATTAATTAATTAATCTTAATCACAATATTAAACCAAACCATCAAATCTAATCCAGAAAGGTCAAATTGGGGAAAGAGATAAAAACACCAGGTAAATGGTGAATTCCCAAACTGCAAGCAAGAAAAACAACACTGCATTTTGTTCAACAGCAATAGCAGCTCTATATTATTACTTAAAACCCCATTTTTTCGAGCTCTCTTCCACCCACCGCCACCCACCAACCCAGCCCTAGCTCCGCCCACCGGAAAGCGACAAAAGTACAAAGGCAGAATAAACAATAAACAATAAAAACACTGTCGTGTATATACATACATGTGAAAATATATAATAATACTAATTTGTTGGAAAAAAAAATGGCGATAATAGGAGACGCATTGCGGCAGGCGTTCATGCCGAAACACGAGTACGCGAGCCTCCGCGACGAGGAGAAGGCGTGGCAGAAGCTGCAGAAGCCGTTCGCTTGCCTCGCGCTTGCCTTAATTTCACTCGCCGTCGTGATTTCCACTGCGATTATCGTGAGAATAGTGAATCCGGGTGACAATCTGCGCCGGCCTTTCTGCCATGATCTTAGGATGCAGCCTCTATCCATTAATTTCACCACCGCGTCGGCGGCGGAGGGCGGCGGTGCCGGCGGGGAGCCGGATCTTCTACCCGGCGCTTTTGCCTTGACGGATCAGGAAACGGTTGATTATTTCTGGATGGTGGTGTTTGTTCCTTCGTCTTTGCTCTTCGGCGTTTCTGGGGTGTACTTGATTGCAGGTGAGCCAATGCGTGCTGTTATTGAATTATCAGATAATTGGAATTTCTTAGTTAATTTTTTTTCTTCAGTTTAAGGAATTAAACCTACTATGTAATGCTGCTTGCATTTGAGATTCTGATGACTAGTGGTAGTGGCGATGGCTATTTTTTCTTAACGAATTTCCTATTGACTATGGCAGTTATATTAACCTGCGATTAGCCGATTACTGATTACTGATAGCTTCCTAAATTGTGAATGTCTAAGCATCTTAGTATAATCGTGGATTCAGTTTTGAATAAGAATTAGGATCTGAATCCAAACTATTGTTTGACATCAGTTCTTATATTTGAGAATGTAGTGGATTTTGAAACTGTGATAATAAATGTAGACGACTTTAAAAGGTTATTTTACGATACACGACATGTGCCACGCACACATGGTAAAATAATATATAATAGGAGAACTCTTCACTAGGACAGTGGAAAATCGAGTACATGCATCTCTTTACGGCTTTCATTTTCTAACGAACTGTTCCTCTGTGCATCGGAAAGGAAGTACACATCAGACTAAGCTTCACATATGCTGTAGTTTTCATATTCTTTGACGGGCTGATAAAAATGTATTGCACTATTTACTGAAGATGGTCTATTGTTTTTGTCCTCTTGTTCAACTGATTCTGTTATGCGATAGGGCTTCGTAGTACTCCTGTTCCTTTTTTGAGGTGGATTATCCATCACGACATTTTTTTCTCTCCAGATTCCAACGTAGTTAAGTATATTTGTAATGCAGGAATTATTGTTGCTTATACTGCTCCTGCACGGCATGAGTGCTTGAAGGTAGTTGAGAACAATTACTGTGCTTCTAGAAGAGGTATCCTTCTTTCGTGACCTGTTTTTGCTTTACATGTGGTTTTCTACGGGATGGATAGTCAAAGTTTACGGAGCTTATACCATATAATATGTTTGAGCCTGTCAAAATTTATGGACATAATGCATTTGCATTTCGTTATGAAGCAATAGAGGACAACTGAATTCTTGAGTTTTCTTGGGCAACACTAATGCTAAAACTGTAAAATTGATCTCAAGCAGTGGTAGTTAACCTTTCCTTATTTGGATAACGAGCTGATCTACAACCCTTTAGACTACCCTGAGCATGTAGTCTTGTGAGAGGCAACTTGACCTGCATTGAAGTTCGTTTTCTTCTTTATTATTTGTGTACTAGTTGGGTTGAAACTTGAGATGGTAATGAGATTTTACGAAGTAGCAGAAATTAGCGCAAGTTTGAAATTTGATGTTCTAACATGAAGTGAATGAAGTTTCTACAATCTATGCCATTCTTGATTTGAAGGAAGACAGAGAAAGATGAGGGGAGTTTAATGGCTGCTTTATTAGACACAAGTTCTAGTGTCTGGTGTATCTAACATGTTAGTTTATCTATGTACATAATTGTGTCTGGCGTTTTGGATAAGAAGTTGCTTTTAATATTATTCCTATTTACAGGCAGCGTACGTTGTTTATCTATACTGAACATAGTATTTGCGGTCACATTCGGTCTACTTGCACTATTTCTCGGCTCAACTCTCCTCACACTTGGTAGCAGATGCTCCTTACCTCTGTTTTGGCTCTACGAAATTGCAGCATGGGGTCTAGTAATCCTACACGCAGGAGCAGCTTTCTTCCTTCGGAAAAGAGCAGCACTGCTACTCGACGAGGCTGACTTTGCCGGTAGAAATATCGGGCTGGAAATGCTCGAAGCAAGCCCAACACAAGTAACACCAGATATGGAGAGACGTGTCACCGAAGGCTTTAAAGCATGGATGGGCCCGTCTTTTTTATCATCCGACGAGGAAGATGAACCGGATGCTTATCTTGAAGTTCCAACTGTAGAACGTTCGAATTCGGCCCGTCAAAGAATGTGAAGTAATTTTAATTTTTGTCTCTGTGCATGATATATGATATCTCTTTTATAGTTGCACTGATACTTGTGCATTTAGCCAAGTAGTAGTAAATGTAGTTAGTCTCAAATCTGAAGGTGTACAAAATCATATTACATGTGGATTATCTTTTGTGTGCTTAAAAATTCACTTCGTCGCTTAATTACTGAAGAAGAGCTGTCGTACTTGGTGCGAAGTGCAAACTATGAAAAAACAGGTTCGCTTTTGTCATGGCCGAAATTATACGAACCCGTTTGTAGCCCCAAGCGAAATTATACGTACGGAGCAAATCCAAAACCACACTTATTTTGGAATGGATCGAGTTTACAACTATACAATTTTATGACAATATAATAGTATAATTAGACTAGGAGAAGTTTAGTACATAATTGAAACTTTTCCAAAACAAATTTGTACTTAAAAAAAAGGGTAAATTACAAACACCCCCTGAGGTATGGTCAAATTACAAAAACACCCCTCTTATTTGGATAATTACAACCACCCCTCAACTCATTAAATTTAGTGGAATCTTCGAGATTATATGGAATATTATCACTTTTGTACCCGTTTTATCCCATTCAAACTCTACATTATGAAGCAAGATGATCATAATATGTGATTTTTAGCTTGTATATATCAGTTTATGGTGCATCAGAAACTGTATTTTTTACACAAAAAGAGTACAAACTAGAGCACCATAAAGGTGGAGGTCTAAGAAAAAATCATAGTTGAGGGGGTAGATGTAATTATCCAAACAAGAGGGGGGTTTTTGTAATTTGACCATACCTCAGGGGGGTGTTTGTAATTTACCCTAAAAAAAAAAGAATAAGTTCAAATTAAACTTAAATATCCTTAATTAAGTTTAATTTGAAAAAAAAAAAAAAAACTGTGTTTAAATTAAAAAAGAAAATTGAAGAGTATTTGTTTATACGGCCCAAAACCCGACCCGAATTGCGACCCAATAATAATCAACAAAAGCCCAACCCAGCTATCTCCAAAACCCTCGCTCTCTCTTACAGAGGTGAAAACCAGATTATTCGTCCGCAGCTACAACAGACCACCCACAACCATGGCCGTCACGCCGTCGTACGAAGCCGAGCAACCTGCCGCCGGAGAATCCGCCTCCACCGGGTATGACCCTAATTATGTACCCGATTCAGTGAAGTCGTTCGTTGTCCACATGTACCGCCACATACGGGAGAAGAATGTGTACGAGATCCACCAGATGTACGAGACCTCGTTCCAGAGCATCAGCGAGAGGCTCTTCAAGGATTCCCCGTGGCCTTCCGTCGATGCGGTGGCGTCGTACGTTGACAACGATCATGTTTTCTGCTTGTTGTATCGCGAGATGTGGTACCGCCACTTGTACGCCCGCCTTTCGCCCACGCCCAAGCAGCGGATTGATTCGTGGGATAACTATTGCAGTCTCTTCCAGGTTAGAATTACTCTGTCATTATAATTCTATGTTAAGAGCCGTGGAATATATGTGGCTGCAATGGTTTTGGGAGCTGGTCTTGTTTATGTAATTGGAGTGGTATATGATTGGGGCGTGGGTTGGCTGGGTAGTGGGAGGGATTCAATTATTGAGTAGACTTGCAATAAATTTTTTGAAATGTTTGGTTCAGAAGGAAGTTTGAGCGTAAGGGAATTTTTAAGGGTTTAAGATGTGACAATTGGGTAGAATTGGTGAGTGCTCATAATGCTGCTGCATACAGTCATCGAAGAATGATTTACAGCTCTCACTAGCTCTTTCTGTGTAATTTTAAGTTGTTTCCTGTTGATGCTGGAATTCAAATGTTACGGAGAGCGAGAGAGAATTTTATTGTTAAGACTGCAGGAATGTTCTTATTTTTTATTTTTCATGACTCAATAGTGGTGCTTTTTATATTATTATCAATTTTGAAGAAGTTCAAATATGAAATTATTGTTGCGGATGCAGGTTGTGTTGCATGGTGTGGTGAATATGCAACTGCCAAACCAGTGGTTGTGGGACATGGTGGACGAATTTGTGTACCAGTTCCAGTCATTCTGCCAGTATCGTGCCAAAATGAAGAGCAAGACTGAGCAGGAGATTGCACTTCTTCGACAGTATGATCAGGTACATTGACAAAAAAATATGTGAATGAATGGTAATTTTAGTGGCAAATTTGTTTGCTAGTTTAAGTTGATTTTCTCAGAGTAATTGTTTCGCCGATGATGCTCTTTTACTGTTAACACCATACCTTTGATGCTTAATTTTCTTGATAGAGCTTTACTATTATGAAATTATAAATGAATTTGGACCCATATTACCGTAGTTTTGTTTGGAAGTTGGATACGAAAACTGCTCACTAGAGATGGCAAATGATGTTTGTAGTTTGGTCTGTCTTCAAGTTTCGTGCTTAATATTGAAGTTACGTTGGGTTGCTAACTTTGTTTTCTTCTTAGGCATGGAATGTCTATGGTGTCCTAAATTTCTTACAAGCACTCGTGGAGAAGTCTATGATCATTCAAATCCTGGAGCAAGAGAAGGAAGGACTTGAACAGTTCACTGCTACTGATGGATACGATTACAGTGGAGGAAGTAATGTCTTAAAGGTGTTAGGGTATTTTAGCATGATTGGCCTGCTGAGAGTTCACTGTTTGTTGGGTGATTACCACACTGCCCTCAAGTGCATAGTTCCAATCGACATAACTCAACAAGGCGTCTACACCAGTGTTATCGGAAGTCACATCACTACTATTTATCATTATGGATTTGCAAATCTTATGCTGAGAAGGTTTGTTTATTTAAAACTGTCTGTGAATTGTGTAAATAGCTGTGTATGGCTGGTTTATTATCAATTCTTTTTGTGAAATTTGTAAATAGCTTTGAAATTGTTTTGCAAGTACACCTGCTACTATTTGGCGTCAGACAAAAATCTGACTATTCGTGGGGGCAGTCGAGAATGCAATAGTCATGTTGTTACATTCATAGAAAGAGTGCTAATATATGTTTCCATATCCATTTGGTTGCCTTGCCTTGATGAATATTTGGTGTTGGCAAAACTGTATCTTTCTAACTGATAAAGATAATCCATGTATTCAAGAGCTATCAGTGTTTTGACTTTATGGATGTTCTGTGACGGGATATTCTTTGTGGACTTCATAGATGTTCTGTGACGTGATATTCTTTGTGAGATTTATAGATGAGCATAATTTTATAAGAACACTACAACGATTGACCATTTCTTATTAATTTTTGTTACTTTTGTCAGGATTCCATCATCCTAATACATTTTTTTTTCATGCTCTTATAGGTATGTGGAGGCAATACGGGAATTTAACAAGATACTGCTTTACATTTTCAAGACTAAGCAGTATCATCAAAAATCTCCACAATATGAGCAAATATTGAAGAAAAATGAACAGATGTATGCCTTGCTTGCTGTATCTCTTTCTCTTTGTCCCCAAGTGAAGCTTGTTGAGGAGACTGTAAACTCCCAATTGCGAGAAAAATATGGCGAGAAAATGTCGAGGATGCAGGGATATGATGATGATGCATTTACTCTTTATGATGAGCTCTTCTCATATGCATGCCCAAAGTTCATCACTCCATCTTCTCCTAGCTATGAGGAGACTCTTGTCAACTACAATCAGGTATGTGTGATTAAGTCCAGTCCAGGGTTTATTTTGTGGTTTTAATTTAGAACTTAAATTGATCATCACAGATTGAATTGTTTTAGAAATGAAATCCTTCAAAACTAAGGTGAAATAAATATACTCTGTTCAGGTTGATTGAATCTGCAGATTAAGATGTTTATTTATTTATTTTTTTGATTTTTTGAGTTCATTGGTTTCTGCTAAAAGATTGCAAATAGTTGCATGCCTTGAATTCTATGAAGTCACATCCTTATATTATATATTAAACATAGTACACGAGGTTGATCAACGATTAATCTAATTCATTTTTTTTTTAAATCGAATTCAACGATTAAATTATTTCAGGATGCTTACAGACTACAATTGAAGTTGTTCCTTTATGAAGTGAAACAGCAACAACTATTATCAGGGGTCAGGACATTCTTAAAAGTGTATTCGACAATCTCCCTTGGAAAGCTTGCGGCTTACATGGAAGTCGATGAGCCTACCTTAAGGTCTGATAGAAATTCTAACTTGACGCCCTTCTTTCTTGCCCTATTTGTGTCCCGGTTTATTTTCTACAATTGTACTAATTCGAAGGGCTTTTTATTATCTATTGACAGGACAATTTTGATGACATACAAACACAAGACACATTCTGTAGACTCTGATGGAAAAATCACCTCAAACGCAGATCTCGATTTCTACGTTGATGATGTGAGTTTCATTTTGCTTGGTCATGAATTGTCAGCCTAATTATTACACGAAAATTATGTCTCACTCGTACTGTCGTATGGAAGTGATATTCCCTTAGTCTATCAAACTTCGTTAGTTCAATATATAGGTTTGAAAAGATATGGGGATTACTTAATGGATCAATTGGACTTGTTTTTTTTTTATTTCAGGACATGATTCATGTTACGGAATCCAAACCAGCAAAAAGATACGGGGATTACTTTATGCGACAAATTGTTAAGGTAAAAGCTGTAGCAGCAGATGTTTATTCTTGTCGTTTTCCTTTCATCGTAAATGTGCTGACAGTATGATTCCTTCTATGTATTATATTTGTGCAGCTTGAAGGGATAATGACTGATATCGACAGGATAAAGTTGGAGTAACCATAAAAATCCTTTTTCTTTTTTTTTTTTTAAATTATTCCGATTTGTTTAGGTACCATCCTTGTTGTCTTATTCAGATTTTGAAATGTTTTTCATTCAGAAATTATTTTTCAACTTTTGCAATGGACTTGGATCAAGTTTGTCGATTCTTTTCTATTGTTGTTGAGTATGCCAGAAATGAATTACCTCAATTACGGAGGTTAATTCGTAAAGCCAGCATCTTTTTTAATAGAAAAAAACCCCAGAATCTGCAGTTTGCTGCTTAGATAAATTATATTGTAATTATTACATCAAATTACATATTGTTTTTGTCAAGATAAATCAACTTCTCAGTAATTGTGAAAATCTGCAAGATATATTACAGAAATATATATATAATATATATTATAGAGTTATAGAGTATGTAAAGAAAATTTAATAATCACTACCGTTGTCCCTTTTTAGCCATAAGAAGATATGCATTTACATTCTTCTTTAAACACATTAAAATTATGCCGGCCTACCTGCGGCGGAGCTTTTAAGATCATAAAATCGAAACCAAATTTTTTTATTGAAATGAAAAGCGGTGGGTGCACGATTATGTGATATTAATTGCGACCGAATATTGATTTTCATGCGAGATTAAATGGCTTGATTGGTTACTGCAAGAAAGCCATATTCCTCCTATTCCCCATAAATTAGCTAAGCACAAACTTTCTGCATATTTAGACAGCAGCCACCATGACTAGCAGAGGAGTCATGACATGCAGAGGTGCATGCATTTTCATCTGATAGTTATTCATTTCATCGCTGCGACTCATAATTACTATATATTTCGCATTATTATGGAAAAAAAAAAAGAGAGATTCTTGGAGTCAAATTACTACAAGCTCGTAATTATTGTGTGGTATGAATGTTGTTGGTTGCAGCTGCTGTTGTAAGGAAATGTCGGGAGGCGCTTGAAGTGGAAGAGATTGAAGTTGATCCACCTAAATCATCTGAAGTTCGGATTAAGATGCTTTGTGCCAGTATTTGCCACACCGACATCCTTTGTTGGCAAGGCGTCCCCCTTGTACTAAGCACTATGAATACTTTGATTACTAGTGTGAGTTCTTCGTTTAGTTCAAATTTATCAAGATTTTTTAATTTTAGTTTTCGGTTTTTTTTTCCAGCCTATGTTCCCTCGGATTCCTGGACATGAAGGAGTTGGGTAAATCTCTCTCTCTCTCTCTCTCTCTCTCTCTCTCTCTCTCTCTCTCTCTCTCTCTCTCTCTCTCTCTCTCTCTCTCTCTCTCTCTCTCTCTCTCTCTCTCCGCAAAATAAACATCTACACAAAATTAAAAAAACAGTGTAATCGAGAGCGTGGGCGAAAACGTGACGAATCTGAAGGTAGGAGATACCGTAATGCCACTCTATCTCGGAGAATGTGGAGAATGCTCAAACTGCATTTCGGGAATAACAAATTTGTGCCACAAATACCCCTTCAATTTCAACGGCCTAATGGCCGATGGCACATCAAGAATGTCCGTTAAAGGGGAAAGATTATACCACCATTTCAGCTGCTCAACTTGGTCAGAGTATGCCGTAATAGACGCAAACTATGCAGTGAAAGTTGATCCGAGAATCTCACTTCCCCATGCTAGTTTTCTTTGCTGCGGTTTCACTACAGGCTTTGGATCAACCTCGAGAGTAGTCAATATTCACAAGGGCTCAACTGTTGCTGTCATTGGCCTCGGTGCTGTTGGACTTGGCGTAAGTATGCGTATACACACATACACATACATACATATATAAATATATATATATCAAGATTATATGTAGAGTTTTGAGGTTAAAATAATGAGATACTATGCAGGCTGTAAAGGGAGCTCAGATGCTAGGGGCCTCGAAAATAATAGGAATAGATATAAATGAGAAGAAGCATGACAAGGCAAGATTTTTCGGTATTACGGAATTCATAAATCCAGAAGTTTCTGGTAAATCTGTATCGGAATTGATCAAAGAAGCCACCGGAGAGTTAGGCGTTGACTACTGTTTCGAGTGCACTGGCGTACCAGCACTACTCAACGAAGCCATAGAGGGCTCGAAAGTGGTAACGAATTTCTTCGTCTTTTTTCCTCGATTCCTGATATTTGATATTGACTTTTTTTTCCGACGTTATGTGTAACGGGAGTAACTTTGTTACAAATCAGGGAACTGGAACAGTGGTGTTTATTGGTGCAGGGGTTGAGAAAAGTGGAGAGCTGAATTATATTCCACTCTTGTGTGGTAGAACAGTCAAAGGTTCAATCTATGGTGGTGTAAGAACTCACACAGATCTTCCTTCAATTGTTGACAAATGTGTTAACAAGGTACACTTTTAATTAATTCCATATATTTTCCAAATTGTAATTTTTTTTATTCAAGATTTTCAAGAAAAAATAAAAAATTTATTATTTATTTTTTCTTCATATATATATATGAGCAGGAAATTGATCTTGATCAGCTGATAACTCATGAGATTTCACTTGCTGAGATTAACAAGGGGTTTCAGTACATGAAGGATCCCAACTGTATTAAGGTTGTCATCAAGTTTTAACCCGAATTCTGATTGGTCAGCAATAATTATGTACTTGAATTAAAATGAATAAATAAATCAATCTATATATATAATAAATTTCATAGTCATTGATCAACAAATAATGAAAATAGTATTTGATATAATAAATCACCCTTTTTACAGAAGAGTATGTATAATAGATAAAATGACGAAGATTTGTATTAGTATAAACTACAGTACGCCTTAACCGCAGTACCTTCTATCTGAAACCCTTGAGCAGATAAGAAGACGGACTTGCGAAACTAATGCCGCTTGAGAACTTTCCAGTTTCCTTTGCTGGTGTTACACATTCGCTAAAATCGAGGGTGCGCCTCTCTGCCTGCAAAATGGATTATCCCAAGTTCATCATTAGTTGTACTTCCATTTCTTAACCGTAGCACTTTCTATATTAAAAAAACAACTTACAAAAAGTAGAACAGATCCACATTATGAACAGAGTTTATGTGACACTAAAGTAATCAAGACTGAAAATTTAGATTTATAAAGTAGGCCAGTTTGTTGTAATAATTCATGACAAGCATACCATGGAAATTGAAGCCGAAAGAGGATCATGTTCTGTCTGAGAGTTTGGATTGATGGAGCATTTGATTTTAGATAATGTTTCTGGAGTTTCATCTCCCAAAACAACCTGAGCATCCGCAAATGCACCGGCAGTTTGTTCTCCTAATTGTTTCATTAAACCAATGGCATCGTAGCTTTGGTTCCCTGGGCTTAAAAAGTAGCCAATATCCTACAATACACAAAATATGGGTTAAGAACAGAAGGAAAAGACAATGAATTGAAAGAGAATGGACTGATTAATAGGACTTTCTCAACCTCAATTGATATATCTGTGTCGACTCTTGGGCCTGGCACAAAATTGTTCATGAACCAGGGTGATTTCCATGGTGAAGGAGATTCTGTTCTCCTCTTAAACGGTGTCTCAAGGTATCTGGGGGAAAAAAAGAGAGAGATTGAGAGAGAGTTATAACCAAAGAAACTTAAAAAAGCTAAGTATGAAGCTGCATTCGTCTTACATGCTATTGTTTTCAAAGGCTATGCCTTTACCAGAACTTTCAGCTTTCTTCCCTGAAGGACTCGAGGATTGCAGGCCATCCTTGGTACAGAATCGAGGAGAGCAATGACTAGAAAAACGTGAAGTCTCCGCCGAAGATAAAAATGCTCCGTGTTTTGATAGAGCATCAAGTTTTCTGGCGTATCTATCACCCTTAATTCCAAAGCGGTCAGGAGAAAAGAATAATACATCATTCATATCATGTTCGACGAGTATCCCAGAAAATTCTTTTGCCTGTCAGAGAAGAACAATAGCACCAGATTAGACTACAGAAACTTCACAATCTCAGAAAATGAAGCCAAGTGACATAAGCAAAAGAATTATTAATGTATAGGAACTCGTGATAAGAAATGGAAAATATAAATCTAGAAATGCTAACAGAGAGTTCTTATTTTTCAGATGAATTGTTAAGGTAACAGATAAAAGAAAAGCACAAGGTTCATAAAGTAGCAAATTTTCAGCTTTTTCTTGGTTATTTGATTGAACATATCATCTTCGGTTCTTATTCCCACTATTGCCTTTAATCCAAGTAAAGAAGGAAATGAGAAAGTACATACCGTATTGGTTGCATCTTTAGCCACAGATTCGGGTTTGACTTCTGCCACGGCAGTTTTTTCTGTTAAATTTTCTGAATTCTCGCAGATATTAGATTCTTTCTGTGATATTCTGCTTTCTGAAAGGAGAATGCGTTCATTGCCCTCATTCTTTGCTTGTTCACAAGGAGGGGCCACATTTTCTTTTTCTGCAGAAGGTGCTTCAAAGTTTCCTTCTCCTTTCTCGTCCATACATTCATTGAACATAACCTCTAACCTGGACAAATCGTTGGTCAGGTTAGCTAATGACTCTGTCTTAAAACTACCTTCAAACTTCTTTTCAACCCTCTTATCTGATAAAGGAGACATCAAATCACGGTGCCTTTTCTTCAGTATAGATGGTGTGCCTGTAAAACTTTTGGCAGCACTTTTTAGTACAGCTACAGGGCTATTATCTCTAGATGGTAAATCCCATAGTTTATATGGATTCATGGAAGATATCATCAGTTGGCGGATGCCAAGTGGGCTGTACTCTTGATGCACATCACCACCAGGTTGTATTAGATCACAACTAAAAAACGGTACATCTAAGCTCGGGAAACGAGGAGGCTCATAGAATAAAGCTCCGGAGTCCTTCTGTTCATCTGATTCCACTGGATCTTTGTCCCCCGAAGAACAACATTGAGCATCACTAACTGGTCCCAAAACAAAATCATTAGCTGGAACTAGTCTTGGCGACCTCGTTGCCTCGATGGACTTGTCCTCGCAAGGAGAGCAATCAGATTCAACATAGACAAAGCAGTCATTCATACGCTGTGACATGGAGTCCTGCTCAGTAGTCCCATGTGCAGAATAGTTAAACTGGTCTGGATTCATGCTGAATATCTGTGAACCATCGGGGGGAAGTTGCGAAGAAATTGGGCAAGGTTGAGCGAATGAAGTTCCCGGCATATCAGAAGGCACAAAAGGCATCTGATAATTTGAAAAGTCGTGAAATGAACCTGTTGGTCCATCAATGTCGCTAGTAACATTTTCACAGGGGAATCCATCACGGCCATCCTCAGGATATACTGTATTACCGTCCGCATGAGCTATTTGATTAGAGATATCAGATCCCACAACCATGTTTCCCATGGAAGTAGAAGCACCTAGTTCCATGTAAGTCTCTGTCGGAAAGGGTACATTATCATGGTTATCCCTGCCAGTTAAAGATGGCATGAATAGTCCAGATGATTCTCGGCCGAGATCCAGCATAGAATTTGTGTTTTGTTGCCAATCTTTCCCCACAAAGGCCCCCCAATCTAGAATTAAATCATTTTCAAGAAACTTGTCCCCTAGTTCACAAGGTAAATCTGGTACAGCATATGTGACTTCTTGAGATGCTCGATAATAATCTTCAGAAGACGGGATTAAACATGATTCTTCAGTTCGTTTGTAATCTCGTCTGGGCTGTTTACTTCGGTTAGTTGCATCGTTTGTAGATTGGGATATACCGGCAACATTTGAACATTGACTGCACTCAGAAGCTTCCTCAATTTCTGCTCTATCTCTATCATCTTCACTGCTTTGTTGTGCTTTTGAAGTAGAAGATGCTGCCGAGTGATTTGAATGGATAACTAGGGGTAGACCTTGAAATTGTGAAAGTAACCCTGAAGCCAAATACATGTCCAATTTCTTCTTGACAGAAGAATTCCAATGATTTTTTATTGCATTGTCGGTTCTGATGGCATACATGTGTAATGGAAATCGAAATGAGTAAAAAAACTGGTCAAGATATAACATGGTACATTGACGATAGACATGTGAAAGTTCATAGGTTTTTGCATTTTGAATTGCTACTTCATGTAACTAGTATGTGTTACCATACCTCCCAGGCAAGTACTTCGTTAACTCTGCCCACTTGTTTCCATGAATTTGATGAGCACGAATCAAAGCCAATTCCTCATCTTGTGTCCAAGCTTCCTTGTTTATGCCAGGATTAAGATGATTGTACCACCTGCAAAATAATCGTAGACACGCCTAAAGCATACTACATGCAGAAAGTCAAGAAATGAAATTTTCTATACCAGGACGAGATGAAATCCAGACCTTCAAGGCCAACAAATAATCTACTATCCAAAAATGTCTAATTTGCAATTAATTGCTGAAAAAGACAATAACCTTAAATACTAATATATATGAACATCGAAGGAAGAACAATAGATCAAAAGTTCTGCAAGCATACCTTTCCCGACATTGCTTTCCGATACGTCCATGAAGATGTTGTGCAATGGTAGACCACTTTTTTGGCCCATATGTTTTCACCAATTCAATTATCATTTCATCTTCCTGATTGATAGAAAAGGATTAACTACAGTAAAAACTTATCATTAATGGAAACAAAATCTAGAAAAAAAAAAAGAGAAGTTGTCGAACCTCTTTTGACCATGGGCCTTTAACAAGCTCTGGATTAAGAACCTTCTGCCACCTGTGTAAGCACTGTACATCTGTTCGGTCTTTGAAACACTCCGCTATATAAAGCATTACATACCATAGAAATTCAAAGGCACTTAAAGAGTTAAAGTTTGAGCTATTGATTGTCAATACGGACGCAAGAAAGAGTAGTAACTCTGCAGTCGAGTTTATTGCAATTAAAAAGTACAAAATATGAATGAATTACTCATTAAATGCCATAGTAATCAAATGAAAGACATTTATGCAGCATCAACTATGTACAAAGGTTGAGAAAAAAGGAATAAGCAGAAAGCTTCTGTTACCCAATTTATTTAGCCAGAAATTGTCCGCAAATATGTTTTCCTGCCATGCTCAGTGCAAATATAAGCAAAGCAAATAAGAATATTGAAATCATATTGGATTCTCCAGCCTCAAAAGTTGCTGGTCTCATGGAAATCCTATCAAATTTCTCTGTACGGAAGGGTTCCATGACTTAACCAGCCTTTTAGAAACAGTTAAAGAAAAACTAGAGAATACTCATACATCTAGTTTAACAAATAATAAATGAGAATTTTTTTTGATTTCCGTATTTCTACCTATCTTTTTCCAGTTTTTCCCATTGAAGCGTTGAACAGCCATTCGTAATATCTCATCCTGTCAGCAAAATAGAAAAACATATCAATTAGATTCACATATTAAAATCCATTCACACAGACACATGATTATTTAATCTTGCCTACAAAATCTATATGTGAAGTAAAACTTAAAGATAGGGCCACACCTTCAATACAATATAGTAATTCAATTTCAGTTATCTATACCACCACCAGCTTAACAATCAGTAATATAAAGACAGTTCTTATAACAGATTTCTGGTGGTTGAGCATTGACGGACGATTGGGTAAGCACAAAAAAAATTGTCTGCTTGTTTACTAGGAGGGACTTTTAGATCATTAAAGAACTCAACAATAATTATGAAAAATGAATGCAGAAGGTAAACTATCACATAAAAAAAAGTAAACTATCACATATCATGTGTTTCTTTAACATCCATTGCTCTTAAACATGTCAATGCATCAGACCATGCAAGTTCTAGAAGTAAATATGCACACTTAGTAGTGCATCTGGTGTTCCCTCGGAAGAAAAAAATAAAATTCGGAGAAGAAAGAAAGGTGCAGATATATAGGACAAAAAATTGCAATTGCAGAAAAGGTTCCAACTAACCTCCTCTGCAGTCCACTGTCCCTTTGTGGAACGCCTCGTGGGGCCACTTGTCCTCCTGCAGAAGATGTACTAATCACATCAATTACATACTACTTTTTCTGCATTGTTTTTATTTAAAGCGAGGGCGATGGGACACTCTATTCCCTATCTAACAAAATCAACTATTTCAAAAAAATTGTGAAGCCAATGCTCACATTTTTCCAAATTATATAACTTTCCCTACTAATGTAACCAGCTCTAAAATGCTACCCTTTTTTTTACCTGAAGGACCCACAGGCCTTTTTACCTCAGAGAAATCATCGAGATTTCATATGATAAAGCAGAAAATAGATAAATAAAGTAACAAGAGTAGGTTAATATAAATAATCAGTAAATACGTGCTTCAAAAAATTACCCATGTGAAGGCCGAGCCCTATGTACACCATCTCCAGCGCCATCTGCAAACGTGTTTCTGATCCTATCACTTTCCATATCTACTTGAAAAACAGGCAAATCTGCATATGCCAATTCCCACACGTTGGCAATTTTCTCCTGAATGTCTTCTCCAAATCATTATATGCTGCCCTAAGAATGTTGAAATGAGACAAATGGAAAGTCAGGATATCTACAAGCATAATCCGGATATGCAAACAAATATAAACATTAGTAAGCAATCAGAAGATACCTAATTACGCATCTTATCAAGAAAAACAAAGTTAGTAAGTTAATAAATATTTTTTTAAAAAAAGGGCGTGAGATTCTCTGCGTTAGGTATCCACTGAATGTATTATATCTCAAGATACTACTATTCTTCGGTGATAGAGTTGTTCGAAGCAACTTAAATATTTTTGTTGCCTCTTGGAATTTGAATTTTCAAAACAACCTAATGACAGCTGAGATTCGTGAACCATTAGCAGTCGAATAAAAAGCTATGTTTTTTTTTAAATACTACCAGCAAAATTCTCTATTGTCAGAATGATAATCATGTCCCTGATTAAATTGAAACTCGCAAAAGAAAAAAAGGTCAAATGATTTTCAAATAAATAAATCTCCAGGGAGGATGAACCTATAACCAAAGTTCGCCATTTCATGCCCAAAGTTTTCACTTAATTGAGGAGGTACAATAATGCCCTTAACATAACTCTTTGACGCTGTACTAATTTAAATAAATAAAAAAACTAAAAATCTTAACACAAAACACTGTCAAATTGGGCTACAAAAATTGCTGGTGACCGCTACTGCACTAGGATAATTAAATTTCTGATCAATTTAGCAATTCACATAGCAGGGTTAAAAATTCAAAATTCAAAATTCAAAATTCAGAATACTCTAAATTGACAAAAGACTAATCTTTTCAGCAAAATGCATCCCCATTTCCCAAATTAAAAGAAGCTCCCCCTAGTTAGGGCTCCGATCGTGAAATTCACGCGTCTCCCAACACCCAGCACAAGAAAGTACAAAGCAAAATCGATAACTTCAGTTGCATACTTCATAGAAATTGATTCACTTACCGAACTCAGCTTGACGAATTCCAATCCAACAAATGAAACACTCAAATCCCACCCGATCAATTCAACGCTCATTTGCAGATCCTAATGCAATTTATTTCCTCTCTGTATGCTATATTTCACACGAACAAAAATCAACGATCTGCAAATGCGAGTGTGTTTTTTTGAGCGAGAATTAGTGTGTGTTTTAAGAGAGAGAGAGAGTAAAAATAGAAACGGTAATAGAAATTCAAAATAAAAGAGAGGGCAGGGCGGAGGAGAAAGTTTCAAACCGTGACGTTAAAAGTCGAACGGCTCCTTTCTTTTGAACGGCTGAGATGATGCCACGACTGACTATCTGCTTTAAGTAGTTGCCGTCTTTTTCAAATGTTTAATGGCAACGGTATTATTTTTTTCTTTCAATCCTTGTTATTGCATTTACAATAAAATTGTAATTTATATTCACAAAATACAGATGTAATCAAATGTTTTTTTTCTTTTTCCCTTTCAAATGATACAAAATTGTATTTATTATTTTTTTTTTTTTTTCCAAATTGACAAATATTTCCTTTATTTTGGGGTTTTAACTCGTAAATCTATTTGCCTAGTTTCATATACGATAAAGTAAAGAAATATCGCGAGCATCCAGTATCTTTTTTCGATGTTGTCTTTGTTCACATACGAGCTTTACTTAACAACAACACGATCCCTAGTGGTAGACTCTCGATAAAGAGTCGTCAAAAATATTTTTTTTCGTTGGGTCATTTTTAATTATCTAAAAAAATTGAATTTATATGTACGGAATGAAAAATACCCACAAAATTAGTCAACAAGTATTTGTTATAAGTGTAAATTACACCCACACCCCTGAGGTATGCTTAAATAATTTTAATGTTCATGTGGTATCGATGATTACACTCACCCCTTGAACCGTTATCTTCACCACTAGTTAAAAGTAATAGTCCATTAGAACCCTATCGGAATAATGTATCCAATGCATTATCCCGTTAGAGTTTCTAACTACGTATATAATTTACCTTGTTATAATTGGGCCTTTGCCGAATTGGACCATGTTCCAAGTATCCATTTATTTAAGCCCTTTTTAACGTTGTGAAAAGATCACATATACATGTTAATATAATAGATAAAAAAAAAAAATAGATTATCCATACATTTAACAAATACAATCACTGCACAAAATAAATATTTAAACTAAATCAATTCATACATTTCTTGAACATAATTATATTTTTTATTCAAAACTAAATCAATTCATACATTTATTGAACATAATGAAGAGCACTACACATCCCAGAACAAAAACTCTAAAACTCTATAGTCATCCAAATGTCTTAATTTTTACGGTTAAAGAATCTCTTTTCATAGTTCAAACCTAAACCCCCTCCCTAGAAAAAAATCTCTCATTAATAATAAAAAATTAATTTGATACAAAATTATTTTTGTTGAAATGATATACGAACACAAATGAGCTCATCGGAATTATTTTTGTTGAAGTGATATACGAACACAAATGAGCTCATTGGATTAAGATCGGGCACGCCCAAACCGAGCGTGTGTAACAACTTCTGAAACCGTACTCATCCGTCATCTCGTCCTCATGCGGATCCATATGTACATCCACCTCCGCCTCTATCGCCGCAGGTGCTCGCGTAATCTTTCGATTGTGTGTTTTGCCCTCTCGTTGTGCAGTAGTCTCCTCGACCGGATCCGTAGGAGCCCCTTCCCTTTTTCCTGCAATATCCATTGATTATTCTTAATCGAACATTCAATGTCTTGCAATACCCGTTGATTAACATTCTTAAGGGTCCCAGCGTCTTCTTGCAATATCCGTTGATTATCTTACATAAAGCATCAACGTAATTATGTAAGACATCCGGGAATATTGCAAATGTTATCATCGATCATTTTATCGATGCCTCTCGACACATTTATACAAAGAAACAGCGGTCGAAGCCGAATTCACAGCAACACGGACATCCTTAAGCCTTGAAATCTTGATAAAAAACATGTAATCGGAGAAACATATCATACGCATGATTCAAAACGTAGATTCCTGAAACATGTTAAAAGATAATTAATGAAACCACAATACAAAAGTAATTACGATTGCAATTAGAAAAAAAAAATGATTCGATTTGTACCTGCTGAGGAAACCCTAATTTTGTTGGAGGAGAAAGAGATAAAGCTGTGTTTATATATGTGAAAGAATGGCCTTTTTTAGGGTTTACATTTTGTGTGGAGAGCGCCGCCAACACCTAAATCTTAGCTAGAAAGTGGCTAAATTTTGTTTCTGGAAGTGTCTAATTAAAGTGACGTGGCAGGATGCTGACCTAATAAAGTTACACGTGGCAGGATGCTGACGTAATAAATTTACTGCTATTTTAACTGCACACAAGTTATTCAATTTTCATTTTTTTTACTGTGCCTCGTTAATCATTTTTCTAATCTCCACATTAATCATATTATATTATAATTCAGTGGTTTTAAATAAATATACAGCCTCCTATTTAATTTTGAAAAAATATTATTCACGATTATTCCAATCGATATGTAAAGAAATTAATCTATGATTCACTCATAGCAATGATTGACATCTATTTTAATAACACCAGTAAAAAAAATATATGTTATTTTAATACAAAAATAACAATCCAAGAACAAAAAAATAATAAAGCAAAAACATTATAATTTGCTCTATACTTCATCATCAATCTATTCTCTCTAACAAAAATGCTTAGTAAAGAAACAAAATCCAAATTTTCCAGAAACATGCAATGGTTAATCTAGCTCAAGAACAAAACATAATATAATAAATTAGGCCCGGAAATAGATAAAAATAAATAGCAGTTTTAACAAGTCTTGCGTATCGTACACCAGATGATAGTTTAAATAGAAAAAAAAAAGAAAAAGGAAAAAAAAAGGAAGAGAACAAAATTGATTCGACGCGATAAAAATAGGAAGGCGGACGATGGTGCGATGGTGGATATCGGAGTTCATCTATGTTGCCCCAACTTTCTGAACTTTATTAGGGCGATTTCCAGATTCATTATCTCTCGAACGAGAATGCTTCCCACCAAAATGCCTACCACCACCTCTGTTGTGCCTTCCTCCCCTGTCAAACATAACGAGAGCCATCTACTAAGCAGGCGTTTGTGGACCCCAGTCTTTTTGAGTTGTAAAAAGTGAATAAATAATCCCAAAATACAGAAGTTATTGCTAAAGAGAAACTGTACCTTCCACGGTTGCTGTTCCTGAAATTGTCACGGTGCTTGTCCTGGCTATTACGAAGTAAGTTCCAGTATTCCTTCTCAGCCTCACCTGAGAATTCGAATATTAAAGTGATTGTTAAGTTAAGAAATTCAGATACGAACTTGAGCAAGAAGTATTGTAAGAGAAAAAACAAAAAAGACAAGTCACAAACCGATAACAGGATCAAGAGTAGCAATGAAATTCTTCACAGTCAGACCACCCTCCTCGGTAAGAACAGCAGCAGCACGAGCTTTCTGGGCAGCTTCAGCATCTTCAAACCTTATATATCCAGATTCCGATCCAATCTTGAAATCAATGAACTACACACAATGTAAAATAATATCCACAATCAGTGACAAATAATATGTATCTACTAATACACTCTCCTCTTTGGGGCTAGACAGCAAAACGCAAGATAGATTATGTAATACCTTAACAGGGCCAAACTTTTGGAATATACTTTTCAGGTCCTCTCTTAAAACAACATCCTTGTTGTTCCTGTAAACCTCAATGGTTGTTTTTTCTTCACAAGATTCTTGGTTTTCCTTCTCAGTTGTTACGTCTGAAGATTCCTTAGCATCCTCGGATTCCTCCGCTTTGGTCACTGCAACAGCTTTATCTGCTTCTTCTTCGTGATTTTTCGCATCTTCGACACTTTTCAGAACCTCGGATTCTGTCTTTTCAGCTTCAACTTGTACTTTATCTTGTTCTCCGTCTACCATAGAGACGTCTGCATTAGCACTCACTGGCCCATGACTGCCATTTTGTTCGGCCGAAACTTCAGCAGAGATCTTCTTCAATTTAAATGCAACAATTAAGCCTTTGGGATATCTGCAACAAACATAGCTGTCAGATTAAAACTATAATAAAGTAATATAAGGATAACTAGTACAATTTATTTTGTATAACACCCACTGAGGTTCAGCATTGGCCGCCTTCTCTTTGCGGTTTGAAACTGCTTGGGGACGAGTCTTCACAACTTCCTCTTCTTGCTTAGCTCTTTCTTCATCAAACTCCTTCCTGGATAAAGGGGGTAAAAATAAAAGCATAAATAAGGAGTTCCGAAGAAGTAACTAATAAAGCACTTAAATAATATCAAAGAAATAACTAATACAGCATATTTTCCAATATGCATGAGGTGATGTGACTTATTTAACATCGATACTTACTTTGGTTTCAGTTCTAACTCAGCACCTGAATAACTTATGGATTGCTTCAAAACGTTTGCAGCATCCTCCTCACTGGAAAACTCAACCAGGGCTGTGCCGCAGAACAACCTAGTGTCAGCAACATGTCGAGGTAGCCTCACGCTATTAACCTAACATAGAAAATAGAAGTTAATTTAAGTCAAAAAAGATTGAACGAATTTTTTAAACAGAGCTGTAGGGCTATAATAATAATTTCAAGCTGCAACTAAAGATTTTCAAAATTATTTAACAAATGAAATGCTCAACTGTCGAAGCTACTACAGATATATTAGGCAACTGATATTTTCGGTAAAGTACTGCACTCTGAATTTCAGATAAGAAAATATAAATGATGATGAATCAGTCACATATATATATACCTTAGCGAACTGGCCAAAAAAGGTTTCGACATCTTCAAGCTTGACATCATATTCCAGGGGCGACGCAGCAATTGTTCTCTCATCTGATTGCTTAATGGCCTCTTCAGTTTTTGGAAGCTCAGTAACTCTACCAATGCTCTTCCCTTTACGAAGAGGGAAAAAAGAAGGCAAACTTTAATATACAAAATCATTAGATCAAAACATACCATCCTCAAATCTTTAAAAACTCACCATCTTCAGAAATCCTAAGAAACGTAGAGGTCTTTAGAGTTTCAGCCACAGATGAAACGGTGTCCTCTGATACATCTTCTGGTTTCACATCTCCCAGGCTCAAGTGACCTCTCATCCGAGAAAATGAACAAATCAACGCCAAACTAACCACTAGAGTCTAGTTAAGGAAGCAAACTTTCAACAGGCGTATATATGATTTTTCATACCTACAAAAGGTTATTTAATCCTAAACTTTCAAAAGGTCATTATAGTTTACACACAAAAATAAAAAAACAAAGTGTGCCAGACTAATTTTAATCGAATGAACCGCATTCCTTTTCTAAAACTTAGACCAACTAGTAATGCAAAGCTGCTTAAACCAATATCAAAGCTCAACAACATTTCCTATTTAATGTAAACGGGATTTCCGAATGAGAAAAAAAGGGCTTCACAAACATAAGCTTGGTTGTATAATGTTGTTATCAAAACCAAAAAATTCAATGAATGGACATGCTACTAGCACAATTCAATAGCAGAAACCGCACTTGAATTTCAGACTTCATTAGGCAAACAAAGCAACAGAAAAAATCACAATAAAATTATGATTTAAAAAATCACCAAACGCATGATTTAGCAGCACAAATGAAAAAAAAAAAAACAAAAAAAAAAGGATACTCCCATCATCACTTTCGCTGATGGTTTTCTTCAGAAAATTATCTCTGGGAAGATTACTGTCACTGAAGTAGAACTCCACCTAAAACAGAATATATCCGATACAAAAACATTAAATAAAAGAGGGAAAGAAAAAAAAACTCAAATCCTTTCACCTTCACCAAAATAAACGATGAAAATAATCGAAAAACAAAAAAAAAAAAAAAAAAAAAAAAAAAAAAAACGTGTTACCTGGCGAATAACTTTCTTTGCAGTTTCTTCATCCAAAGAAGGAGCCATCGACGCACGATTAAGTTTAGAGAGAGAAAGCAGCGTGCGTGGTCGAGTGTATGAAATATTTCAGTGACAGAGAGCAAAGAGCGGTTTAGGGTTTTAGAATTTGGGGCGGGGGGTGAATGCTGTTTTTAAAGGATTTTTTTTTTTCTAGTATTTCCAGAGAGAAAAAGACCAAATAACCACTGCCGTTGGTCAATCGTCAACGAAGCTGTATTATTATTTATTTATTATTTACTATTATTTTATTTTAGGAGACGGAAGTGTATTATTCAATTCCACATAATCCTTACTCAAAAAAAAAAATTTTAAAAAAATCCACATAATCCAATCCGTTCAAATAAAACAACAGAAATTCAATATTCATAAATAAATAAATAAACAAAATGTCACATGATTGGAATATTATTTGTTCAACTCCCCCTAAAATTATGCTTAGTGATTTAGTGCTTCCTCCAAGTTGGGATTAAATTTGAAAATGAAACTTAAACCACATACAATGTGGTTAGGAGTTAGGCACGACTCAAGCCCACTACCTAATGTGCAATGCTGCTTTATATTTAATTTTTTATTACTATTTTAAATCCTAATTACTGCTAATATATTTTTTTAATAATGCAAATTATTGTTTGATTTTTTTTTTTTTTAAATACTGCATATAGAATCAACCAAACATTAAATAATATATAATTGTTTAATTACTCCCAAATTATATGCAAATCACAAAATATGAAGAAAATGTAAAATGCAGTGATTAGGATTATAGACTAGATGGTGAAGAAGGAATTCAATTTCAAACCTTTACATCTCTTGCTACCCAAAGTTCATCTCTAAAAGAAAAAAAATAAAAAGAAAAATATTCATCCTTCAAATTACACTACATATTCACAGCCAAAAAAAAAACAAAAACATTGCCTTCTTCCAGGAGATTTGAAAATGGCAAGCGTGTCTGTTAACCAGCCGAAAATCGCCAAATTCGCTGCATCACGAAATACGAGAACATTAATATATATGGCATATGTCTTTCACAAAAAGGAATCGAAATCGAAAGATCGATCCAGTGACCCTTACCAGTCTTGTACTTACATGGAAAAGAAAGCTAAAAGTTTCTCCAGTTAGTATTCGTTATTTATCGTACCTGTAGTGTATCAGATCAGATAGATAAGATAATCAATCAGATATTGGGAATATGAATCTGAGGTGAAATTCAATAAACTATTCTGCTATCATAGAATCAACGTCGTAATTGACGGGAACTGCTCACCACACAAATTGCACTATATGTTCACTTCGACTTAAAACCAGCCTTCAGTCTCTTTAATTCCTTCCCTTGTTGCTGACAAAAAATAATAAAAAAAATGAAGCGTAATAAGTGCGGGAACTCGATAGAGAGAGTTTTATTCGTTCTATACAGGAGACCGTGTTAAGATGATCTCACCTCGTAAAGCTTAGCCCACCATTTATCGGATTTCGATTGTAGTAAGCACCAGTCCATAGCCATCTCATATTCAATCGTGTTGTTCTGGGAGTAATGTGGAGTAGACACGGCTTCTTTCTAGATGATGCCAAAAGAACACCAATAGTTATAAATTATATATTTCGAGATTTTAGATTGCATGCTAAAACATTTCAAACGAACATTATATGTGAACTTTCATAATATATAAACTTCAGCTAGCACTTTCCGATATGGTGTGTGTGTGTGTGTGTGTGTGTGTGTGTGTGTGTGTGAGTGTGTGTGTGAGTGTGTGTGTGTGTGTGTGTGTGTGTGTGAGAGAGAGAGAGAGAGAGAGAGAGAGAGAGAGAGAGAGAGAGAGAGAGAGAGAGAGAGAGACCATTTCCCTCTGCATTGGACGCCTAGCTCTGTCAATAGACAAATGACCAACAAATCCCGTCTGCTTTTCAGAAGGCTTGGGAAGAACTCCAATGCTAACTACAAGAGGCCTGCAAACGGAACAGTTTTTATATCAGTGCGGTTTCTCAAGAGATATTATATCGAACTAAAGCAGTGTCGTGCTCCATTTAAGGAGAATAGCAGATTAACTTTGGGTCGTACCTCTGATTTGGTAACATCAAGCATTCGTCGTCCAGTTTATTTAAGACTTTATCCACGGCTTCTCTTGTTTTAAATATTACAAAAGCTTGACCTGAAACATAATTTTGCAAGGGAAAGATCATTTGACATGTGGGAAGACAAGAACCGATCAACAGCAGGTCGTAAAAATTATATGAGAAAATACTGTCGACCAAAGGAAGAGGTTGTTCAACTAGTGTAATATAGAATACGAACAAGAATAACAGGTCAAATGCAACAGAAGGTGTATGTATCTACATACCCGAGTGTGGACTAGAAATAGCGGTATGCCGCACCATTTTAGCTGTACAGCTTTCCTTGAATGCACTCCCAATAATATCCTGAAATAGCGGCATACGATTATCGTTAGAGACCGCGTAATACAATCACGGATACAAAAATTAGAAAGGAAAAATAAGCAACAGAGTAGTCTGCAACAAAACTCAGGCCCTCGCCGTAACCCAACCTCTAAAGAGGAATTCGAGAAAAAGCAGTAGGTTGAGGATGGTGAACAAGAATACCTAATACTAAAATGGAGCTGATTGTACCGGTTGGTCCAAACTTGATACACAACAATTCATCAAAATTATTATATTACAAAAGAAAACTGGAATACATAATACTAGAACCACATCACACTGTGAAGTAAAATAGCCAACAATAGCATATCTCAAAAAAAACATGAACTATGAAATAACACAGTGTAAAGTAAGCACAAAGCTTGAAAAGGACAAAAGGCTTCGATAATGGAATGATCTTACCTGTACTTCTTCTGAAGTATATTCCGGATCCAAATTCTGGAGTAAAAGAAATCTTCCTTGATCATGAGCACTCTTCAATCTTGCCTCCCAAGGCTAAAGACAAAAAATAAACAAGAACATAAGTAAATAAGTATATCCCAACGATGAAAAGCATTAAATATTTTAACTAGGAAAAGAGCAAAAAGTATAACGTTTAGAACTCTTGAAAATTTTCAACAAAAAACAAAGAATTTTTATAGAGTATCACATAACAGATCAGCAAGTATGCATACATACACATATATATATATACATAGTACATGCTTCAAGATAATAAATGCTTATAAAAAATTATTATAACTAAATCGATCATCTTGGAAGTCAAGAATGAAATCAAAGGCCAGTATAGTTGCTCTATGAAATAAGAGCAAATTCATAATTCAAAAACGGAAATATCCTTGCACAAGAGCATCTAAAAATATAAGTACATGATGAAACTCACCAGTTTCATCCAATTATTCGTTTCCTGCAAGCAAACCAGATAGAAAGCATTAGAACAGAAAAGATATGTATCCTTTGAAAACATATGTATCCAGAAAGATGCAGCAAATATTGAAAATGTTATATATTCTACTGGTGTTGTTAAATGAAGCATAATCTCAAATTCTCTGACATAATCATAGTCTAATTGTAAAAATTCATATGAAGGCCATCCAAACCTTCATATGTTCTCCAATATCACTACTTATTCAACCCTCCCTCCATATACCAATATAACCCCTCCTACCACACTATTCACCGAATAGTCTACCACGTTGCAGATCTTCATCATGTCCTTCTCTTCTTTCTTCTCCTCTATTATTTCACAATTTCATACCATGTGCTTAAATCTCAACTCATTTACATTCATTTCAATGATGATAGACATCAATGCAAGAATTAGGTCTTATATTCGAATCCCATTGCAACCCATTTTAAAAAGTTACAGATGCAAGGCTTTAAATGTAATTTGTCTGCACTTGGGCGAGGGTACCTGTTGAAGATATAAATATTCAATGATGCACTTCACTAAGAGCTTAAACGTTTGGTAGAGATGGCCATTCAACTAAATCAATGAGTAAATCGTCTTTAAAGTTTACAGAACATAGGGGTTTGAATGACCATTTCATCTTAAGCTTAAATTATTGGAGAAGTGAATCATTTAAGATCTAATAACTCTATGTGCGGGCATAATTGTAATAAAGCCTCGTACGTGAAACTTTTTAAATGGATGGCAATGAGATTCGAACTTAGTACGTCTTATTTGTCCTCACCCTGATACCATGTTGAATGGTTGCTTCATTAAATAATATGCCTACACGTGAGGAACATGTATAGTTACTAAATATTAAATAATTCACATCACTAACAACTCGCTTTCGCTTTCAGACAAAACGGCCATTTAACAAGAACAACTATCCTTTCGTGTTAATATGCTTATTAGGATACATAGAAACCACTTAATATCTTCAAACATCAAAATCTTATATCTTTCATAGTACACGACTCCACACTCACATAATACATACTTCAAATGATACAATTACACATATAGATAACAAATGATACTATTCATCCGCGCATTCCCATAAAGTAACTTTAAAGTAACTAATGACATAGCATGAGATACCAATTAGCTAGAGGCCTTCAATATATCAAATTACTTGATCCCTCACATCTAAGAAGCTTATAAAGACAAAATTACTTATGCAACACGATTTTCCAACACCATCAATGAAATCAAATGTCAACTCTCACTCTTAGTCATCAAAACGTTGCGCATCCAACAACATATATAGGGGAGCAACTCTCAGTCGGAAGTCGGAAGTCGGAAGTCGGTGTCGACCTAGGTTATAGAACCCAAAGGAGTCATGTTCATCCCTAAATTTCCCAACATTCCGCATCCAACAACATATGTAGGTAATCAACTCTCATAGGGAAGTTGGTATCAACTTGGTGATTAGAACCAAAGTCGGGAGTTTAAATCATTTCCATCTCTCATTTTCTCTTCTATAACAAGATCTAACTCTATAACAAGATCTAACTTAGAAAGAACAATATACTTAGTACTCGTACCTAGTTGTTTAGAACCAAAGTCGGGAGTTTCACGTTCATCCCTTATGTTTTCTTCATTTTCCCTTCTATAACAAGATCTAACTTAGAAAAGAACAATATACTTAGTACTCGTACATAGTTGATTAGAACCAAAGTCGGGAGTTTCACGTTCATCCCTTATGTTTTCTTCGGCAACAAGATTTAACTTGGAAAAGAACAATATATGTAGTACTCAATAATAGACCATAGTATAAAAAGGATCATCTATTTTCATCATTTATAACGTAGTCATCCCCCTTATCCAAAAAAAATGGGAAATCTTTCTCACTCATTCCAATAGCTCACTTCACGCATAAAATTTTACCCATCTAAGAGCATATCCTTAGATATCCCTTGGAATAAGTAACGATGGCTTTTTGCTTATAACGAAGCATTATGTATAAAAATCATCAATTTCTCATCGACAAATAGCAAATCAAAATAATGTTTCAAAAAACATAAGTATGCTTGAGGCTCGACTTACAACATTTGGTCTTCGCGTGACTTCAAATATTTTTCCTTCAATCCCGCCATCGCCTTCCTTTGGATGAGGCAAGTTATCATTAGAAAGCTTGCCCACTTTGACATCATTATACTTCTTCAAATCCCCGTTGCCAAGTCTTGATTTTGCCTTAATGTCGTGAGAAGTCGTAGGGGTTGATGAATTTCTTGTTTCACCTTGGGAAGTTTTCTTCTTCAACTTCTTAAGAGTATTGTTCCTTTTGTCTTCCAATTTCTCAACTGAAGCTTCAATCTTTGCTTTCTTAGAAGGGCCTCCTTCAATAGGATATGAATCATTACCTAATGTCGTATCCTTGTCCTTGTGACAATCATCATCTCGAGGATTCGACTTTTCCTTAGAAAAATCAGCACTAGTCTTCAATGGCCTTTTCGTTGAAGCACTAGAACTTTTAACTAATTTAGTAGCTTGACCATATCGCTCAAGGTCCTCATTAGATCCTGATTTTGGTATTTCATTAGGTGAGACATCGATTGTTAGAGGTCTCATTGTTTCATTAGGTGAAGCAGCATTGGCTGGTGACGACCTTTCTCTACGAGCACTCACTTCTACACCAAGTTCTGTATCCATTTCACTACCAGCAGAATCTTTTGCCTGTGAAGATTCTGTTTTTTCAATAGATAGAAAGGATTTACTATTTGATAGCTGTCCCTGCAAACCTTTCAAATCTTTAGTTAAGTTGGCAGCTTTTTCAAGCTCAACAGCATCCTCACTGGTGGTTTTTGTAGGTTTTCTACTTTTACTAGAATTAACATCAGCGCCCGAAGAATTTTCTCCAAGTAAACTTTTTCGATTCACCTGCCCTTCCTTCTGATTTGTATCGTCTTTTCCCAGCATATAATCACTATTTTCATCAGGTTTCACATTGTTCAATTGTTGCATTATGTTCTTACCTGCAAGCTTCGGAGTTTCTCTGCATGCGATCTCATTTCTCTCCTCGTCCTTGCCATTTGACTCAATTCGGGGAATATCAACTGGCGTGCTGCTCTGTCTTCTGTTAAATACAAACTTAACTGTGACAAAAACGGCAAACCAAATCCATGAGTGAGTGAAATTATCCGGGGCATTATAGCAATAATAAGAAACTCGTCTCATCATATGCCAGTTCCAAACACAAAACTTTGAAAACGTAAAACACAAATCAGAGTACCTTCAAGCCCACCAACTCTATCGTTCATCTGATCTGATATCGTACAGGTTCTAACATCGAAGACGCGGTAAAAGACATAATTTGCCATTTGAAGTTCTTCAGACGAAGGCTGTGGGTTTCTATTGTCCGTTGATATGCAGACGACATTGCATTTTCCAGAAATAGCTTCCTGATTAATTAATGGATACCCACATAATTAAAAACCCAATAATACAACTAAAGAAAGGAAGGGGCACCAAGGCGGTTCCCGTGTACATAAAATGATTTTATTTGTCTAAACATGTTTGAATATCATCTAAAATGTGTTCATAAATATATATCAGAAATTCTTTAATCCAGGAAAAGATAATGCAGAAAATTAATATTCTACAAGTATTAGACAACTGATACACAAAGAGAGCTCAAGACATGAGCATATATTCATCTTTCTCTTTCTTTTCCTTTCAAGTCTTCCGAATACCATTTTTTAACCATCTCCACCATCGGCCCTCCACCAACACCACCCACATTTTCTCCTCAATCTTCACCGGTTCACCCAGATCAAGGTGCTAGTCCACCTAAGCCTCCATCACTATCACCATTAACACATTCATGCCAATCAACGCATTAAGATTTCATCCTACTCTTGCCCACCACAAGGATAACTGCCCCCACGGCCCATTCATCCTGGTTTTGCCTTCAGCGTCTTATATTTTACATTTAATCACCGATTTCCTAAGCCACCAACACACTTCAAACCATCTGCTCTGTTCTCAACAAATTGGATTAGCAGTTCTTAAGATTAGCCCCCATTCCGTTAGAAAAATGGGTGAATAGGGTTTTAGTTTTTACAATTGGAAAAATGCGTTGAGGATCAAGTCTCGGGTTTTCCTAGGCTCATTACATTGTCATCCCTAGACAAAACGGAGTTCAAATATACGCTTACAGGTACCCGAACACTAAAATACGCCAATATCAGCCACTCGTAAGTCGTAATCAAATATTTATGTATGTGCTCGACTAAACACTCTAATACCAAAAAAGTAATTAAGATGCAATCATTTCACCCCGACTTACTATGTTAAGGGGAAATATACATACCTGAAGGAAAACGAATATCCAAATTCTCTACCTAGCCTTATTCTCCAAAAAACGACTGTTTTCGACACTTGTACGGTTTTACCAGTCGTAAAAGTAAGTCCGCAACCGAAATTTAGGTAAGTAGTAATAAATGTTTCATAACTAGCCAACAGTATAAAAAACAATAAAACAATATCTGATGCATTAAAATGTAAAAAAACATGCAATAAGTTTCTAAATTACCAGAGGATTGATATTCGCAAGACCGACGAGACCATTCCCTTCGCCCGAAGCGAAGAAAAGTTCGTTCTCCAACACCTCTGTATCTTTCAGATAGTAAGAAATTTCCGATGGCCGGAAAAACCAATGAACCTTTATCTTTTTCGACTTGTCAGCATTTTCCCAAATCTTAACAATTTTCCCAATGTAAGGTGGTTCACCTTGCTTGTGCATATACACACAGTCGTGTAGATTGTACTCCACCCCATCGTAAGCAAACGAGTCGTAGAACTGGACGTCTTTGTTCCTTCCTCCGATGCCTCTTTTCTTACCCCACTCAAACTGTGGTTCCTCGAGATTCTCTACTTCGATCGGAGTGGACATTGATTTTTGTACTTTATACACGGATTACACGAGTTCTTCGGAATGTAAGTGGCCTGAAAATTTTACAAACCGAAACAATTTGATTTTAGTGTCATGGCACACGATTCTTCCGGTGACGGCGGCGATGGTGGATTGAACGGAGAATTGTATTGGAATATGCTACGGCCGTCTTCGGAGAAGATGGAAAGAAATTGGGAATTTGGGCAGTTTTCAAACGACGCCGTTTCAGGTTGTGCAATTGAATTAAGAAGAAAAGCTGGGCCGGAAATTAAGTTATAAAACGAGTTGGGCCTAAATAACTGGGCCCGAGTTTTATTAAAGAAGAAGGCCCAAATATATTAATTATGGGCCGGAAGACGGATGAAGAAGAAAGAAAAGTTTCGACAAACTCGGGTTGCAGTTCAGAGCCATTGCGTGCCATATTTTGACAGTTTGATTTCTTGTTATTAACAAATTGCATAGTGTTGTTGAAAATTAGTTTTACTCCAAAATTTAAACCTTAAACATTACAGTAAAATTTTGTTCGTTCATTGTCGGAGTTGTATAGTGGAGTATTGTGATTCAACAGAGTTGCATGAATTTTTGAGGAATTGTACAGTGGGCTGTTGTGGTTCGATACCTAACATTACATTAAAATTTGTACGTTCATTGTCGGAGTTGTGTAGTGGAGTATTGTGATTCGACAAATTTGCACGGTTTTTAAGGAATTGTACAATGGGCTGTTGTGATTCGATAATTTAGCTTGTTAGAGATATGTTTGTTCTCACCCGTTAAATATTTAGTTTCTAGGATTTTAAATGTTTGTATATTTTGGCGGTAATAATGACCGTATTCACATAGCACTGTATAATTTTGTAAATTTTTCCGATCTTATTATAGTATGTGTAAAAAAAAAGGACACATTAGGTCATAATTTTACAAATGTGCAATATATGTTGAAACAATATCTTCCGGAAACAACCGAGTTCGTATTTGAAAATGATAGAAACATAATAGAAGCTCCATTTTCCTTGGAAAAGTTTTCGGTAATGCTGGACTTGCACCACGTTTGGTAAACAGAAGTGACAAAAAATGATTTACGAGCTAAAACCCCTTATTATTATTATTATTATTATGAATAATTTTTTTTTGAATAATAAAACCCCTTATTTTATTATGGTAAAAAATCTCATAACCAATTGAGAAATAAATTTCGTGAACCTTTATAAATAAAGGGCAAAATTTGAATTTCTCGCTCCACATTCGCTATATATACAGTCTACAACAACATTTGCATTCCAGAATTTGAATTTATCGTTCAACAGTGAGTCACAGTGATTTCAGAAATCCGCTCTAAAGGGACGGAGGAGTTCAGCCATGGCTTCCGATACTCCTCGTGCCCGCATCGATCAGGTTTTCGTCGCTTTCAAAACCCTTTTTTTTTTATAGAATTTTTTATACCTGCTTGTGTTTACGCACATTTCCCTGTCTATTTGCGTTTTTGCTGTGTTTAATTGGAACGAGTACAACCAATCATGTTAATAGTGTCTGCTGGAGCGTATGCAATTGAAATAGGCTGCTAAAATTAGGTATACTTTTGTATGTATACTGTCCAGAAATGAAATTAGCAAGATGCTTTGTGATTGTAGAGATTCGAGATTTACCCTTCTCACAACTGATAATTGGTTTTTTGATTTGTTGGCCTCCGTTTTTTTTTTTTATTGGGTTATTGCTTAAGGGGAGTTGTGTGCTGGTAGGGTTTAGTATACCGGTGAAGCTAGATAAAATTCTTGCTAAAGGGTGACTATAACATTGAAATTGTATGTGCAGTTCTTTTCTTCTAAAAAGAAGAGAAAGATTCTTTCACCGGCTTCAAAATCCGGGAGACGAGAAAAAGAAGCCAAAAACCAATTTGAAGGCTCACCCAGCGCTAAAGGTTCTTTGGAGAACTACTTGGAGACTTCAACAGATGGGAATTCACCTGCAAAGTCCTTGAATTTCACTTATGATGAAAAGGGTAGGCATGCTCCCACTAAGAGATATTTGACTTTGGACACCACTTCCCAAGGGCAGCCACAAAGTCCCGAAACTTCCAGAGTTTCTCAGAGATTAAAAATCGAACCCTTGTCTGATATTGGTTGTGTCGGTTCAAAAGGTATTGCGAAGGATTTTTCTGAAACTGCGGCTGCTGCACAAAACTCTGAACTTAAGGAGTTTGCCGCTGGCTTCTTGTCATTGTATTGCGGGTACTGTTCCACTCTCCTTTTTATTGATCACTGCGTCACTTATTTTACAAACATTCGAGTCTATTTACTATTTGAGAGTCATTTTTATCGTGTAGTTGAGCACACTCTTCTTCCTGTGTTACTGTCTGAGAAGTTAAAATTTCTACGTGCAGTGAGTTACCGTGCAGCGTAGGTTCACAATCGAAGACAAAGGAGATTGCAGACAAACCACACAGTAGCACATCTGCACTTCAGCTAGATGAGAAATCATCCAACATAAGGCATTGTGGGGATGACCGGAATCAGTCCGACATTCAAATTGAACTGATTTCCTCTCCCAAGGCCATCCAGTCTAAAACTGTCAATAAATCTACTGATGTTGATTCAAATTGTTCACAAAAGGTTCTTATCCTGTAAATATCATAGATGCCATCAGTCCGATAAGTTCCTGATAATTTTATCATACATGTTGACAGGTTCTTATGTGCAACAATACATTTGCATCACAAGCAGGTCTGAGAAAGTGTAGTTACACATCTGCTCTTAGTACAGTGGAATGTGAAACGCCTGGTACTTCAACTACTAGACTTGGAGTTCGAGAAACTCCTCATTCAACACGAGGAAGCTCCTCGTTTTCTCCTGGAGAAGCATTTTGGAATGAAGCAATTATAGTTGCTGATGGGTTGTTTCGTCCAAATGATGGTCTTTCTTCATGTGTTGCTGAAAATAGAGCTCCAAGAGTTGATTATGGGACGCATAATTCGAACAATGCGAAAAATGGCGACCCTATGGGTTTGTTGGACAATGCTGTGGATGGAGTTGCAGATGCATTTTGTGATGTTGGAAATAATTCTGCTGTAGGCTCACTTGGGATGATCGGGCAAGATCTGAAACAGTCAGTGTCTCCTTTACCCGTGAAACATTTTGACTTCAGTATTGAGGGAAATAGTTTTGATAAGCAAACAATAGTTGATGCTAAGAACACCAAACCTTCTATTTTAACTAGCAAAGAGAATAGGTTTGCCTCGATTAAGCCTTCCAGTTTACGAAGCTATAATGACATACCTATTTTCCCCGAAGCTCAGATGAATAAAGTGCTTTGTGATGCCCAAGGAACAATCATTAAATGTGTTAATTCCAAAAGCAACGCTGAGCATTTGAATCAAAATAGCCACAATGATATATCTAATACACCGGATAGAGATTGTAATAAGGTTGCTGCTATTCATGAATCCAGAAGCAACTTTACTCCAGCTAGTTCTTCAATAACGGATTGTTCGGATCTCAGTAACTGGCTTCCTCCTGAAATATGCAACATGTACAAAAAAAAGGGAATATCAAAACTGTATTCATGGCAGGTATTTCTTTCATCTTTAGATATGCAACATGTGTTTATATATCTTTGTTTCGAGGCTAATGTGATAAGTTCTGATAGATAGGGTTTCTTTTTGTTATTTTCTTTTCTAAATAGAAAATACTGCCATTCTTTTCAGGTCGACTGCCTTCAGGTGGAAGGTGTCTTGCATAAGCGAAATCTTGTTTACTGTGCATCTACAAGGTAATCTTAGTTGTCATTCAATTTTGGTGTTGATTAAGCATTATTGTGTCGCTCCTGATTAAGTTCCAACTGTTGCCGACGATTATGCTTCCTTGTGTACACTTATATCGAAATGGACTATACTTATACATTTTACTGGAGCTTGGTAAAAACTTTGACATAGATTATCTGAGGCACTGCAAAGTATATTTGTGTCTTGCATGCTAAGTTTGATGCATGTCTTGTAAAGCATGAAGGGATACGTTTTGGACTAAATACACAATGCTGTAATCGCCAGTTAATTTTTTTTCCTTTGGTTGTCATAGTGCTGGTAAAAGTTTTGTTGCTGAAATACTAATGCTGCGGAGAATTTTGGCAACTGGAAAAATCGCACTTCTTGTGCTTCCATATGTATCTATCTGCGCAGAAAAGGTACATGCGGTTTCTTTACTTAGACAGGGTCATTTGAACCTTTTGTCTCGTGTCTTATGCTTCAACCTTTGGAACATGCAGGCAGAACACCTTGAAGTTCTATTAGAGCCGGTTGATAAGCATGTCCGTAGTTTTTATGGAAATCAAGGTGGTGGAACTCTTCCCAAGGATACATCTGTGGCTGTCTGCACTATCGAGAAAGCAAATTCTTTGATTAACAAGTTACTAGAAGAGGGACGTTTATCGGAGCTTGGTACCATTGTAATTGATGAACTGCATATGGTATCTACTTTATCTTAGGCTTTCTTTGAGTGGTATTCATTGCTTCTGTGTCACTTTTTCGGTTATATTCTCATTCCTGCATCTGGGTTGGTATTATGGATAATGACAGGTTGGTGATCAGAATAGAGGTTATCTTTTGGAACTCATGTTGACGAAACTTCGTTATGCAGCTGGTGAAGGGAATGTAGATTCTTCTAGTGGAGAAAGTTCAGGGACGAGTAGTGGGAAATCTGATCCTGCACGTGGCCTCCAAATTGTTGGTATGAGCGCAACACTACCAAATGTGGCTGCAGTTGCTGAGTGGCTACAGGTAAGTTCATTATGATTATCGAAACTGTTAGATCTATCTAGTTAGAACATAGGCCTGGTTGATGTCTTGATGATATTATATTTTGAAAAGAACGTGCTTATTATGTTTCACATTTTTCCTCGGATATTCTATGGAAACGATAATTTCGTTAATCTTGATCATTAATTCATTTGCTGTGGTTAAGTTTGTTTGTTCTCGATCACACATCAAATGAGTTCCTCAGTGTGTCTATGTGAATAACCTGACCCACCATTTAATTATTTTTTGTAGGCAGCTCTTTACGAGACAAACTTTCGGCCTGTTCCATTGGAAGAATACATTAAAATTGGTAGCACAATTTACAACAAAGAAATGGAAATTGTTAGAACAATGCCGAGGGCATCCGACCTTGGTGGTAAAGATCCAGATCATATAGTTGAACTCTGCAACGAGGTTTGATCTTCTCTTTGTCTCATAGAACTTTTTCTTGCTTTTGGTTAAAATAGTCTTGAGATTTTTAATCATATTAGGTTGTCCAAGAAGGTCACTCGGTGCTAATATTTTGTTCCAGTCGGAAAGGGTGTGAATCAACTGCTAAGCACATCGCGAAGCATCTGAAAAGATTTTCTGTAAGCCCCCGCAGTGAGCAAGGCGAGTCCTTCGATGTTGCTTTTGCAATTGATGCATTACAAAGGTCTCCTGCTGGATTAGATCCTGTGCTAGAAGAAACTCTTCCATTTGGAGTTGCCTATCATCATGCTGGGCTCACGGTAAAGTCAGCGACATCTTATTGGTTTATGTCTTCTTTTGCAGTATGTATCTGTCTGAAGGTTATGCTTGTTTCTTAATACTCATATAGTCCTTCCATTCTAGAAAAGGTCGAAGAAAGGGAAACTGTTGAAACATGTTACAGGAAAGGACTTGTACGTGTCCTGACTGCTACATCAACTCTGGCAGCTGGGGTTAATCTGCCTGCCCGGAGAGTTATATTCCGACAACCACGCATTGGTCGTGATTTTATTGATGGGACAAGGTACAAGCAGATGGCTGGGCGGGCAGGTCGCACTGGCATAGACACAAAGGGAGAGAGTGTAAGCTTAATTTTCCTTATCTGTACTTCTATTCTCTTTTGTTGTCCTACTATTTGGATAGTATTGGTATTTTACTTTCTTTTGTACACTTGCAGTTAATCCTGCCTCATTAATTCTATCACTACTTTAAAAGTCTGTCCCTATTTCCCTGTTACTTATTACTTTTGCCTAAAACTGCCATGAAATCAAACTTTCTTCCTTAAGCACATTAAATTCGTCAGTAACAAGTTTTAAATGATCCAAAGGTGCTAATTTGCAAGCCAGATGAAGCCAAGAAGATACTGTCACTCCTTAATGACAGTTGTCCTCCACTGCATTCTTGTTTGTCAGAAGATAGGAATGGTATGACCCACGCAATTCTTGAGGTTGTTGCTGGAGGAATTGTTCAAACTGCGAGTGATATTAATCGATATGTAAGGTGTACCCTTCTCAATTCTACAAAACCCTTTGAAGATGTTGTGAAATCTGCACAAGATTCCCTTCGATGGTTGTGCCATAATAAATTCCTAGAGTGGAGTGAAGAGACTAAGTTATACAGCACTACCCCCCTTGGCCGGGCGTCTTTTGGCAGTTCTCTTTGTCCAGAGGAATCACTTGTAAGTATCTCAGACTATTCCTCCTTGTATATACTTTGTGCATTCTGATATAGTTGTTGACAACTTACTTTGACCAAGTGACCTGCATGATTTTTTTTTTAATCTGAACATTTATGAAGGTTAAGCTTAGTTAAACAATAGAAGATTCAAGCAATCAGCAAACTTTTGTTCATTCTGTAGATTGTGCTGGATGATCTCGTAAGGGCAAGAGAAGGTTTTGTTCTTGCATCGGATTTGCATTTGGTATACTTGGTAACTCCCATTAATGTTGATGTCGAACCCGATTGGGAGCTCTATTATGAGAGATACATGCAGTTATCTTCGCTAGACCAGGTAGAATTCGTTATTCTGATTATGATGTCTCATCGCAGAAATTTTAGTTCTACTTGTTGAATGCTGACAAATCTAATGCAAAATTTTAGACATTTGTTATATATGCATCAATTGTTGTTGCTTTGTTGAAAATTCATTTGATATGTATGCTATTGGTATTACATGATATATGTATTTCTTAATACACTTAGATCATTCTCTTACCTTTAATATATTTGTATCTGTCAGGAGATTAATTTCAACTGGATTATTCTATTTAGGTGCTTTAACCGTTCATATTTACTTCAACTGGAAGTCAGCCATCGGTCGGGAGATTAATTTCAGTCTCATCTAACTTTTGACTAATTTAATTTAAAAGAAGAATGCGATGGCTCCTTAGTTAACCGTGTCAGCGGAGACAGAAATGTGAGGGCTATTTGTCTTGCATCTCTACCATGCAATATTTGTCAGCAAAGATTTTAACATCTTGATTTTTGAAGAACTTTCCCTTTGGAACTTCGAGGCATTTGTCTGTAAACTGGACAGTGTATCTGGGGATTGCTTGGCCTGAACATTAGTCTAATAGCAAGTACATGTTTTATTGTTCGAAGGTCTACTGTATAGCCAGGATTTAGATCTGGAAAACTATAGCATTGAACTGTTTATAGTTTTGCTTTTATGGATATCTGTCTGGAGATACGTTGATTGAAGCGAATTGTACATGAGTACACTGTTGTAACCTTTGTTATGGTTGCAGTCTGTTGGCACTCGTATTGGAGTACAAGAACCTTTTCTAATGCGCATGGCTCATGGCGCGCCTCCTCGAGCTTTGCCCAGATCAAGGAATAATGTCAAGGGCTTTCAGGGAAATGATCACAAATTTGGGACGTCCACCCACGGCGGCATGCTCTCAGATGAGCAAATGCTTAGAGTGTGTAAACGTTTCTATGTCGCTCTTATTTTGTCGAGGCTGGTGCAGGTAAACGTATCTGGACTGAATCTACTACTCTCTTCTATTTTTGCTTCTGCAATTTCCATGAAATTGTTAGGTGCATGATATGGTTAATGTGTGTCATTATCTGCCATTGGGTTCATACTTTTGCATTTTACATAAACTTTTTCTCACTTCCTCATTTTCCAGCTGGGTGCTATGGAAGTAACTCTCCATTTTCAGAGTCTTCCTTAAATTTTGCTTCAGATTATCTGGCTTTAGTTTGGTTCCCCTTAATATTTGTTCCCTTCTTAGGAGCATCTATCTTTCTCATTGACATGTTTGCCTCTGTTATTGTGCTTGGTCACTATTGACAAAAGAAGTTTGTGATGCTGGAAAACAGGAAGTTCCCGTGCGAGAAGTTTGTGAAGGGTTTAAAGTTGCTAGAGGCATGGTTCAGGCCTTACAAGAAAATGCTGGAAGGTTTGCATCTATGGTTTCAGTGTTCTGTGAGAGGCTTGGATGGCATGACCTCGAAAGTTTAGTCGCCAAATTCCAAAATCGTGTTTCATTTGGAGTTAGGGCTGAGATTGTGGAGCTTACGGCAATTCCTTACATTAAGGTGCTAATTGGTATGTCTTTGTGATTTTCCAACAAATTTAGATTATATATCTCACTGCTATTCTTACATTTAGGGTTCTCGAGCTAGAGCACTTTATAAAGCTGGTTTGCGAACACCCCAAGCTATTGCTGAAGCATCAATTCCCGAAATTCTCAAGGCACTTTTTGAATCTTCTTCATGGAATGCGCATGGTAAGATATTATTATGGTTATTATTTTGTTTTTGCCACTGTGGAGTTCATGAATCTTGTTGAAATATCACTTACGTGGGTTTTCAGTATTTTTTTAATAAGTTATCTCTAATTTGGATTTATTTTCCTTCACGAACATGGAAGACTCGGCACCAAGGAAAGTGCATGTGGGAGTTGCCAAGAAGATTAAAAATGGCGCTCGCAAAATTGTTCTTGAAAAAGCTGAAGAAGCAAGAATTGCTGCATTCTCCGCCTTCAAATCTCTTGGACTTGATGTTCCTCAATTTTCCCGCCCACTATTATCCATTGCTACTGGAAAAGTCCCTAAAAAAGAGCTAACATCGTCTTCAGGGGAGGATTCTACGAATAGCTATGCTTTTCCTCAGCATTCCGATCATATCATAAATGCACCATCGGTTGGGCACAAGCATGAGATTGCTGCAGTTATCTCGGAAACTGCGGGTAACAAATCTATAGACACCCCTGTAGCTGGCTTTGCATCGGTTGAGGAAAAATTAGCAGGAAATTTAGAAGGTGAATTTCTTGTTGAAAAGCCTGTTTTAGTCAAGGAAGAGTCTAATACCCTAGATTACAAGCTAAGCATTACCAATAATCTCATCAGTAGTACAAATGGGCCCACCTCTCGTCCATTAACCGATATCGTCGACATAAAAACCCAGTCCAATGAGCATCTTGATCATGTTGGGCAACAACAACAGAAAAATGAAAATATTCCTGGAAGCAGACAAAACATAGAAGAAAAGGGTCCTGTAAATGCAAATAGTATTCCTGGTGGACTCGATTCTTTTTTGGATCAGTGGGATGCAACTAAAGAGTTCTTTTTTGACATCCATTTTACTAAAAAATCTGAATTGAACTCAATAGCTCCATTTGAAATACACGGTCTAGCCATTTGCTGGGAAAATTCTCCTGTGTATTACTTAAATATTCCAAAGGACTTATTCCGCTATAGCAGCCAAGGAAATGAGCATGCTATGAGCAGCAAGGATGTTTTACAACCAAAGTTGCAGGTGGAGATGGCCAAGAAGCGATGGAATAGGATTGGGATTATAATGGGGAGAAAGGATGTCAAAAAATTTACTTGGAACTTGAAAGTTCAGATGCAAGTGTTTAAGATTCCTGCTGTTGCCTTTCACAAGTTTAGCAGCCTGCATGGTGGAATCAAAAGTTTGGGTTTAGATCTTATCGACAATTCTTATTTTATGTTTTCTCCAGTCCATGTGAGGGCTGCAATTGATATGTGTGTTGTGGCATGGATCCTTTCCCCTGACGAGGAAAAAAGTTCTTATCCTAATCTGGAAAAGGTAATTCTATGGCTCAATAGCTTCTATTTGAAATTGTTTCTAATGAATACCTAGGAAAAGATATAGGAAAGTGCATTTGGATGAGTTTTTAGGTGGTGGGTTGGGGGGGGAAGACAATGGAAAGAAAGAGGGTTTTTTAATACTTGAAGATGTGTTATTTTCGGAATGAGTTTGGATTTGAACATAATCTATCTAAAAAATGGCGTCAAAACATGTAAATCAATTTCTTCAAGTTCGGGATTAAATTTGTTTCATAAAATAACCAAACAAAGGCAATAATTTAACTTCTGTTCGTTTTCCTTATCAATCTACTTTAAATTTCTGATGCCAACTGTCTTCCACTAGAATCCACTTTATAAGTGAAAAGACTAAAATGTTTCAGCTTTGAAAAATTCTCTCTCAAGTTACAGTCTTCACAGGAAGTTAAAAGAAGGTTATCCAGCGATGCTGCTGCTTCTGCTAATCGGAATGGTAGATGGAAGGATCAGATGCGAAGTGCTGCGCATAATGGGTGCTGCCGCAGAGTTGCACAAACTCGAGTTTTATTTTCTGCTTTGTGGAAATTACTAGAATCTGAAGAACTTGTTGAACCACTTATGACTATTGAAGTTCGACTGGTGAGGAATCTTTCATCCTTTAATTGAAAGCTTACCATCCTCAAGTTAATTCAGCGTAAAGAACTTATTTTCATATAGCTTTTGAAGACTGGAAAACTCCCTCAAGTTGATAATTTGCTAGACACAGAAACTTTGCATTATCAAGTTTAAATTTCATCCAGTTCACTCAATAGAAATGGTCAAAAGATGGTTTTGTGAAATTTTGTTTTCCATTTGGAAGTTGTAAGGAAGTAGAAATAAAGTTGGCTTTGGATGCTTATTATTTTGATGAAATAGTTGTTGATTAAAGTTATAGCCTGGAATCTAGTATTATTATTTTTTGGTTATTGAGTTTCCTCATGTTTAGTTTTCTTGTGACTCTAAAGTTGAGGTTCTCGTCCTTCCATTTGTTGCTTGTTAAATGTCTCTCAATGTGATGCTAAAACAGCAGTTTTGTCCTAGGTCAACGTCCTTGCTGATATGGAGATCTGGGGAATAGGTGTAGACATGGAAGGATGCCTTAGAGCACGGCATATCCTGGGAAGAAAACTCAAGTGTCTAGAGAAGGAAGCTTACCGATTAGCTGGCAGGAAATTTTCACTATCAATGCCGGCAGACATAGCAAATATTCTCTATGAACACTTGAAGCTGCCCATGCCAGAAGGGAGTAGAGGGAAACAACACCCTAGCACTGACAAGCATTGTCTAGATTTGCTCAGGTACTAAAAGTGTTCCCAAAAGTTTTGGTGTATTCTTCCCAAAATTGCATTTTCTATACTATCTTGTATATTGTTATTTGGTTTCAACGTTCAGTTCACTGATCTTCATGATGTTCAGTAACTGATGTTGCTTGCTCCACAGTTTGTTGGACTAATGGAACTGCGTTTTATTTCAGGAATGAACATCCTATTGTCCCAGTAATTAAGGAGCACCGGACATTGGCTAAACTCTTGAATTCTACTTTGGGATCAATTTGTTCACTAGCAAGGCTTTCTATGAGGACACAGAAATATACTCTGCATGGCCATTGGCTCCAGACATCAACTGCAACTGGCCGCCTTTCAATGGAGGAGCCGAACCTCCAGGTTCCTTTTCATATTTATTTCACTTGTTTGTTGTGAAATCTTCCCTTTCTATAGTGATTTGTTTTTACACAAGTTATCCTATCTTACCTATGCGAGTTGTACAGTGTGTTGAGCACATGGTCGAGTTCAAAATGAATGAAGATGAGGGTGAATCAGGTTCCGGTCAATATAAAATTAATGCCCGTGATTTTGTTGTACCTACTCAGGTGATGATGCTTTACATTGTTTCACTCATTTTTATATATTTTTAACCTCAAAGAGTTCTTTCCTTTCTAGAGTCGGGACCTGCGATACATCTTCTAATCCATTTTCTGTTGTTGCAGGATGATTGGTTGCTCCTAACTGCGGACTATTCCCAGATAGAACTAAGACTTATGGGCCATTTTTCAAAAGATTATTCATTGATTAAGCTCCTGACTAATCCCCAGGCTGATGTCTTTACCATGATTGCTGCGAAATGGAATGAGAAGCATGAGTCCAGTGTCAGCTCACAAGAGAGAGATCAAACAAAGAAACTGGTTTATGGAATTTTATACGGGATGGGACCTAACACACTGGCAGAACAGTTGGATTGCCACCCGGATGAAGCTGCAGCAAGAATTCGAAACTTTAAGAAATCTTTTCCAGCTGTTGCTTCCTGGCTTCAAGAAGTTGTGACATCTTGCCATAAGAAAGGGTGAGTATAGTCCAAATGCTAGACATTTTATGTTAATCTTCTACCAAATACTGCTAAATAAAATGTTGGGATCTAAAGCCCCTTGTTAACGAATGACACTGCCCCTTGTTATGCAGCTTTGTGGAAACTCTCAAGGGCCGGAAGCGTTTCTTGGCAAAAATTAAATTTGGAAACAGTAAAGAAAAATCCAAAGCTCAGAGACAAGCTGTGAATTCTCTATGTCAGGTGAATTCTCCTTCTGTCACATGGTCTTGTTTTAGTCATTATTATGTAGTAACTCCAATTTTAATTTCAGACAATATTTTGGGGATCTCTTTTGTGGGGTGGGAAGAGAAGATATGATACACTCTTAATATTCTGTTAATGGATGTTTGCCGTGTTTCCAATTTTACTGAACGTTGTGTTTCTAGGGATCTGCTGCCGACATAATAAAAATCGCGATGATATGCTTATCGGATATGATTGGTGAGGATGTTGATGCATCTTTTCCTAGTTTCGTGGATGCTGAAAAATTTCAAATGCTTAAAGGTCGCTGTCGAATCCTTCTACAGGTAATCGGTTGAAAAATACTCGATGGATTTTTTCGTAGCTACTTCTTTGAAGCCATGCGACACTGCACTTGGCTCTAAAAACTGCTTTTGAAATGAGATCCTATAAATATTTGATCCAGAAAAGTAAATCAGATACCTTAGTGCACATAGTCAAATATCAATATCCTTTGGATGCTCTATTTTTATTTTTGATTCTTGGCGATGGTGTTGAGATTTCCTTTTTATCAGTATAAATATAGTCGTTCGTACTTGTGAAGTGTTTTATCAGTATGAAAATGGTCTCAACCTTTTCTCATTAGGTACATGATGAATTGGTACTGGAAGCTGATCCTTCGGTTGTCAGAGAAGCTGGGTTGTTGCTACAAACATGCATGGAACGTGCTGTGTCACTTCTTGGTATGGCATTGAAAAAGTTAATAGTGCATATATAGATAATTAATTGGTGGAGTCCAAGCAAGCTCTGCTTTTCCATATGATTCTTCTAGAATATCTTCATTGTTTGAGGTTTCTTTTCCTTTTTTGCTAAATTCTCTCCATTTATTTATCCTGCAGTTCCTTTACCTGTCAAATTGAAGGTTGGGAAAACGTGGGGATCTTTGGAACCTTTTGAGCCTAATTCTTAGGTATCCATGAACTATACTTCAATAGCATTTTACGTTGTTATAACTGTTGTTAAACCTTATATTGCTAAATATACTAATGATATATTTGTGATAATGCACTGAAATCCTTCTTCATTTGTGATGATGTGATTAAGCAGATATTCTGGGAATACAAATTTGGAAGTGTTTTTGCCTCAAGATTGTTGCTTGTGCTGTCGACTGCTTTATCTCAGTCATGTTCAGTGGAGAGGAGTAACAAATATGTGCTTACAACAATAGAAAAGTTGACTATTTTGGCATTGTTGTAGAATGTTGTACAGATGTGTAGATGTTGTAGAAACACAAAGATACGGACTTCGGCTTGGAGCTTAAAGAGTGGACTTCAATTGTATATTCGATCGAATACTTGATCCAGTTGAACTGGCTCTCTCCACTGGAACTGGAAGTTGGATTAACCTACCTTATAAAATCCGATTACTTACAATGTTATGAATGACACTGGTAATTTGTTATCTTAATTCTCAACTTTGTGATATTCTTTACTACTTCTACATTGTTCGCTAACTTGGCTTGTTTGGATTGGTTTCTTGCAGTGGTATTCTCCCAAACTAGTTTGCCAAAATACGAGCCTGAAGTTAAAACAACTATAAAGCTTATGTAGTAAGTTGCCTCTTCGATTCAGCTTTTAGCTAAATTCCAGTCATCCTGTTCAAGCACAAGTGAAAGGAACAGTCGAGCACGGTGAGGAATTGTTTATGTTTGAACTCAAATTCGAATAAAGAAGCTGTATAGCAATAGAAACCCTATTTTTTTGTTTGATTTCGTGTATTGAAATACTCAACTTCTGATCCATTTTATTATGTATTCACTCATGCATAATATCCTTACATCATACATATAAATAGTATGCAACTAGATAGTATGTTACAACACACTGCAATCCACGACTATATATCACGCTTACACACACGTAAAGCTGGTATAGTACTTTCTAGAACTTGGGAGCAACCCAAACGATGTGATCCTTTGGAAGAAAATGGCAGATAGGTACAGTGCCAGGCTTCACTTTAAGCACCTGAAAAGCCAAGTGCTTAGGGTTCCACGCCGCCGTATCGCGGTGGCACACCGCCACTGCCTCAGCCCTCGACCCGTCGGCCGCCACCATCGCCACCTTGTATGCTGACGTGGCGTCCGTCTTGTGGCAGTAGAAAACCGCGTACGCGTACTCCTGCCTGTGACAGACCACGGCACCTTTCTCGCTCGGTAATTTCTTCACCCCCTTTATGATGTACTCTCTCGCCTCGTCTCCATTATTATTTTCTGCATTTGTTGATATTGCCTTTACATTTTTCCCCAGCTTGGAGGTGGTGAAATCAACCATGGATTCCAGAGAAGTTGCACAAAACTTCTCCTCACCTTTCAGCCCACTTTCCTCACACTCTTTAATGGTTTTCTTCATTATTTCAGCTTCGTCCGAACCAGACTTCACCGAAAACTTATCCAAAATCTCGGGAAACTTATTCGACGAAAAGGGTATCGAATCGGCAACTTGTCGAGGTAAAAACGTAGCCTCGTGTGTTGCTTTGGAGAACTTCAGGTTCATTTTTTTCCCAGTGTGCAAGTCTTTTTCCAAGAAAAAAAGCGCCACGTTGGGGTTATCGTGAAGCTGAGTTTCTGTGGCTGCGTACAGGTATTGAAACGGGTTTGGACCCGGGTGGACCCCTACGTAAACGGGTTTGCCCTTTCGAGTACCGGTTCCAACGGTTACACCGCCTTTGCCGACGCCTACGTTAGTGCGGCGGCCGGGCTTGCCGGCGTGAACCCCAACTCTGCCATGGCCCACGTTCACAGCTGTGCCGCCAGGCTTACCTGGCTTGGTGTTGACATTGACTCCACCCTTAGTTACTCCGACGGCTGTGCTTTTGCCCTTCCAGCAATTCTGGTGGGGTTATTAAAAGAAAAAAAAGGTATTACAAAAGAAGAATTAGAGGAAGCGAATACATAGAAGCACGTACAAACACACACACACACACACACACACACACACATACATATAGATATAGATATAGATATATACCAGATGATGATGGGGTCAATAGATCTTGAACAGCTCTAGGCATAGGAGAGTTTGGCAGTACAGAATTCCAGTATTCCTCTGAAGGCAGTGCCCCATGCACCCTGCTCCAAACTAATACCACCACCTGCGCGCACACACACACACACACACGGTTCTTTAATTAATTTGCCAAATTAAAATTAATAAAAGAAAAATAAGTTAAGGGGGTGGCAGGGATGGGGTGGGGTGGAGTGGGGGGTGTGTGTAATTAATACTCACAGAAAGAAATGCAAAAAGGTGCTGAAACTTGAATTCCATAGCTCAACTGCAGCACAAAGATATGGAAAGTTGGTAATCAGAATAATAAAGGTTCTCTCTCTCTCTCTCTCTCTCTCTCTCTCTCTCTCTCTCTCTCTCTCTCTCTCTCTCTCTCTCTCTCTCTCTCCTTACATGGAAGGAAGTGAG